CATTTGATATTGTTCGTTAGTATTACCTTGGTCAGTATGATATAATAAACATTACATCCCACTGTACATATATTACGTAATGGTACTCCACATAATGGAAATGATAAAATGTTGATTATTATCGCGCTTCTGGCTAATTTCGCAGAAATGGCTCACGATTCCCTTGGGGTGGATTTTTTTTAAGGATTTTTTGTTTTTAATTCTCACATTTAAAGAACTTCCTGGTCGTGCAGATATATGCAATATGCTTAATGTTATCTCAAATCCAAAGTCTTACTGACACGATAAACTAGATTTTCTGTTTATATCTTTTGCGACATCTGGGAAAATTCACACCACCTGCTGAGCCAAAGTCAGATCATAGCTCACCTAGTATAGTTTGCTGAAATTGACTGCTTTAAACTCAAGGAAAAGTATTCAAAACACCATTACCTATTTCCCCTTTTAGAACCTGCCTCTCCTCCCCAAGAAGGTTAGATGCAAACTAAATTTTCTTCACCCAAAGATGCTTCAAATCAAATGTGTACAAAATGCTATCATCCCGACACAGGAAGAAATTTTAAGACTTTATTTCCACTGTTTGGCCCGGGCGCCTCTCGCCTATAAAAATGGAACCCAAGCATGTCTCAGACCAAACTGTTACAGAATTCAGGCATTCCTACTTCCCCTATTCGAACATGACCCTCCCACTCCAGGTCTGAGACACACTATTTGTATAAAATCGATTTCCCATCAACCAAGAATGCTTCAAACCAAATCGCGACAACATCCAGGATTTCCTATAGAAAAAGCATAATTTTAAAGATTTAAATTAATTAATTCGCTTCCCTTCCTGCTGCAGGGGAACAAAACCCACCATCTACACAAAACTTATTCCCCATTAATAATTCATACTAAATTTGGGAAATATCCATTCTTTCCTATAGGAGTAGGATTTTAAACAGTGTACTCTTTTTTATCCATTGGGCCCCGCCCCTCCTGTCCCAGGATACCAAGGCTTATCGTTTTTACAAATTGCTTCCCCTTCACTCAACATTGCTTCAGACTAAATTTTGGCATAAACCAATCATCCCTTCAGTAGGCGTAGGATTTTAAGGTCCCTGGGTGCCGAGACCCATCATTGATAGAACATTTGTCTCTTTCCTTAGGGATGCTTCTGACCGAATTTGTTCAAAATCCAGTAAGTCGTTTATGACTAGTACCAATTTATACGGACGCCGCGGTATCCCATTAGCTCACTTGGCCTTCGGGCCAGACTCCAGGTTTAATTCTTTCATCATGACTGTGTTTTATCGCTAGCGATGCTATACATGGTTATGAGACAAGGATCTAAATTGCTTCAACTATATAAAACTGTTCTCCTATTGAGCCCCTCCCCTCCTGCCCTCGAGGGCTGTGACCAATCGTTTATACAATATCATTCCTAGAGGAGGGGATTGTAAGCATTTTGCTCTATTTCCCATATTCGGTTCCACTCCTCCCGCCCCAGGGGGACGAGACACTTCATTTATACATTATTTCTCCTTCACCTAAAGATGTTTCGTGCCAAATTTGGGCAAAGTCCAGTTATTCCAACGGTAAGAGTAGGATTTGAAGCAATTTTCTCTATTTCCCCTGATGGGCACCGCCCCAGTGGGCAGAGATCCACCGTTTATATAACATTGATTCCCTTTCACACAAAGATGCTTCTGACAAAAATTTGGCCACAATCCAATATCATTCCTACAGGAGTGGGATTTTAAGCAATTTGCTCTATTTCCAATATTTGGCCTCATCCTTCCCATCTCCGGGGGGCTGAGGCCCATTGTTTATACAAATTCGATTCCCCCTCATCAAACATACTTCTTACCAAATTTGGGCAAAATCTAATCATTCCAAGGGAAAGAGTAGGATTTTAAACCATTTGCTCTATTTCCCCTAATGCGCCCCTCCCGCCCCACGGACCCACCGTTTATACAAAATTGAATCCCTTTTACCCAATAATGCCTAATCGTTTTGTAGACAAAAGTTGACAAGACAACAAACGATTGAGGTGAGCTGAAAAAACATTTTTTCCACTCATTTTATTTCACTTCCTTTCATTTCATTTATCTATAAATAACGAAATGTTTTTTGGTGAAAAAAATGAGTTTGTACATGTTGATAGGTATGTTTGTCTAGTATCTGTGTGAGTGTATGTATGTGTGCATGTGAATGTGTGAAACGGGTGTACGAGAGATTTCTGGGGTAAGAATATTGAACATACTTTTTAATTCATTGATATAGGGCGTTTTTTGTGCTGTTTGTTAATTAACATGATTTAGTTAAACATAAAACAAAAAGGATACATAAAAAAAAAATCCTCCAGCGAGCCCCGAAATATCACAAAGATAAAACAACCAGGTCTACAGGATAATGTTCTTATCAGAATTATTACCAAAACGTTGCGCAAGAATCAGACAGTATTTTGTCAGCAATGTTTCGCAGAAATTGTTTTCATGTTTACTTTTTTTATTTCTTGTTATCCATCGCAAATGGAAAGATTATTTTGAACAATAACAAGCCTTCAGGCATTTTTCCATCCGACATAGTGAGCTACATTGATGAGCGAATTGCTTCAGTCACATCAGACCTAACCGCTCGTCTCGAGGAGCTTGAAAGAAGACACGTTGAAGATGTTCATCGCATTGGTAATATAATCTTGCTTACTTTGTACCGTTATTGACCAGCCTTGAACTTTGTACGAAGGATAACACGGTAAAAGAATGATACAATATTGTGATATATGTTTGAAAGAAGGGACAAATATTTTATTCATACTTCCACAATATTGACTAATAAAACTGTAGACATAGTTCTGTTTCTCCTTGGCTGGATATGAAATATGAGCAGACATTAAAATGTAGCCCTAAATTCTTGTTACGTTGTAACTTTTTGTACAAATTTGAATAAACAATACTGACACAAATTCTGACACTTTCCCGTTCTCTCTCCGACACCTCTCGTAAAAACTGGTACATTTTTGTGGCAAATTTGCGGAAATTAATTGTAATTACATGAAAATTTTTTTTACATGTATTGATTATAAATTGCGTTCATGGGTTAAAGTATATGTAAAGAAACCCAATGAGGTATGACTGAATGTTGAAACGGAATCCTTACATAAAGCTACTACTTACACTTGTTGTTTTTCAAACAGACGTTCTAGAACGCCTTCATGCCAGCGACCTTCATCAGATGATGGACATGGGACGCGATATAGCTGGTCTGAGGACTGAAAACAAAGGTCTTCAGACGACTATAAGCTCTCTGCAAAATCAGCTACATTCCATAACCCCAATGCCAAAAAACCAGACATCCAGCAGAGCGCCAAATACAAGCGAAATTAAAAGAAATTTAGGTTCGCAAAAGGGAAGGACAAGCAACGACATTATCACCACAACACATTCAATAACGAAATTAAGAAGAAACTTAAATAAAGACGACAAATGGGGAAACAGTTTGACCAGAAACGTGCCGGGTTTGTATTATCAATCTATAATCATACCCACTTCACAAACAATATCTGTCCAGTGCTATAAAACGTAGAATGTAGACGTAGACAAGGTTTACGTTAGATGTCTTATTTCAGGTTCGACGAGTGCCATAGTTGCCTTTCACGCCATTCTCGCACATACTTTGACGGATCCTGGGAACGAGCATGCTATCGCATTCGAGAACGTCGTAACACAGGTTGGTGGACTCTACAGCAAGAACACGGGTGCCTTTATGTGTACTCAGCCTGGTGTGTATGCCTTCCATTGGAGCATACGAATTAAATCAACTAGTCATTACATGTATACAGAGCTGTCCAGAAACGGAGATACCATTGGTACTGCTATTTCGTATGGGGCTACTTTAGGCTCGGCATCAGCTGTGGTCGACCTGAACGTTGGTGATGAGGTTTGGGTCAGGGTTGTTAAACATGCAAGTGGTGCTGATATCGAGGAATATGTTTCAATGTTCTCTGGTTTCTTAATAAATTAGATAAAAATCATGAGATTTGTTTGCGTTCGAACATCAAAATAAGTTAAACAGTAAAGGTGTATGAATGTGGATGTGGCCCTAAACATGTTAAGAGATGCATTAGATACAGACCGGAATATGATACACAAGACACTTAAGAGACGGACTTCAAACGAAACAGGAGATAGAATGGCTACAGGCCTTAAAGTGATAGGTGATGCACAAGATACGGATCTAAACGTGAATCGAGACACAATAAATCGTGAACTGAACGTTAACTGGACATGAACTGCTTTTTAAAGACACAACAGTCTGTGAACTGAAGGTAATTCGAGATTTACTAGGGAACTGGGCATAATTAGACGCACTAGAGAAAGACCTCAACACAATTAGATGTAGAACTGGATATGATAAAAAAAAAGGATACGGATATGAATATGATATAGAGGTAAATGGAATACGGACCTATATGAAGGTCCAGTACAGAGGCAGATGGAATCCAAAAAATTAAAGTCCTTCAATTTAGTTGAATTGTACAGAGTTAAAGACGGTTTGTGCAGATCACATTTCCTACAAGCACTATTGAGACACTTAAAATTAATGAGTATTGAATTTTTATAAACAAACCAATACGTAGTTGGTTCTGTTTGGACGTTTTAATGGTATTGGTGAAAACCTTTCTTCTGACAACATATTACGTGTCATTTATATTAGATTAAAGAACATCAAAAGTCTTCGTTTAGTTTTCTTCACACATTAGTAGAGTTGGAGGGACTGGAATATACAGTTTCAAATTTACTACATATGTACAACAAAGGCAAAGGAAAGGAATGGGACCAAATTGAACTGTTACAAATTAACACCCATGTGTAGAGTCTGATTTATCAGCAGCTGAGCAGGGAGATAATCTCATGTTAAATAAATGTCAGAAGTGATGTAACTTCATCCTTTCCTATGTAATACACTTAATCTCTCCTTAAATCCGTTAATCATGATAGATAAGTTCAACTTAAATATTTCTTTTTGTTTATTTTATTTCCCATCAGTAACAATTTAGTTTAGCACACTTCAAATTGTTCAACAATTTTCAGTCCTGTAATGGGGACGAGTGCTACTTTGAAGCCAAAAGATAAATATCACATCTTTCATGAGACCATTTTTCTGGAGTTGAACACCTTGATACCGTTCTGTAATGAAGAGCGAGCATACTTGAGCAGTAATCCTCCTACATCTACTTTCGCTGTGGTCAGGTCACTAAAATGATAAAAAGAAATTATAAACATATGCAAGCTGTCTCAACACCCAAGACAAAATACTTCTTTGAATTTCATTTTATACTAGTTACAAATTGTTATTTGTTTAGCAATTAAAAAGTGAATCGGGCCTCAAGTTATGTCATCCACATAAAATTGACGAGCATAAAAAAATCATGAATATCAAATTTCATAAAGTCCTGAACATTTTCAAGACATTGAAATACTGACATCTACTACTCTTGAAGATTTTATCAGATAATTACCGAACAAATGGAGAAATTTCATCTAAGGTCCACTTCTCTCGAGTCCGAAACAAAGCATCAAAACGCTCTCCGACATCCTCCGGGAGATTTTCAACAGGGAAGTACCATATAACTTCAGGCTTACTGCTGCGGTCAATCAGTGTCATCCCCTGTATGGTGTATCACAGACCTCAAATGTGTTGCTATCCATTGTACTGTTTATTACTGATTTTACATATTTTGCTATCTACTGTACAATATATTTGTATATATTATATATTTAATGGGATAATCTACACAAGCTGGCAAATTTCTGGCTGTTTTGAACCTTTTCAGGACTCTTTCTAATGACTTATCAAAACTATATCTTTCCTAAATTCAGTTTGGAAATGCAAAATTGGTGAAAATACCCCTTCCTATATAAAATTAGATTGTAAATATAGCACCCTATGGGATCGAGAACTCAGTCAATGAATTGGGTAAATAAATAGGTATGTCTGCTAATCTCTTATGATTTTTGCTGATATTCAAATTTCATTGCTTTGTTTGGCTTCTTTGTGGCCTAATCATGTAAGTATCATGTTCATAAAGTCTTTATTTACAAAAAAAATGGACTTCCATTTATCTACAAAGGAGGACCCCGAGTAAGATGCATTTTTTTCACATATACCCGGTACATACTAAGGAGAATCCAGCTTCTGAACCTAGGTTTCCTATTATTATATTTATCTATTGCATATCCTCAAAAATAAAATTCAGAAGGAGTTGACAGCTTTGAGTAGATTGTGCTTTGAATTGTTTCCTTGAAAATCACACATTTGGTATGAAAACAGTCCTGGAATTTCAAACACAGGGAACTATGTAAACATTGCTTGATTGTTATCCAAAATGGCTACTTCAAGGAAACAAACAGAACACTTCAGTAACATTCTTTGTACAGCTTAACTCAAGAATTCAACTCTATATTACTGCTGACAAGTGACTAGATAAACATTTATGATCAAACCATGATTATAGTATAAGTATGGAGAGAGGGGGAAACCTGATCAAACCATGATTATAGTACAAGTATGGAGAGAGGGGGAAACCTGATCAAACCATGATTATAGTACAAGTATGGAGAGGGGGGAAACCTGATCAAACCATGATTATAGTACAAGTATGGAGAGAGGGGGAAACCTGATCAAACCATGATTATAGTACAAGTATGGAGAGGGGGGAAACCTGATCAAACCATGATTATAGTACAAGTATGGAGAGAGGGGGAAACCTGATCAAACCATGATTATAGTACAAGTATGGAGAGGGGGGAAACCTGATCAAACCATGATTATAGTACAAGTATGGAGAGAGGGGGAAACCTGATCAAACCATGATTATAGTACAAGTATGGAGAGAGGGGGAAACCTGATCAAACCATGATTATAGTACAAGTATGGAGAGAGGGGGAAACCTGATCAAACCATGATTATAGTACAAGTATGGAGAGGGGGGAAACCTGATCAAACCATGATTATAGTACAAGTATGGAGAGAGGGGGAAACCTGATCAAACCATGATTATAGTACAAGTATGGAGAGGGGGGAAACCTGATCAAACCATGATTATAGTACAAGTATGGAGAGTGGGGAAAACCTGATCAAACCATGATTATAGTACAAGTATGGAGAGGGGGGAAACCTGATCAAACCATGATTATAGTACAAGTATGGAGAGGGGGAAACCTGATCAAACCCAAGTATGATCAAACCATGATTATAGTACAAGTATGGAGAGGGGGGAAACCTGATCAAACCATGATTATAGTACAAGTATGGAGAGAGGGGGAAACCTGATCAAACCATGATTATAGTACAAGTATGGAGAGGGGGGAAAGCTGATCAAACCATGATTATCTTACAAGTATTGAGAGAGCGGAAAACCTGATCAAACCATTTGAATAATATCATTATAGGCTATGTCGGGGAAGAATGCAGAATGCACGGACATCTCAACCCTGAAGAACATCCACCCATTGATCACTGACCATGACAATGGGACATTACTGAAGCAATAACCTTTTTTTAAGCTTGAAGATGGACTACAATCCAACATCAGGTAATGGGAGAATGCAAGTGTGTATGATATACAAATATACATACAGTGAATCTTTTCCAGAAGTTTGGAATAGCTGAAAAGTTACTTTGACCTTGGAGAATCTGTAACTAATTTTCTTCTCTCTACTGTTGATTACAAACGGTTTTATATTGACCTTAAAACAAATCAATTATGCCCATATTTTTTCACTACCAGTGTGACACTATTTCATATAACCAAGCTAACAGGGTTAAATTTGTTCTGTTCATTGGGTTAGGGTACTATTCCAATGCAAGGTGGAAACATAATTAAGGAACATTACCTCTACTTGATGGAGATACGTCTTCATCCCTGATGGCACACTCTGCTCCCAAACAGACAGAAATTCTTGCAGGTTAAACTGTAAGAAAATATCAAAATCATTTGAAAAACATATTTGTGTCATTATCAAAATTAATGGAACACTGAATGTAAATTTCATTGTATTTTCAAAATATGACAACATGAATTAAGAAAAATTTTAATGAAACAGTACATACCTTTCCAGAATTTCGAAGGCACAGCTCTGCAAAAAATCTGCAAATTTTGTCTTCATTCAATGTGTAAAAGGCTGTATCTGTAACAACAAAACAAAAGCATAGAGGCAAATGTATGTATACAACATTATCAAATAAAAAGCAACAATATTTTGAGATAAACATTTATCAATCTGAGTAATTTGACTGGTTTAGATATCAACACAAGTTTCTTGTAACAACTATCAGGTATCAGACAGGTTTTTAATTTCTTCCATATCAAATTCACTATGTGTGTCACAAAGAGTTATGGTTATATCCAGATTTTCTAAAAAACAATTCAGACTCTACCTATTTCCATGCGGGAGTCATCATCTTCTGTACTAGCTGGTGACGACATTTTGTCTGCATAACAATTAACAACATGTTCTATAACTGGCCTGTAATACAAAAATAAAATAATGTAACAAACACAAATCTAATGCACAAGCAATTTGCCTGAAAAGCTGTGTCATTTCTATATGTAAGCAAGAGTAGGACAGGACACAACAATATAACCTACATCATGATAAAGAAAAGTATTTCATTGTATGTATTAAAATGAACATAAATATACCATTGAAAAAAGCACAATTTCATATCATAATTAAACCTAGCAATAACTTTTGTTGAAAATTGAAGTGGGCAACAAAGGGCAATAAATCTTACTTATTAAGTCAAAATGCTATGAGGGAAAACAGTCCCACGTGTATTGATGACACATTTTATAGAGGAATCGATAAAAACAAAAACTGAGCTAAGAAATTTCTGAATAAGATGAAAACGCTGAGACAAAAAACAAAAAGCACTAATACTTTCTAAAAATTGTTGAATCTAGAATCTATTCAGGAAAAGACAATTTCATATCACAGTTATAGAGTCTTATTAGTTTCAAAGGAATTGAATGAAAACTGAGGGAGGAGACCTCAAGATAAGATTAAAGTATTCGTCATATCTCAGTTGAATCTTTGTGCTGTTTAGATAGCTACAACTTCATGTCATTGTAATTCAGTTTCTTTCAAGTTGGAAATAAATTAGTTGGAAAAACCGAGGGAGATGATTGCTACGGAGTTGGTTTTTTTTTTCATTCCTCCAGCAAAAACCCTGTCGCTCAACTGCAATGGTCAAAAGAAGAATATTACATAGTTCAGGTCAGGTGTTGTAGTTTCTGTTTGATAATATGAAGTAATTTAAAATGTTTTACCCCTTGCAGCATCCTAGATACTCAAGGGGTTACGATCACTTGCTTTTTGCACCCTTGTAACAGGTCATGACAAACCTGAAGGCACAAGTGATGTACTTTGATTGGTTTCATGAGAAATAAACTGACCAATCATAGGCTGATATGCTTCTTTCAGATTGTAAAGGAATGACACCCAACTTCAATGCCATTACAATATACCGTTATGTGACCTCGAGATTCGTTCGATGTACATCAAAGAATCAAACTAATCTTTTCGTCTTGTCCACAAGGTGTCGCACCCAGAGCAATCCAAGGGTGAAAAGAGTGAGTGATTTTTACCTCTTGGATATCGAGGATGCAGTGGAATATAACACCTCTTTTACCTTGGAAAGAGCTCCTCTAATGTTTGACAGCAGTCTTCTAAAGGGAGACCATTCCGCAGCCAGTCATTCTCTTCTGACAGCTGTATGATATGGTTAAGTACTTGGGTTAAGAAGTCAAAATGCAATACACGCCAATATCCTGCAATGTAGAAAACATGCTACTGATGGTAAGTATTCAAAATTCTAATCCATGTATTTGGGGAGTAAAATTGTAAAACGCACAAATTAACCTAACAGTAAATTGCAATGAAGGTGATAATATTACCAATATTGCATCAAACTGTTCACTCACAAACCTCAAAATCCTGAACACAAAAGAAGAATATAACAGCGAAATGTTTCAATTTCAGCTATATTCCTTTATAAAACTGTGATTTGGAACATCAGTTACTGGTGGAGTGAACAGAACACTTCAATATTAATGTAGCATGTTTTTATGGAGCAATTTCCCGAAGACTATATTCTATGGGGCACATCAGCGTCAGTGACTTTTCATCAAAATTTAATTCAGAACAACCTTTGCTGGTATGGACATAATAACTCCAGCAAAGTCAGTCATTAGTTGGAGAGGGTTTAATGAGTAAAATAGTCACTGGTGACTCTTCACAACAACTTGGTGATAGAAAATTCAGCTTTTAGTGTGACAGTAACATAAAAAAACAGAAACATTTTTACAGATTATCATATTTCATGTCTTATTTAATAAACATAATAAACAAAATGTATTTTTATAAAGAGTAAAAAATTAATTCATGCCATCATTGTGAAACAGGTTAACAGTACAGTACTCTCTACACTTCACTGCAGTTTCCCAAAATGTGAAAGCAATGTAGATATGTAATCAATTTCTTTTTACCATATTAGTAACATTAATGATGTATCATATTGATAGTTTAAAAAAAATTATTTTCATTCTTTATCAATTAGAAAAACATCAACTGTCTTTGATAAATGGAAACAAGTCTATTTGTTTGGCAAAAGTAATTTCTGTAACATTTTCATGTGCAAGTGCAAAAGTCAATGTTTCCATGCTAGTAGGGTAAACATGTTAATCTTGTAATGTTATATAGAGATAAAACTTTGAAAGTATAAATATACTGAAATGGTTATGGTTATCTGCAATTAATGCTGTAAAATACATAAAATATCAAAATTGTTTAAATAGTACACACCCTCAAGGTTACAGGCCTGTAGTTTCTTCAGAGCTGCTGTGATCTCTGCTTCACTTGCTTGTACTAAATTCAGAAGATCTTGAAACGTGTACTGCATAGAAAACAAAAATGAATGTAAGATTAATAGTACTTTCAAAAACCAATTGCATGTACACAAACTGTTTGGAAATTACTGTGAAATGTTCATGATTTGTGAAACAAACATTTTGAACATGTATGCACAAATAACAAACTAATAGTTCAAATTATTTATTACTAAGGAGATATAATTTATGTTTAGTTAGCCAAGATTGTTAAACATGTTTTTTATGTATATAATATCCTATAAACTACAACTGATAATTATTCATGGAGTGGTGACTGTCATGTTTTATGTAAAATTTCAAATTGAGTGGCAACCACAATCAAAGCCAGTACTATATGCCTGATTTCTAAAATGTTTGTCTGACACAATCACAACTAAGTTCTTTAGACCAATATAAAAAATCTGTTAGACTAAACACAAGTTGTTGTATCTTGTTCTGTTTGAAAATTCTTTAATATCTCTGTTCTGTAAAAACCTTGATTTCATACCACCCCTACCCCTTTGTTATTTCCTGGTTCTATTGAACATATGCAAATTATTTTTCTGAATTTCAATGTAGCCATCTAACCCATGATACTACCAAATAAATGTATACAGGAAATAAAGCAATCATATCGATATGTGTTCACATTTTAAACCGTCATGCTTCATCAAGACAACGCTTGTTCAGTAATCAGAGTGAGAGTGATCTCCCCCCCACCCCCTAAAAAAAAACAACACATATACAATAATCAGTCGATTTAACTTGCACCCAATGCTTCTAATTGATTGACCATAACATCAGATCAAGAATTTTTTTTAAGGTTTTAAAAGAAGTGTGACAAAAATTAAGCCCTATACAGGCAGAATACCCTGTCATATTAGTATGTCCTTGTCAATGAGACTCACTTTCTCATCCATGTGATCCTCATCTTCCTCACACTCTTTGCCATTGTACATATTTTTTTCCAGTAACATCTTTAGCTTCTTTACCTTAGGTTTACATGGCCGCAGCTCAAAGTAGTTGTGTAATACTGAGGTCACCTGCAAAAGCATGTCAGTTATAATCTGTTCATTTTGATCCTACTAAGGTGTCACAAGATAATAGCAGTATCATATAACAGTCACTAATTTCTCATGACTACACATCAGGGAAACGTCAGTAACAGAGCAATACAACATTATAAAGAACAAATTAGCAAATGCTAACAACATCTGCCATCATGCTTATGGAAAAGGTCGAAATAATTTGATCTACAATACCCAAAACCAAAAATGATATAAAATGTGATTTCTGATTTTTTTAGTCAACCATACTTACTACAAACTATGGTCAAACAATATGATTAATTCATATTGCAATGAATTATAAGAACGTGTTATAAAACATGTACTTGCAACACAAAATTTTATAAATCTTAAGATAGCAACGGTTAATTCATAAGAAGAAAGATTAACATTAAATGCACTTAAATGCATTTAAATAAAAACAGAAAAAAAAAAAAATGCACTGAGAATTCAGAAAGTGTCATGATATCAGTGACACTGCACTCATTTATCCCAGACTAAACCAGATGGCCAATACATTACCTCTGACTTAAAGTACTGGGACTGCATCATTACAGGACAAATGAAGAATTGGTTGGCATATTTCTACTGAAAATGTAATAGATGTGGGCAGAATTATTGATCACCAGACAGATTTATAGCCAGATAAACAGTAATGTTGTGTTAAAGTCTAACCTGTCTATAACTGACATTTGGATCACCCTTGTCTGGTAAATCATGACTCAATGCCATCTCTGGTAGTAGCAGCATGCAGTTGGATATTTCTGCTTCCTTTATGTCATATGTTTTACTGCCAGTACATAGTACAGCACCTTCCGTCTTCTCTCCTCGAATCACCAACCTGTACACCAGTAAATATTATCAATACCTGTCCCACTCTGCATCCTGTGTTCAGAATTATTTACAAGTATGAATATGCAAAAACTATCGTAGAAACTATTAAGATTATGATTTTTAAGTAGAAAAGAAAACACAATTTTCTGTGTTTACTAATATTTCAGAACTCACATATGTATTATTATCTTCTATGAAATAGTACACCAATGTTCCATATTATGTAAACTTGAAACACGTTCTCGTCACATTCAATCTTTAGGCCACTGGCCCATCAAAGCCTTTGAAACCATCACACATAAAAAGTAGAGCATCCTTGTTTTACTTATATATATACCAGCATACATGTAGGTCTACTCAGGGATTTGTGATCCTGGCCTACTGTAAACTCACAAAAATAAAGAAAAATACCCACTCATCTCCAGCTTCAAGAGCTGTCAGAACCGAATCATCCACTTCCAATAACTTCACAGCATCATTGTCCAACTCCTCTGAAAAGCAGATGGACTGGATTGCAGGCTTAACTTCGGCTGGGTCTATTTTGGCATACTCCATCACCAGTTTTATATCCTCCAAAGACCTGCAGCTTTACAAGTTAAATTTGCATAAGTCAACAATTAAAACAAAACATTGTAGGATCCTTACTAAGTTTGAAGGAAGTCATGATCAGAATATTATACATTCTTGAAATATTTAGACACAGCACGTGCACCACCGGCAAAATGAATAAATGAAGTATTAACCAAGATATTAGTTTGTCGTTAGTCTGAATGTCAGACATCTGTATTAGCACAACCTGTTAAAAGTGAATTATCGCAACCAGCTGACGATGTCATGTCGTTAACTAGTATGTATGTGTACTGAAAACTATGTTCGAAAGTCTGATCTTGTATCAGTTGAACATGTTTACAAATCGGATATGAAGCCGAATTATTTTGACGTACCGTCGATTTTATCTATATCGGTTTGGGATCAGATCGATGTAGAAAAAGTCGATAGAATGTCAGAATTATCGGAATAACTGGACATGTTGAAAGGCGCTTGCCTTTTTGATGAATCAACAATGTAGACGAGTCCAATATCTGATTCATGGCAAGCGCCTGTGTTCTTCGATAAACTTTCGTTGTTTCAGCAATGACATGGTTAAAGTCATATTTCAAATGCTTTTCTGTTAGCTCATCAGCCATAGGACTGTCAAAACCGATTCTAGAACTGGCATTCAACTTTAAAGTACCTTAGATCCCCGTTGTTTACATCGTTCATTTTGGTGTCCATATTGCTGTCAAAATGTAACTCCCGCCAATTATACCGGAAGTAGTGAAGTAGACAGGAGGTAGTACTAACTACAACATGAACATCTCTATGTCCTGTAACAGTCAAGAGATGATAAGTATACTCGCCAAATATATATATATATTGTGACAAACGTACAGAACAAAATAAAAGAGGAAATCATGTAATGAACTGAAATATTCCATGTCTTGTTATCCTCGGCAATATCTGTCATATAGTCCAGATTATTGTATGTCAAATACAGAACTAGGATAGCATTAACAGTGACGTTGCCCAAAACTAACACGTGTGACTTTGATATCTGGATTCTGCGTAAAAGGATATGACATATCTACTAACAGTGTTCAAGAGGGACGGGGAGTCATAATTTACATTCAAAGTGTTAATTAATGCATTTACAGGTGTCACTCAAGATTTTCCACATCTGCCTTTATACTGCAAAGCTCCGGTCAAACACACAAGACAAGATATACTGCTTCTACAAAGGAACTTGGAATAGATCTATGTGTCTAGAGCTGGATGAAAATAAGTGGGGTGAAATGTATGAAAAGCATCTGGAGGAATCATGGGCCTACTTTGTAAAAAAGTGAAATGTATAGAAAAATTTGTACTAATGAACAGCGATACAGACAGTGTAGAGAAAAATGAAAAAAAGTACAGAAGTAGTAGAAATGCCGTTGAGAATTATGAAAGAGCAAGGAACCGCGCCACCAATTATCAGTGACAGGCTGCTAAACAATATGAGTTTAGGATAGACCGAAAAAGTTTTCTAATTTTTAATGTATTCAAACCAAGACGAAAACAAACCAACATATATTTCTTCAATAAATGCAGACGGGAGAATAGTAACTGTTGATAATGACAAGACAGACGTTCTCAACAAGCGTTTCTGCAAAATATTTCCCACCGAGGATCTTCAAAATATTCCTGCATTACCAATGAATGGTCTGAAAATGCATATGAGGTAGGCGAACATTACCGAAGAAAATGCAGTGACAAAGCTATAAAAACTGTACACCTCCGAAGTCCCAGGTCCGGACGGAATTTAGCCAAACAACTATACGAATCAAGACAAACACTTGAATATCATACTTAATCCTTTGTACACAACAAACGGAAGACACAAATACACTATAGGTGGTGATGAAATACAACAAGGAGACCAAGATAGAGATGAAAGAATCACATTTGGAACTTATTTAAAGAATAGCATACATGTAGCAACTAGTGTGAAGAGGCAAACCGATTAGATTGATAGGGCGATTAAAGAGGTCATTCAAGAGCATGAACAAAGTAATGCTTATTACACTGTGTAAAGCCTTCATTAGACCTTATTTGGAGTATGCTATAAATGTATGGAATCTACTGTTAAAGAAAGGCATTAGAGATCCTAATTAAAGGAGAGACATTAAGTTTGTCAGAACTTTAAAGGTGTTATCATATCCATATGGGCTACTTTCCCCCGCACTTCCAACCTTCCAATATAGGAGAACGAGATATAAAGTCATTAAGTCTAAAGAATCCTTAAGAGAATTGAAGAAACAGGGCAAGGAATGTTTGAAGTCATAAGAACAACAGAACAAGGGGACATAGCATCCATATCCAGCAGAAACACTCAACACTATACTGTAGGAGGCACTTATTCGGATAATGAGATACAAGAAACTGGAATCGTTTACCAATGAAGTGATTAGAGTTATAATGCTCAATGCATTCAAATCAAGGAAAACCACTCATTGGAAAAGACTAGAAATCAAGTTCAATCCAGATTGCTACTAGTAAGGAGCTTTCTACCTGTGAAATATGAATCTTGGAACTATGTACAATAACAATAACAGATTTTAAAAGTGAACATTGACGTCCCCGCAATGTTATTTTTAAACATTTGGATGTGATGTTTAGAAATTGAACAGAACAGCTCTGTGATGCCACAACAAAAAAAGTTAAAGAAATGTCTATTTCTTTTCAAGAACGGAGGCCAGCGATAATATAAAGCGTAATAGAGTTATAGATCGACATTAAATCAATTCCGTCTCTATAGAATGTAGTAACATAACCCGGTTTTAAACTCATAATACTCACAGAACCTTAATAGTATGAAGAACTGTAGTATTTTAGATAAATAATTGGCTGATCACAAGTGAAGTTGTACAGTAGTTGAACCAACAATAAATTATTGTTAACTGGTACTCTGGTCGATCATATGATCAACTACTATCTTAAACAAAGATGTTACTATATAGAGTTAATAAGCCTATTTCAGGGAATGTCATGGTAACACGAGATCAAGGTACTTGTATACATTACTTGCACACAGCCTCTTACTTATCACTCAAATCATGCCAAACGTTATTTGTGGTTGTGAAGTTAGGATCAAGAGATACAAAAACGTGTTTTGGATATTTTTGGAAGTTTATATACCTGAAGGATTCGATTTACTCTGAAAGTGCAACCAATCACTTTCAATTGTAACTTTCCACGGAATCAAAAAAGGTATGTCGACACAAAGTCTTCGGTTCGTAAGTGTAGTTATCAGATGCTAGATCTTTGACTACGTTATATACACAACATAACATCAGTAGACTACATTCTTATATAAGTTATTCAACGTATTTATAGTTAATTCAAAGCTTAACTACAGTATAAATATTCAAGTAATTTGTATTACATTTGTTGCTGGAAAAATATTTTGAACAAAATTTTCAGACTATAATCTATATTGATACACAAAATGTGAAGTCAATTTTCATTAAACTTATTTAATGATATTGTAAAACAAATAATCGACGGGAATCGACAAACCAGTTATGTATTTCAAAACAAATTTTAATGAATAATTATACAAGGCATGTGTATGTTAATCATACTGTATAAGACAATTTAACGTATTTAAACACAAATAGCTGATTCAATGATAACGTATTTCGAATTAACTATGTTCGACAGACTGATCATCTTCCTGAAGGCTAAGAGTTAATATTTGATGTAAGTTTGAACTGCAATGTAGCCGTTTTATCGTGTCTAACCAAAACAATGTTATGTCGGTGAAGGATATAACCTTATACTGAGTTAAACACAACAGTACATAGCTACAATGTTATGGTGATGAAGGATTTTACCTTATACTGAGTTAAACACAACAATACATAGCTACAATGTTTGGTTGATGAAGGATAATATCCAATACTGAGTTAAACACAACAATACATAGCTACAATGTTTAGTTGATGAAGGATATTACCTCATACTGAGTTAAACACAACAATACATAGCTACAATGTTATGGTGATGAAGGATAATATCCAATACTGAGTTAAACACAACAATACATAGCTACAATGTTATGGTGATGAAGGAATTTACCTGATACTGAGTTAAACACAACAATACATAGCTACAATGTTATGGTGATGAAGGATAATATCCAATACTGAGTTAAACACAACAATACATAGCTACAATGTTTTGTTGATGAAGGATATAACTTCATACTGAGTTAAATACAACAATACATAGCTACAATGTTATGGTGATGAAGGATATTACCTCATACTGAGATAAACACTCTAGCACATAGCTACAATGTTTTGTTGATGAAGGATTTCACCTTATACGGAGTTAAAAAACACAAATATATAGCTACAATGTTTTGGTAATGGAAGATTTTACCTTATACTGAGTTTAACACTCTAGCACATAGCTACAATGCTTTGGTGATGAAGGATAATACCCAAGACTGAGGTAAACCACTTCAATAAATACAGTGCTGTTTTTAATGCCTTAAGCATCCTTAAAGGAATGACAATATAATGTACACATCAGGATAAATAATATCAATATAAGATAATGCCATTTACAAATACATGTTCTAAAAATTATTTATAATTTGTTAGAACACCATGGTGGGGTTTTTGATCCCCACCTAGGACCAAATGTCTTCTCATGTAAAATTTGTTGTTCATGCTTGAAACTCTTATGTTTCAAGTTCGTCGTTTATGTATTAATAAACGGCCAATTTCAATCAAATCTGATCTTTTGTCTTGTCTTTTATGCTTATACATTTGGTCCAACTAGCTTGCCCTCACGACGGTCATGTATAATGCCATTTACAAATACAAATATACGGTATAGTTTCTGTTGAAAAATACCCAAATACATTTCCATGTGTCAGTTAAAAGCACTTTGAACCGACACCTAAACGATAAAGTCAAACTTGTTTTACATCACTAGACAATCAACTTGCAGCTGTGATGCCAGAAAAAAATTATTCACTTTTGTGAGAAACACAATATCCTACGTGATTGCAAGATGTATGTGAGACTTTGCGAGTTTGTGCTGTGTTTTTTACAGGTGCCATACTTGGTAGGTCTAACAGCAGTTATACAGTGTCACTCCATTTTAACACTACACCATATTACATCTTATACTCCGCAAATCAGTGGTGAGAATAAGGAAATAGATTGACACGCCAACAACTGTGCTCAGCGACTCCAATACTGACAGTCACTAATGACATGCTTGCCACATTTGACGGAACTAAAATGTTAGCCATTGTGTCATGACGTTATCTGCACGACCATGACGTCATTGATCAGACACAACACACGCGTTGACGTTATCCTTCCTTTTGGTAACGTCACGACTGCTTTTGAAGACAGCCATCATTGACAAAGACATTTGTAATACTTGTCACTGGCTATATTTCTCACACTTTCACAACGTCCCGTCTGTGTGTTAAGACTGTGATATCGATAACGTTTTCATTTGACATGATAGTCCGACCAACATCTTTATGATTCATTCTTAGGACATTCACACAATTTACCGCGTAAACGTACTGTCGTACCTGTGGACAAAGAAAGCAAATTAAGACTTACATTGACTATGACTATGAAACAAATCATACAATACGTTACCACTGATCTTCAAACAGAGTGAGCAATATGGATGTTTGAGTGGTTTATATCAAATGATATGCAACATGGTATACCCCCACCCTCCGACATATAAACATCATCACCGATAGTATATTAATCATTGATCCATACACTTTATGAAGTATATCAACGACTGCCCTTTGTTCCAGTGTTTACTGCCTGATGATAGACACGAGTTGATGGGAGTGTATGTCTTAAGATGTAAGGATTTTATGGCGATACTATTAGATATAACAAGAATTTATAACGATGGCTTCATTTATAAGGTTATCAAAGGTCAGCTGCTGTGTATCACCAATATCACTGCCCTATATTAAATGTCAATGACTTAATGTACATATATGTACCTTTAGTCCTGCCGAAGCTGCTGGTCCAGTGGGATCTACTGTCTGGACGTATGTCGGCCCATCACCTCGTAATACAAATCCGTATCCGACAGAGTCACTGATAATCTAAAAATCAAACAAATTTTCTGGAACATTTCACGTCGAAACTATATACAGCATACCACCAATTTACACTATGTTTGTCTCATTGTACTCATGACATTCCGAGCTAAATATCTTACATGATTTTGACCTTCGTCGTGTGCGAGTATAGTGGCCAGTTCAACTTCTGAAAGCAAAATTATTTCAATAATAGACATTTTCACTGAGTTAGCCCCATGTGGCGCTAATAATGTTTGTGTTGTTTTACAGACTCAATTCTAAAAAAAAACCATTCTGTTAAACATATAACTCTTCATAATGTCATGTAAAGTAACACAAGGGTAACATATCAATACATTTTATAGAAATTTAGTCACAAATGTCGAAGAGAAAACTTTTTGACATCCGTCACTACAAATCGATCTTCTATGATCAGGATATATTTGATATCGAAGTATGTCCATTTCGTGTATTGATGCGAATCGAAAAACATGTCCCGCTATTATTGAACACCATCGGGAAGATTTGCTTAGATTCGCCAATGCTGAATATGCTCAATAAATGAGATCCTTCCATGATAAGTTATTCTTCGTAGGGAATAATACCTGACGTATACAATAAATGCGGCCATGTCACTATCGTTAAAAAGAAAATCATATTTGTTTTATTTGTCGGTTAGTAGTAATACTTATTTATACAAATCAGTCTTTCTTTAAGATACTATATTTGAAAAAATGAAACATTTGTAAATAATATCGTGTACTGGAGGTATTTCGCGCTAGCAGCTTTTCGGGTGTGAACCCTATTTCTAGTGACGATCCACATTGGATAACTTATTGTGTTATACGAAATCAAATTTCACTGCTGTATTATTCGTGTGTAGAATGAGAATATTTGTTCAATCTACTGTTAAGAGTCAAAAGTTTGCAATTGATATCATATTTTATGGTCTCGGTGTACTTTTCATCAATTTGAAAATGTTATTATGGCTCTACAGAATGTTGATGTCGTTTACTTAATTTTTCTGTTTGTGAATATTTTTTGCTTGTTTTTGTGTATATGAGGGGGTGGGGCTGTTTGTTTGTTCGTTTGTTTGTCTTTTTTAAAATTTATTTGTTAAATCTGAATAAATGAGTTAACCATTCGATCCTCTTGATTAACAGTCGTGATTTATTATTCAATAATGTTATAAAGTATGTTATATTAGAGGGATTATTTCGGTAGTACAGTAGCTAATATATATATAATATTAGATTAAGCTATTAAGCTTCAGAAGTTACTGCGACATAAGTATTGAAACAAATCTAAACAAAACCATAGAAACTTCATTAACAGTGTATAATATTTGGACCCTGTCGTGTCCTGATATGGTAACAGAATCCTGGTTAAACAGATAAAGAGATTTGGTGATCCCGATAAACAACAATGATAGTTTGGTTGATCTATGTGTTGTCTTCAGTGTACAACACGATACTATTATAAAATTATAAAAAGATAAACAAAAGTCAAAGTATATATGTTAATGCTGTTATCTTTACAAGTTATCAAAACCTGCCGAGTCATATTGAGTGTACAAACAAACCACAAATCAGCTGTGGTAGATTGAGGTGTGTTGTGTTTACCTGTATACCTACTGTCTACATATATAAACTGCTGATAATGTTTACTTCTATTTCGTCATACATTATAAAATTAAGTAATACCTCTTCTAAAACCGAATATGATTTTTCATTCTATATACGCTCACGATTAATGATACAGGAATGAAATATACAATCATTTTTTAATCGATTTCGTTAAACAAACCAGTTCTATAGTGTATTTTGTTTACCCCGGTCCTTGGTATCACTAACCAGTCCTAGATGGAACTTACCCTCATTCTGTGTTTTACATATGGTGTATCGGGCGATTCTAGTTCCTCCGCAGTGGCTTGGCGCAACATTACTGCAATGCAAAGTATATAGGAACTGAAGGAGTGATATTGGTTATGATCGATTCATTTCAATTTCTACATATACAATTTCATCGTATTAAAAAAGAAATGAGAATATTCAAAGAAGTATTTACAATGAATATATTTCTTTTAATATTCTCATTTATTTTTTATACCAATATGTAATCGATACAGCAGAGCCAAATAACGAAGGAAACTGCATCATATCGTTTTTTTGTCCTTCTAGAACTCTTTGGTGACGCGAAGAGCCGGAACTTTTGAAACCAAAGAAGCAATTAGTTACAGCACAAACCGTTGTCTAAAACTGATGAACTTAAGACAAAGTAACACAACTATTAATTCTTATAGGAATAACATTAAGTTCCAAGATTTCTAGGAATTAAGAAATGGAACTCATAAAATCCTATTATTAATTTTCAGAAATTTCTCATAAACTGAACACTTCCTTAAGATATTTCTTACTTTGAATAATGGGCTCCTATTACCTATATTTATCTATATATGGCGACTCCGCTATATGATTGTTTTCTCACCGCGATGTGTATACCACTGGAACAAAGATGGTTTTTACCTGACTTTGGGCCGTTTGCCTCCCCGTGCTCATTGCTTTGTTCATTTTCAGAAGACCAGGAACCACTCCTGTCTAATGAATCATTGAATCCCTCGTCCATGTCCTCGTTATCTGTGAGGATATTTAACACAAATAAATCAACATTATATAGATCTTTGTTCTATTCAATCATAGTCATAGTTGATATAATATTGAAAGAGTAAATCATCTGATTTATGAATATTGTCTACAATGAAAGTTTCGATTTTTTTATTCATTTTAATTTCAAGAAAAAACCTTTCTGTTATAGTATTTCCATATGATCCTCGTTACCCAAGATTTCTTGACTCACCATTTAATAAGGCTGAAAAGTGATGCAACTGAATTTGTACAGAAATCTCAGGAATTGCAAAAAGGAAATATATATTTACTGTGGTTTAATTTACCATGACTGCATATCATTATTTTGTATGAAAGAATTAAAAAAAATAATAAAAAACAAAACAAAACAAACAAAAACAAATAAATAAATGAATACCGTCAATACTTGTATGATCTAATCCAATTTTCTGCTACTGTTATTCAACTGCTTTACTCTGGAAAAAAATTATTTGACACGAAAGTAAAACAACATGACTTACGACCAATGGGTTTTGGCAGAGCGTGTTCTTCTTGTGATTCTATTGAGGAAAACGATGATCTGACGGAGGAAACTCGACTCACTGGTGATGGTAATTTGAAAACATCAGCTAGGATACGCCGACGGTCAACGTCTATAGAAAACTGGTAAAGCAGAGATTCGGCGTTCCTGAAGTGATGGTCGTCAGTCACTGAAATACGTTCAAAGGTGTGACATGAAATTATTTGATTTCAACTGTTGTATGTTGCGACATTTTAATGACTTTATGTGGTATTTTTTTAAAATCCACTAGTCCATATATACTTTCTTGAACTGTCAGTCTTTTTACTAAATGTTGAATATTTTCATATGAATTTAAAGATTTATTTTCAATTATGAGAAAAACGCCTTTCAGTGTTTTATTCCTTGTTTTGCTTTGAAAGGTACAAGGTTTAATTTACATAATTTGAGAAACGACAGTCTGGTTTTTATGGCGTTCGTTATTTTTAAACACCTTTAGATTTTCACAAATTCTTTATATTGTAAAGCACGATATCTTTCATTGCAACTTCTTGAATTGAGTAAATATCATATCGTCAATTTGATTATAGATCAATGTGTATCACAAGATTGTTACAAATACTGAATTATTATTCGAAAAGAAAAACATCGTGTCAAGAACTGGAAAAATAATGTTATACGATGACGTGTAATGTTGTTTGGAATAGCACATAGTAGTTTGTATTGTTGTAACGTGTCCCGTAATCGAACACATTGTAATTTTAAACAACGTCGCTTCCTGCGATATTACTGATATGATGTTTTTGATAGTATATTTCAACTTTAAACACTAACATATTCATGCTGTTGTTTGCAGTCAAACATTATAGTTTCAAACATTGTATACCGTTCTGTTTTCAAATGCGCACTATGGTAATGCTAAACGGCTTGTACACTGTCGGTTAATATTGTTTTGAGTATGACATCGTAGTAACATTAAACATTGCTATTTCCTATCTAATGATGTTGTTTTAGGTAGTATATTGTAGTATCATTAAACATCGTTATACTTTGTTGTTTGATGTAGTTTTCAGTAGCAAATTGTCGTAATATTAAACTTTACCATGGCGTATGATGTAGTTTTCAGTAGCACACTGTAGTAACATTAAACATTGTTATACCTTGTTGTTTACTGTAATTTTCAGAAGCAAATTGTCGCAATATTAAACTATACCGTGGCGTGTGATGTAGTTTTCAGTAACACATTGTCGTAATATTAAACTTTACCGTGTCGTATGATGCTGTTTTCAGTAACACATTGTCGTAATATTAAACTATACCGTGTCGTATGATGTAGTTTTCAGTAACACATTGTCGTAATATTAAACTATACCGTGGCGTGTGATGTAGTTTTCAGTAACACATTGTCGTAATATTAAACTTTACCGTGTCGTATGATGTTGTTTTCAGTAACACGTTGTAGTAATATTAAACTTTACCGTGTCGTATGATGTTACTTTCCAGCATTTGTCGGCCTAAATATATTGCGTCTTCTCGTGTGGCAGCTTCTTTCTGGCCGATCAACCACTCCACAAACCGAGAGCCCATAAAAGCATTGTGGTATGTCTGTCCGCCTTGAATGAAGTCTTGAACCAATCCTCTCTTCTTCATCATTCTAAAATCATCGGTGAGTACGTTGTATGATACTAATTTCTTCAATATTTATGATAAAACCCAGCATTAAATGATGTGATATGTGTTTTTTTTCCTGAAATTTGTGATTTATAGTACTCGAATTATATGTATTTCAAATTGTTTTATCTATTTATTCGTGACGGACCAACATAAACAACGGTCTTCTTTGATAAATACTAACCGTAGTTTAACCATCAGTGAACAAAAAGGCAATGATTCTTACTTAAGATATAGTCTGACTCCTGTGTAAAATAAAATCAGATCTCTATCTATCGACGTATCGTCATCTCGTCTAAACCTGTAGAACAGCTGGTCGTCCTTAAATTTGTGATCATCGCAAACTAAAATGATAAGGTAGTGATTAAATGGTTTAAGCTGAAATACCAGCGCTGAAATCACATCACACGATTCATCTAATTATCTTGGATTTTGATTTGAGTTGGATAATTATTATACTTATAATGAACAATATAACGGATTGTACCCTGTTTCTCTAAAACAAAGTAAAAATACCAAACTAAAAGACATTTAGACATTTTCATTGACTTAATCGTTATGGAATGGCAATCAATATGAAATACATTCGTATTAAAATTATACATTTTATTCAAATATTAAAGAGCTTTAAATGCAAGAAGTTCATTTCTTTCGTTTCTTTCAATACTTCTAGTACTAGTTTCCCGACACATGGATTCAATTATTCTGAAGAATTATGACACTACCCTTTGCCGCCATTCACTGACTTACTTATCATCCTACTCACCATGATGTAAGATTCCATAATTTTGTAGAATGCGCATGCCCGCTACCGAAGCATTCCTGGAGGAGCAGTGTTTACACCTAACAAGCCAATCTACGGTCTCGTTTCCAGCGAAGCACTGGCGGTAATTCCGAAGGTGATATCTCCGGTCTCGGATCAACATGTGGGCGTGCATCTCCCTCCTAAATAATAGAGTGAAAACTTCATTTCAGTAATCAGATGTCACCAATTTAGTGTCTTATTTCAACTGAAATTCAAAAGTCATTTACGTCAACGTAATTACAATTTCAATTTCAAAACATGTTTGGATATGAAATACATGTACTTTAAAAAATAAAGAAATTCTAGTCATAGAAAAAAGAAACAGATACCGTCAGTGTAAAACCAGTTAATAACAATAATTACAATTACCAATTCTCCCCGAAACAGATCTGTGATATACCAATACTCCTTATGTTATTTATGATCAATGACGTATTAAGGAATAACACATTTCAATACAAATTTCGAATAAGATAACGCAAGATCGAACTATAGGTTAATCAAGACTTGATAATACTTCTCTATTATCACTGTTGGTAGAGCCCAAAGAGATCAACTGTATTACATGTCAGACCAGACATAGTGTGTCTAGTCAAAACAAGACAGTCGGTAGGTCGTGATTATCTTACACCCAGTGTCATTTCTTATAGTCATCACAGATACTGAAATAGTGTTGTTTGTATACAGATTGGAGTATCAAGTTAAAATTGCTAAGCTTGAAATTGGCCAGCAAAATGATGAATGTAGCCAGATTTGTTATACACCCAGTATGATAGTTATGACATTTGAGCTTTGTGCTATCGGATTGAAATACACATGGACAGATTTTCCAATGAAAGTGTGAGGTGTTTATATCATTTTATTTTGTGAATTTGATATGAAAAAAATGTCGTTTTCAATTTACCATGGTCGTCTTTAATTGTGAAATGCTGTTTTTATTACCTGTTAAGAACAAAGATAATGACCAATGGGAGATTTTTTTTCGAGAACCACTTGGTTAGTTTTTAACTGAGGCCAAATTATCCGATGTCATGGCTTAGAGCAATAATTTCTATATTAATGTCAGTTAAGCCAATGGAATATATTCTACGTGACATTTCATTCGTATATGACGTTACAAATTATTTAAAAATAAAAAAATATAGTTGAATTTATTACGGATAAAAATGCCTGACGTGTATCTATCAATTAAAAAAATCATTATCGTGAGTTATTGTCATCACGTGTTTTCTACACGTGCAGTAAGTGGTGTCCTTTGTGGTTATCTAGTATATGTATTCACTTTGATAAATATAGTGGCGTGTTCATAATATTATCTTATCCCAATATACATCATAGATTGAAATCGTGTTTAAATCTACCCAGCTCTCACTTCTATTTCATTACTGGAAGCATATAACTTCTCTTAAAAACGTTAAGTATGTATTATCACTGCACCAATTCTCTTAGTACATTACAATATATTCAAATTCATTGAATTAACGGAGAGAGCAAAATTACTAATTAGTTAATGATGTATCAATATAAAATAAATTCCCATGCAACACCATAGACTTTTGCGTTTTGATAAACTGTTACCAATAATTGTACCCCCCCCCCCCCCCCCCCCCCCCCCCCCCCCCCCCGCCAAAAAAAAAAAAAAAAAAAACTTTTTCTAACGGACTATATTTTGTGTTAGCGTAGTTGACGCGTCAACAATTTCAACGTTTTACCGTTGCTAGGGTACTTCTCCTTAATATAACTTTGGACATTTTGGGCAAAATTCAACAAAATTTTCAATGACTTATCACCATAAACCACACACTTATATACGTGAAAGCTGACATGTGGTTGAAAAGTAAGATAAAAAAAAAACAAGCAAGGCGACCCCTCCTCTGTTATTATGAAAAAAATTATCCCAAACATTTTGTATCAAAGCATAAAGTCACGAAAAAAGTTGTGATGGAGATTTGCGGCTGTTAAATCAAATTGAAAAAATTAGCAGTTTGAGACATTTTTTTATTCAGTACCGTATTTAATGGAAAAATTAGATTTGCTGGAAAGAAATATCACCTCGAAAGTAACCAAGAATACTCGTTATACACGAAAAAGTTAAGATAAGTCAGTGAAAATGCATATTTCGCATTACACGTAAGTACAGCAACATATTGCTAAATCATTACAAGACAAAACTATTTAGAAATTTTGGAGTTTCATTCATCTCTAAGCTTTTTAGATGAACTGTATTGTTAACTAGTTAAGATATTTAAACTAAATTATTTACGAGTTGGGTACATTGTATTAAGAATTATTATCTACTCGTTAAGGTATAAACTCCCAATCAAACCATTTTACAGCGGTGATCATTATATCGACTATTGAGGGTACAAATTACTAAATAATCTAGCTAACTTTATTATCGACTACTTAAATATTGTTTATGAATTAGTGAGACAATACAGATGTTTGTTAAGTACCTTAACTGTTCGCCAATGAGATAAATTTCATGCTTTTCAGAGAAGCTGGCCGTCCTCTCCCTTGCTGCCTCCATGGCTGTCTGTAGCCCGCGTACGTGCGGTCCTAATCAGCGTCAGTGTTGTTTGGGGTGTAGGTGGAATATGATTGATACAGGTAAGCAATAAATAGGTACGAGGAAGGGTTAACTGAACACCTGTTATCTGGGCCGCACCTGATACCACAGCCTGGTTATTATTACAGCTGTAAGGTCAAAGCAGTGATTATCAGTATATACATTGGTGCGCATTATCTCAAGTGTTCTCATCAATATATTATATTGCTGCTTATAATGATCTTCGGTCCGAGATGTTGTTAGTGTCTTTACCCCATTCATTCTATATCGTATTTCATTTTATGTTATTGAATGGAGATCTACACGGAGACCGCTGAAAAAATATAAGGGAAATATATTCAAGTGTTCCGGATGGGGAAGCGTCTTCGGCTTCATAGACGACACCAGCCAAATCAATCTTGGTTTCACACAGTCATTATGTTCAGGAATGAGAACTCAATTCACCACAACGAAAGTTACACAATTTACCAGGCATAATAGATAACGAACAGAGAACACTGTGACCTAATTTTATATCGAGGAAGAAAATACTAATTTCTCAGTGAGATCATGATGGCGACCACATAGAGTTTCTACATGGTTAGAAATACAATGGATTTAGTTAGACTACGTGTTGTATAGATGGTGACAGAAATACTATAGAAAATGATATAGTAAGCTATAACGTTAAACATACCTATATCCCACTACAGTAAACATTTAATCAAACTCGGTGAGGTAACAAATATAGGTCATAGTGATATAGTTCACACCGTGGTGTTTAAACATAAAATGAATTCAAATATGACCTTGTACGATATCAAGGTATACGGAATAACAGAAAAGGAGCTAGGTTCAAGTTTAGTCTACCTGTTAGTAGCGGGAAAGGTGTGAGGAGGTATATTAAACTACATTTTGTTAACTAGCGTTATATGACCGGAAGCGTGGTATTGCTAAGTTAGGTTATAAAATAGACACATTCCCATTTCACTGTTTGTTTTAACATCTCCATTTGTCTAGTATTACCGTTTTGACTATAAATGATAAAAGTGTTTATGGATTTCATACATTTTACACGATATTTTCCCTTTTCATTGTTAGTAATCAATTTATCTTTTCATAAATCTTTCGGAAGTCTACTAAAATGTGAAGAATAGAAACAATAACATATATCACTAATACGTACCATTGTTTTTTTTTTCAGCTGATAATCATGGATGTACTGAGGTGATGACCAATGGGAACGCTCGTGTCTGTTTTGATGTAATACATTAATCAGAGGCCATTTATGACGCTGAAGAGAAACCAATCATTGTACGATCAGTAACTTCCTTGTTGTAATTCAATTATCAATTTAGATATTTATGGAGTTGGTATGTTGAGGGAGTCTGATATGAATGATTGGCATTTTAGAACGTCCCATAGGTATGTATGCTGCGCGTTACACCTTCGTACCTAATAAAAGAACATTGAATAATGCCAAAAGCTGACTCAGAAATGTGTTTGACCCGGGTTATTAAAAATATAGATCGGTGTTTATATATGTATATATATTGTACACGTAATTACTGTAACATTACCTCTAATGTAAATAACTATCATTATTTTGATCTTCTCACTAACAATAATTTTTCGGCGTAAACGCAAAAACATATTCAGTTTACTCTAAATTGACGAAATGGGGTCAATATGAAAAAAAAACCATACACAGCCCAGTTTTCTTTAAAACAAGAAATAAAGAGATAATCTGTTCCGGAAGGGTAAACGCCTTCAGCTTCACAGACATGTAGGTCAAATCTAAGATGAAACACGTTCTAAAATGTGAAGCATCACTCTTTGTAATACACAAAAAACATCTCCCAGAGATCCTAGTGTCGTGATATTGACGACAACTCGTACGATATCAAACAATTTGTGTACAGTGAAGATTGTGGGGATAAGGATATATTACAATCTGAAACTGGGGAAAGCATCACGAGGGATATTAAAGTCCTTATATTTTGGTTGTTCTCACTCCTGAAATCGGACACGAGTTCTATCAGTTAGTTTTATTAGCAAGTTGTCCCTATTGTGGTAAGAGTGTCATTAAAGTCTATGAGGATACATTGTACAATCAACGTGATTAATATAGTTCTTCCTGTTTAAAGATCACACGTTATTAATGTGTAAGGAAACAAAAATTAATTCTCATATAAAAAACAAAGCAACCTATCGCCATCGATCGCTTTTATTCTTTTATAAAAAGTGACCGCTTATAACAAAAACAGACGTGTTCCTGGAGTTTGAAATGAGAGTGTTACTATAGTGACGAGGGTGGAAATATAGCGTCCTAAGACTTTATTTTACTTAATGGGGATATTCAAGAATGATCAAACGCTCTTTAGATTTACCTATATTGTGCATGCCATTAACTTCTTCCCTGAAGAAGGGAGTAGATAGTTCTACCAATGACAAGGCTTGATAGAAGCTTGGGTCAGTAACTAATTCAGCTTGTAAGGATTCTTGTTGAATATACGAATCCAATATAAAAGAGTTAGATATGAATCCTTGTTTCAACAAAGGTTGTTGCCCTAGTCTGGTCATTTAGAACCTTGTGTTCGACGGGTGCTAGATCCCCTAGTTCATTTACGGGGGTTATAGTCTCCCTCTCAGCAGCTGTCATGATGAGATCCTTACCCATCAAATAATTCTATGCCATCCTCAATGCCCTACCAGACAGTAGTGATGTTGTTTATAAAATTTTCGGACCTCTAGTCTCTCTCTCAGCATGGTGATGTCCATTCCCTTCAAGTGTCACTAGACCCTTCTCCTTATTTTGCGAGGCATTGATGAAGTGGTCTGTGTTTAGACTAAGCTCTGTATTTTAACGATGCATGTGACATGTACTAGGACATCGTAATGTTGCACAGCTACCACGGTCAAATTGTGGGGGCATTCTTAATATGCTTTAGCCAAAACATAAAGTCTAGCTATAACCACTTTAAAATCACCCATGTCAATTTGTGCATCGTGAATCATCTGGCGATATGTTTATGAAATGCATTAAATAGCTAAGCATGTAATCTGATGGCAGTCTGCCTATAACTTTCCGAGAAGATATTGCATTCGGCAGAGGAAGGGAAATCTAAACTGCCCTAAACATCTTTCAAACACCCTCCTGCTTTCCTCCAGCTGAATAGAATTGCCACATTCTTCCACATCTCTAGTCGGCTTGCGTCAGGTGCTCACCTGGATCTTGCTTTTCTGACAACTATATGCATCTCTTTCAATAAGGACTCTCGCAATTTAAATGTTGTTCCAATTCTTTAAATGCAAAAGTTTCCCAGTGTTGTCACACTTTCTGAGTCAGTGTGTAAACGCCCATTCCCCATAGGTTTATTGCAAACTTAATAAACTCAATTCTTTCCACATCTGAAACTTAATCAGCGTTTAACAGTGTTCAAAACCTTGACCTTTCTAAGCTCGCTGTCTCCTCTATCAACCATCTGTGTTTTCTCCGTATTCTCTACCAGAATAGTCCCACAATACGATATATTTGCAATGAATGTAACAGTTCCTACTTCTATGCTACATGTCCCTGTAACATCGACCCCGATACGATGTTAAGGTATTTATTGCCTTCTATTCCTTATTATGACTTGTCCTGGGACAATCTATTCTCTAGTTTCTTTTATTTCCTGTACTCCCTCCTCTATATTGAAGACAGGGCCATGGCTATGAAGTATTCCATCAATAAGGAGACATTGAGTAACTCCTCTGTCTCATCAGGAGAATTTTCTGAGTGTTGAGTGTCACTATTAGGTACCTGCAGAGCAACATCCTGACCTTGCCTGGTGAATCTAAAGTCTCTGAATGTTTATTTACCAGAAATGACATGTTGTACTGGGGAAACTTTAAATGTTTTCTGTTATGGGATCTCGATCTTTTTCATTCCATATCAGTATCTGAAGATTTATTTTAGAGAACCTCTATCCCTCATCCTCTTCCCTTCATGACAGACTATGTGATGGATGTTGGTCTGAGAAGGGTGTCGTCAGCATCACATAGATTCCAGTCATTATCAGGACTTTGGACCCCTACACTATGTTTTATGGTTGGCAGGACTTTGGACCGCTACACTGATGTTTTATGGTTGGCAGGACTTTGGACCCCTACACTATGATGTTTTATGTTTGGCAGGACTTTGGACCCCTACACTATGATGTTTTATGTTTGGCAGGACTTTGGACCCCTACACTATGATGTTTTATGTTTGGCAGGACTTTGGACCGCTACACTGATGTTTTATGGTTGGCAGGACTTTGGACCCCTACACTATGATGTTTTATGGTTGGCAGGACTTTGGACCCCTACACTATGATGTTTTATGGTTGGCAGGACTTTGGACCCCTACACTATGGTGTTTTATTGTTGGCAGGACTTTGGACCCCTAAACTATGATGTTTTATGTTTGGCAGGACTTTGGACCCCTACACTATGATGTTTTATGGTTGGCAGGACTATGAACCCCTAAACTATGATGTTTTATGTTTGGCAGGACTTTGGACCCCTACACTATGTTTTATGTTTGGCAGGACTTTGGACCCCTACACTATTGATGTTTTATGTGATGGATGTTGGTCTGAGAAGGGTGTCGTCAGCATCACATAGATTCCAGTCATTATCAGGACTTTGGACCCCTACACTATGTTTTATGGTTGGCAGGACTTTGGACCCCTACACTATGATGTTTTATGTTTGGCAGGACTTTGGACCCCTACACTATGATGTTTTATGTTTGGCAGGACTTTGGACCCCTACACTATGATGTTTTATGTTTGGCAGGACTTTGGACCCCTACACTATGATGTTTTATGGTTGGCAGGACTTTGGACCCCTAAACTATGATGTTTTATGTTTGGCAGGACTTTGGACCCCTACACTATGTTTTATGTTTGGCAGGACTTTGGACCCCTACACTATGATGTTTTATGGTTGGCAGGACTATGGACCCCTACACTATGATGTTTTATGTTTGGCAGGACTTTGGACCCCTACACTATTGATGTTTTATGTTTGGCAGGACTTTGGACCCCTACACTATGATGTTTTATGGTTGGCAGGACTTTGGACCCCTACACTATGATGTTTTATGGTTGGCAGGACTTTGGACCCCTACACTATGATGTTTTATGGTTGGCAGGACTTTGGACCCCTACACTATGATGTTTTATGTTTGGCAGGACTTTGGACCCCTACACTTTGGACCCCTACACTATATGTTTTATGGTTGGCAGGACTTTGGACCCCTACACTATGATGTTTTATGTTTGGCAGGACTTTGGACCCCTACACTATGTTTTATGTTTGGCAGGACTTTGGACCCCTACACTGATATTTAATTGTTGGCAGGACTTTGGACCCCTACACTATGATGTTTTATGTTTGGCAGGACTTTGGACCCCTACACTATGATGTTTTATGTTTGGCAGGACTTTGGACCCCTACACTATGATGTTTTATGTTTGGCAGGACTATGGACCCCTACACTATGATGTTTTATGGTTGGCAGGACTTTGGACCCCTACACTATGATGTTTTATGTTTGGCAGGACTTTGGACCCCTACACTATGTTTTATGTTTGGCAGGACTTTGGACCCCTACACTATGATGATGACCCCTACACTATTGATGTTTTATGTTTGGCAGGACTTTGGACCCCTACACTATTGATGTTTTATGTTTGGCAGGACTTTGGACCCCTACACTATGATGTTTTATGGTTGGCAGGACTTTGGACCCCTACACTATGATGTTTTTATTGGCAGACCTTTGACCCCTAAACTATGATGTTTTATGTTTGGCAGGACTTTGGACCCCTACACTATGATGTTTTATTGTTGGTTGGACCCCTACACTATGATGTTTTATGTTTGGCAGGACTTTGGACCCCTACACTATGATGTTTTATGGTTGGCAGGACTTTGGACCCCTACACTGATATTTTATTGTTGGCAGGACTTTGGACCCCTACACTATGATGTTTTATGGTTGGCAGGACTATGGACCCCTACACTGATATTTAATTGTTGGCAGGACTTTGGACCCCTACACTATGATGTTTTATGTTTGGCAGGACTTTGGACCCCTACACTGATATTTAATTGTTGGCAGGACTTTGGACCCCTAAACTATGATGTTTTATGTTTGGCAGGACTTTGGACCCCTACACTATGTTTTATGTTTGGCAGGACTTTGGACCCCTACACTATGATGTTTTATGGTTGGCAGGACTTTGGACCCCTACACTATTGATGTTTTATGTTTGGCAGGACTTTGGACCCCTACACTATGTTTTATGTTTGGCAGGACTTTGGACCCCTAAACTATGATGTTTTATTGTTGGCAGGACTTTGGACCCCTAAACTATGATGTTTTATGTTTGGCAGGACTTTGGACCCCTACACTATGATGTTTTATGTTTGGCAGGACTTTGGACCCCTACACTATGATGTTTTATGATTGGCAGACCTTTGGACCCCTAAACTATGATGTTTTATGTTTGGCAGGACTTTGGACCCCTACACTATGATGTTTTATGTTTGGCAGGACTTTGGACCCCTACACTATGATGTTTTATGTTTGGCAGGACTTTGGACCCCTACACTATGTTTTATGTTTTTGGACCCCTACACTATGATGTTTTATGATTGGCAGACCTTTGGACCCCTAAACTATGATGTTTTATGTTTGGCAGGACTTTGGACCCCTACACTATGATGTTTTATGTTTGGCAGGACTTTGGACCCCTACACTATGATGTTTTATGGTTGGCAGGCAAGCAGTGGTGATCAAGTCATGGCTTGCTGTTGTCAGGTCTCCAATTCAGCTTATTTAATCTACATATGAACCAGCATAATGCACTCTTTTCTATGATGTGCTGGGAACCCACCTGTTGGAAAAGCTAGGTGGTCTAATCCTTCTATCTACACTTCTCTGTAAGTACTTGGTATGTGTACTATTCATCTAATCATAATGTAAAGTTGGATCAAAATCCAATAGCAAACGAGATTACTAGCATACCAACAAAAAGAGAAAAGGAAATTTATATGAATTCCAATGGTGACCTTGACATTTACCCTACCAATCTTAACATTGAACGTTACCCAAATGACTTAAATTTTTCTTCTCTACAATGACTATGTCAATAAACTTTTCTAAAACAAACAATAACAAAGAAATGTAGGTAAATATAACATTTGTCATTTATTCGACAGAACAACAATAAAATCAATCTTAACAACAGCATGGGCATGCATTGTGTCTCACAAATGGCAGCAAGAATGTTCTTAAATCAAAACATCGTGACATGGACTTGTTTCTGTAATAGGAAATAGAGGTACTCTCATATATATATAACATATTGTAAATAGATTACTATAAGAATAATTACATTGTGTAAACGAAAAAGAAATGAAGAGGTTCTAAATAGGATTTTATCAGCATAACTTATCTGATTTCATCAGTGTAAGGATTTAAAAGCAGCAGTACTGAGGTAAATTAAGGGCATGACAGAAAACATTTTCCTGTGTTTCTGTAGAAGTACTGAGATATCTTGGGGACATGACAGAAGACATTCTCCTGTTTCTGTAGAAGTACTGAGATATCTTGGGGACATGACAGAAGACATTCACCTGTTTCTGTAGAAGTACTGAGATATCTTGGGGACATGACAGAAGACAATCGCCTGTTTCTGTAGAATTACTGAGATATCTTGGGGACATGACAGAAGACATTTTCCTGTGTTTCTGTAGAAGTACTGAGATATCTTGGGGACATGACAGAAGACAATCGCCTGTTTCTGTAGAATTACTGAGATATCTTGGGGACATCACAGAAGACAATCGCCTGTTTCTGTAGAATTACTGAGATATCTTGGGGACATGACAGAAGACATTTTCCTGTGTTTCTGTAGAAGTACTGAGATATCTTGGGGACATGACAGAAGACATTATCCTGTTTCTGTAGAAGTACTGAGATATCTTGTAGACATGACAGAAGACATTAGCCTGTTTCTGTAGCAGTGCTGAGATATCTTGTAGACATGACAGAAGACATTAGCCTGTTTCTGTAGAAGTACTGATATATCTTGTAGACATGACTGAGGAAGTTCTCCAGCTTATGGATTAGTATGCCTTCACCACTATTGGGGAAAATAAAACAGTATCAAGATATCTAGAAGTATTTCTGAAGAGGCTCTCCAAGGGTTTTCTCCATCTCTCCAATAACTGCCTGGCATTCTTTCTCTACTTCTTCACAATCATCTGAAACAAGGCAATGTAAAAGATAGAAATGTAAATGGAATCAAAACCATTAACATCATTAATGAAACAGTCTTATTGCTGAATCTTTAATTTTCCCATTTTATCAAAACAATCCTCAATATACTGAATAGTATTAACACTCATCAAAAGTATGGAAATGATGATAAGGACCCTGTAGATCAAAATCCTACCAAGTAACTAATGTACATACCTTCCATCAACTCTGCTAGGAACGGTATTGTCTCGGGCAGTAGGCCCAGGAAATCCTCTCCTAACTTTTTGTGCAGCTCATCAACAGCATTCAGAGCTCCTAAACGTACCTGTAATCAAGGACATATCAATGTAGGCCATCAGTGGTAGTACTATTGAATGACCTTGATGAATTATCTATAAGATACAGAGGCTATTCAAGTAGATCCTCTACCCTACACAAGGACGTTTCCATAGTAATGAAAATGTTCACATTTTCTTCCTTTACATCAAAAGCAAGGAACTAAGTAGGCATTTGGAAGAAAGAAAATATGTTGCTTAAGACAACAAATTGATGTACATATTGGCACTATATAGGGTGTCATTATAAGGTAGGCTGGACCACACTGGTTTGTGAAACTGTAAATGACCTGTGAAGATTATTATAAAATCAGCTATAAATATTATCCTACCTTTGGTTCCTCATGTCTGGTCTTGAGCAGGATCTGGTAGTTTAAAGTTTTCCACAAGGAGTCATCCTGTACAGCTACAGCCATTTGTACAAGGCAGGGTACTAGGTGACGGTCAACACGTTTTCTATACAGATTCTCACTACGACCAGTATTATCGAGCTAAAATTGAAGCCAAAAGTTTTCAGGTATTTTACATCACAACATTATTACAAATCGTGAGTTACTTTAGTATTTACCACAATTTTTGTTTTTTCAACTAGCTGAGTGTACAGTTACAATAGATCTGTGCTAATCCTTTCATTAAATAGAATATTTTTAATCAATCAAAAGGACATCTGCACGGTTATCTCGTAGCTATCTGGCATTAGTTTATACTCAGGTAAGCTAGAATCATTGAATATATTTCTATATCTGCTGAATTTTCCATTTAAGCAAACTCAAACTGCGAACATTTCAGATTATCATTCAGAATAAGCTACAAGTAAATATGTACCTGGTCTACCAGTGGTTGCATAAGGCATTCAAATCGCTCCTTGTTGAGGAAACCCTCAGTGTCATACAAGAAACACTTATGGAGGCAGTCAATCACATGGACCAGCAGCTGATGAGACATTCTACGACACTGCTTCCCTTTCCCAAAGTAACCTTTACCTACAGAAAAAAAAACCCAATAGATTCAGTATTGTTCCTGTCAATTGCCTTTCCCATTAAGAGGCCGTTTGATTTAGACTGGCGTAAACCTCGGCTTAGTCTATCTATCAAGGAACGACACAATACACAAAATTCACATTTTGTGTGTAAAATACTTCACAGCTTAACTTTAAGAGCTTTTGGACAGCATATCTATAGATGATCAAAATAAATTACATGACCATAACTCTTCACAGAATGTTAAAATAAATAAGACAATATGCAAATATGCATATGTAAACAGGAAAAGTTAATTCAAATAAATTGATCTCGTACTTCAGGTGGATAAGTGTAAACAAACCATTTTGACAGGTAAAGAGAAGGCCACCTGATTTCTGAACTTCCATTTTTGTGGATTAAATTGTTGTGAATAATATACTATCTTGATAATTCAGAGGTGTATTACCTGTTTTAGATGAGTTATTTAGGTCCAACAGTTCAGCAGCATGTTGTACAAAATGTCCAGCAAACAGGGTAAAAAGACTCTTCAATTTATCTGCTAGGCTACAAGAAGGTAAAAGAAATCCTACATTATTTGATTCACAATTTTGTATTTATACATGACTATCCTCTTATCAGTGTCATAACAGCTGTGAATCATGAATGGTACCATTTTTCAACATGGATTTTGCAACTTCATAGAATTTAATATGGTAAGTGACAAAACCAATAAGGAAAGAATTTCAATGCTGTTTGTCTAATCACTTGTGTTAATGCCTATATGTTTCTATAATTCTAGATGAAGGGCTCTGTTTGTTGTCCTACTTACCTGTCAGCCAGTCTGTAGAATACTGTTACTCTGGCTTTAATATCAGATTCCCTAGTTCCCCAATTGTAGAGCTAAAGACAGAAAGTTAGAGATTAAGAAATGATGTCATATCTTAATGTATATTCAATAGCAAGTAATCACCATGAAGAAAAGCATTTTAAATTGAGTTTTCTAAAAATCTTCTTACTTTCAGTAAAAATGGTCTGAATGAGGACTCTGATAATTTCATCACCATGGAAATGATGGTCTGCATTATGCTGCCTTCTATCAAGGTCACGTCACTCTCCTCGACCTAAGTATCAGAAATGAGTGGATTACAAAATTACCATTTATTTGAACACAACAAAATCTTCAGATTACAAAAACATCAGCTATCTGGTAACTGTATTGAAATACTTTACTTCTGCATTTATTTAAATTCGCATTTGCCACAAATTAAGATGAAGAAAAATAGTTTCTCCATTGGTCATTATCGTAAACATTACATCTAACTAATTAAAAATCTCGGCTACTCGTCTTTCAAACTGCTCGGTTATGTAATCTAGGTTTTGTTTTTTGTTGACACTTTTAAACTAACTATTTTTGAAAATCATACAGAAGAGAAATTATATCAATAATTCATATATAAATGGAACTTCAAACAATGAAATTATATGTTCATATATTTTTTTAATATTATCAATCTCTGAAGACAAGGGTATGGGCTTAACTTACATCAGGGTGTTTGGCCCTGAAGTCCAAACAGACCAGGAAGAAAGTCTGGAGCTGTGTCAGATTACTTGTGAGATCCTCATAGTTCATGTTGGTTAAGTGGTCCTCTAGCAATGACATAAGGGGCTTCACACACATCTGTAAGGATAAAATTATTGAAGACATAAGGGGCTTCACACACATCTATGAGAATAAAATTATTGAAGACATAAGGGGCTTCACACACATCTATGAGGAAAAAATCATTGAAGGCATAAGGGGCTTCACATACATCTATTATGTTAAAATTATTGAGGAAATAAGAGCTTCACACACATCTATAATGACAAAATTATCGAGGACATAAGGGGTTTGTCACATCTGAAAGGATGAAATTAACAAGAACATACACAACACAACTCATGTTTATAAGGAAAACAAATCTGTTCATTTGTATATTTAATGTAACATTCCAGGCCAACCAGGATTTGTTCAAACAGTAAGGAATGACATGCCAATATTAATACAAGCCTAAAATGGGCTTTCCAAGGCTCATCTGACAGGCAAGATATATAAGGAGGTCCGCCCTTATTTCCTGAACAAACTCTGGTCCAATTGGTCAAATCATCAGAAGATTTCATAAAATAGATATGATAGAACAGCATATACAACTTAACTTCCTCTCTGATATACCACACATGTCTAAAGAATTTTTTCTTCTGAATTTACATATTTTTTAACACTTTCACCCAAATTAATCTACCATGAAAACTTACCAGATCATTACTGGAAAACTTTTCATAGCAATTGCTCACAGATGGGAGTATAACACGGAAAGGCAGTATTGTTGACAGCGATGACCTACAAAAAGAAATTGATATAAATGTATACTATGTGTTCATGTCAAATATAGTAATACAAGAATTATGTACAACTATATGTCTCCCCTGTCCCACTTTGTTCAGATAATATTTATAAGCTAATTACAAATTATACTAATATCTTCTTGTTTTAAAGGAGAGGAAAACTCATCTGACATAATAAACAAAATCTAAAGCAATCAGAACATGCCAAAAACATTTCTCAATGTAACAGTTTTTTACCAAAAAGTACGGAAAAAACAAAATTCCTAAAATGATTTGTCAGGTTCAGAAGTCAGTGCATCATTATATTATATATCTTATTGGAATAGCATTTATACTTAATGCAAAAATAAGATGTCGCAAAATGTTAGTCAAGTTTCTCATCATCCCTATTTCTGAGATTTGCTGGACCATAAAAACATTTTGTAAATGATGAATGCAATAAGGTTTCCACTATGTGATCTAGCTGAATACAAAGTTTAATTAAGTTGGGAATTAACTTTTTTGACCTAATGACAATAATGACTTATTGTTGCAGGCACAAGAAAAAAACCCACTTTTTTCCAGTAATAATAGCCTAAACAACATGATATGGAATGATACCTAATGTTTTTCAGTCTCTGTTGTGTTTGAGGTTTCTTCATCACATCAAGTTCTTCGTCCAGAGCAGAGAGGCAGCAGACCTTTAGGACAAGAACATGAATTCAATGAATTACACTCATTAATGACAAACCAAACTGGAGATATCAGTTTTATATAAGAGGCTGTTAACTATGAAATCATCTGTTTTCAAGGGGCTCAGATTTCCTTGTTTTAAAAAACTATGCATTTTTTCAATGACACTCGCTTTCAATAATAAATCTTCTTCATGAGATCCACTTGGTAGTAAAATACATGTTAATTTAAATGTTTCCTATTTCTTGAGCCAATAAAACTTGTGGATAGACAGTAACCATGAATTCAACAGAAAGAAATCTCCATGTAAATATAAAGTAAATGAGAATCTTCATAACGACTATGCTTCACAAAGAGAAGAGAAATGTTACCTGTAGAATTATGTCCTTGATGTAGGGACTGAGGAAATTGGAGAGATTTTCCACAACCTTCTGCAATGTTGTCACCACACTCAGCAGGAAGAGTTCATTTCTATAAAAGACAGCAGCATAAATTATATTGCTTTCACTGGCTTACACAAGGCAATACTATTCCTGATTAATGTAATAAGTGAAAACAAATTTGAAAATTGAGTGTGAAACTTGTATTGAAAAACAATCACTATAGCAATTTTGAGATCTGTACAGAAAAAATTAATTATGAGTGTACCAGAGATAAATCTTATGAAAATAGAGCATAAAAAATTCACAGAACATCAGTCAATGTCCAGTGCAGACTTCAAATATATTTGCGGAAAAATCTGACTGATCCACTGCAGAAGAATAGTGTAAAAAAAGCAATATAAAAAGACAGGAGTGTTCCTACTGTTCTGATTCAACTGTCTACCTGTTACTGGACGTAGCATGCTAATCAACAATAACAAGGTGAGACAACTTACACCTTATTGTCTGTTAAAATACTGGATACAGCATTTTATCAACAATATAAAAGGGAGACAACTTTAATCATATTACAGTATTTTGATTCTATGGCAGTACTTACGACAGTAACGTATCATGGTTTTCTAAACACGTGATGATTTTTGGCATGAAGGATGAGAGATGGGCAATAACATGGATATTAAGAATTTGAGAAATCTCTGCAATACAAAGTAAGGCACATGCTGACAGCTGTAGGTTATCTCCTCTTTCACTGAAAACCCGAACGGCAAGTTTCAGAACCTGAAACAAATAAAGAAGGATTAAATCATAAATCAAATCACAAAATCATCATTTATAAAATATATCTGGCATTCTCTAATAGGGGTGTCAGCATGAAGCAGAAAAGTATCAGGATGAAGCTGACAAATATCGGGATGATGTTGACAAATATCGGAATGACGCTGACAAATATCGGGATGAAGCTGACAAATATCGGGATGATGCTGACAAATATCGGGATGAAGCTGACAAATATTGGGATGATGCTGACAAATATCGGGATGAAGCTGACAAATATCGGGATGATGCTGACAAATATCGGGATGAAGCTGACATGGGATGAAGCTGACAAATATCAAGATGAAGCTGACAAATATCAGGATGAAGCTGACAAATATTGGGATGAAGCTGACACGGGATGAAGCTGACAAATATCAGGATGAAGCTGACAAATATCAGGATGAAGCTGACAAATATCGGGATGATGCTGACAAATATCGGGATGAAGCTGACAAATATTGGGATGATGCTGACAAATATCGGGATGAAGCTGGCAAATATCAGGATGAAGCTGACAAATATCAGGATGAAGCTGACAAATAACGGGATGATGCTGACAAATATCAGGATGAAGCTGACAAATATCGGGATGAAGCTGACAAATATTGGGATGATGCTGACAAATATCGGGATGAAGCTAACAAATATCGAGATGAAGCTGACAAATATTGAGATGATGCTGCTGTAAGTCAGCAGTAATGCAGTGGTGTAGAACATCTGTATCCACTACAAACAAGGTTAATATTGTGACTTCTCAAAGAAATCATTTAAATGATGCCATATTTCTTCATGTAAATGAATCACTGTGTGGCATGATAGCATGGTTATTGACTTAGATAGTGATATCACTTTGGTTAATTTTGGACAAGATATAAAGGAAATCACAGACAATATTTGATAGATGTTAACTTTAGTGGAAATGCTTAATATCCTCTGCGTTTTTTGTCATATTCTAAACTTACCTTTATAAATGTATGAGGATTATTCTCCCCCAGGTGGCGACACATGAGTTTAAGTCCATACAGAGCAGTTTGAGCATTAACAGTGACCTCCTCCACACCACCTGCAACCAGACAGGTGTTGTCCACAATACCAAGGATCTTGTCCACAAGTGGAAGGAGCAAGGACACCTGTGAACCACAATTCAGAAATGATTGTAAAATTAGAAAATTCCAAAACTCATTTTATAATTAATGTTACCATCCAGATCAGTTCTGCTGGGGCATTTCAGGTTGGATGGAGATAAAAATTAAAAGAGGTTCGTGATACAAAATTATTCTATATCAAATCTATTTAAAAGTTACTTAATTTCAAGGTTTGTGAGGACATTCCAGTTCTGAAGTAGGCTAAACATAAAGAAAGCCAATGTTAAATGAATGCTTCACGTACACTTAAATCATTTTTCTAAGAGTTTGCTTTCAATTCTTAATATACTAGGTAAATCTATTAAATACACTCCATATGTTTTGTGAAAGTTTTACAGTGGTGTTAAGTTTATGTGTGTGAATACCTCGTGCTTTGTGAGAACTTCTCGTCTCTGGTGTAAGTTGGTATTGAGCAGCTCTAGGGCCTTTCTCTGTACATTTGGAAGAGTGTGATCCATCAATGAGGATACAACCTCCACAAACATATCTTCTGGCAACAAGGTCACGACCTTCAGAATGTAATAAAAGGACCCAAGCAGATTAATAATCAAGTTATAAATGAAAATACGAACTATGGACATTAACAATTATCAGTAATTTCAACATCATTTTACAACCATATTTTGTAATTTCCTGTCAAGATCATAATGTACTTTCCAACATTTATAATTCAGATATGGTTCAGGAGTATCAGTTTTCTGTTACGACTATGTAAGTCCTTTCTCATTACAACATTCTGTTCACAGGAAGGAGTGATATGTTTATTCTCAAACTGATAAAAAATGAAAATATGAAATGATAAAAAATCCAAGTAAGAAACACCACATGGCAGAGCAAATATCCTTTCATGATTTGAACAAATAAAAGAATTGCTAAAATGACTATTCTTGAAACACAAGCATATTAAGTTAATTAGAAAATATGTAAGCTTTTGTATCAGGAAGTCAACTATTTAAGATTATGTCAGTTATTTTCATAAATGAACTGAATTTCTAAACCTGACATGCCTTGCTGCCTTCTATTCATAGACATGCATTGCTGAAGCTGAATGTATCTATTGGTCAAACCCCACCAAATTAAAAATTCAAACACTTGATAGAAAAATTCAAGAAATTAGCCTTGACCAATCACATTAAATCCTTTCCAGGTACAGAACTTGATATTACAATACTATGGTGCAAATATAATCTAAATATGTTGTTATTTTAAAAGTTGTATCAAAAGTGTGACATTTTATCTTTTGTCTTATTGAGTACAGGGAGGTCCACTAACCCACCTTTTCTAGCAGATCATACACTTTGTGTTGGAATGCTTTCCAAAACCTTGCTGTAATAGTTTCTTGGTATTTGTCTGTTGCCTGGGAAACCCTGGAAAGAAACTCCATGATATTCTGCAGAAGACTCTGGAACTTGGTGAGTAGAGATGAGTCTTTACAATTGGAAACCTGAAATTAATGTAAAAGTGTGTAAAATGACAGGAAAGAGGACCTGTACAATGAACACTGGGTAGGTATGTAATGATAAGTGTTGATTACCTGTACAATGTACACCTGGTAGGTATGTAATGATAAGTGTTGATTACCTGTACAATGTACACCTGGTAGGTATGTAATGATAAGTGATGATTACCTGTACAATGTACACCTGGTAGGTATGTAATGATAAGTGATGATTACCTGTACAATGTACACCTGGTAGGTATGTTATGATAAGTGTTGATTACCTGTACGATGTACATCTCGGTGGTATGTAGAGAAATAAGAAGTTCAACAACTTTGTACTTGAAGTGTCGCAGTTGTTTAGCAGAGTGAATCTTCACGTTGTATATTTCTGTGTCCTCTTTACGCAGTTTTCCAAGAGACTGGGGCTGGGTGACCCGCCGAACTACCTTTTCTACAACAACAGGATATTTTTCATAACAGATTTTTTCCTCAAAATAATATTACAAATAAGACAAATGTGAGATATAAAAAGTAATAGCAATCTAAAATACTGAAATACAAAAGAGTTTTTTAGAATTTCCATTACATTATAAAATGTTTACCAAAAAATTCAACCTAATTTATAATATGAAACTGTAGATCCCATACTTTTACTCTTGTGTTGGCAGCCCATTACTCTCATTTACTTTATACATTCAAAGTCTCTAACACATACCCTCAGTCTTATCATCTGGCAGTTCTTCTAGATACTTTATGGCTGCTGCAGCAAACATGAGCTGTGTTGTGGCAGGGAACTGGCCAGAGAGTTGTAAACAGAACTCCATATCCTTGGATAGTATCTATCAATTACAGACACCCAAGTATTAGTGTTACATCATCAAGTTGTTTGCTACACAACATAATACCGGTACTTAAAAAACCAAAGTGAACTCCCAACTAGGCCAACAAGAGTTAATATTGGTTCATATAACTTGATACAAAGTAATTCTAAAATACATAAACTTAAATCACAATTATTGCAAAATATATCAACTTTTATACATAATTATTGTAAAATATACTTTATATAAAGTTTACTTTTAATCTTCTTTATCCACACACAAGATTTTTTATTATCACCAAGAGAAATTAAATAAGGAATCTTTTTAACAATAGAAGTCTCTTAACATGTAGCGGCATATGATAAGGCACATGAGCACATCTGCTATGTTGATAATAAGGTTGTGAACTACCTCACGTTCAGTTGCTGGAGTATCATCATTGGACTGTGTTCCCCTGGTAACCAGGTGAGCGACCAGTAAAAGTAGGGTGCGCCACAGGTAATTATCCTCGCCTACGATCTGTACGAGTTTGGTGAACAACATAAGGCGACGGTGGTCAGGGATGTGAGGGTAGGCATCCACAAACACTCGGATCACCATGGTGATGACATCCTCCACCTTGTTAGACACACCTTGAGGTACCTTGGTCCTCTGTTCACAGGCCTGTTTACACACAACATCAGTACATTACTTCTAAAACCAAGTCTGATTTAAGGAAATGAGGAATGACTTTTTCTTCTTCTTTTTAACACTATGAAATCAATAAGATATGGGAAAGTTTTCCAGTGGTGTACTTACTGTTATAAGTGCTGGGATCACAGTCTCCAAAATACGTCCAATAATCTGTATACTGTAAGAATCATCTTGTCGTAGGATGTTGGCACCCATGAATGTGAACACAGACATCACGTTGTGTAGTAGATGTTCCTAGGATACCAACAATGTTTTCATATTATCAAATGTACATCGTTACTGCTAAATGTTACTCTGTTAACTATAGAAACATTTTTCTCTTATTCCCTTAATTGCTATTCTGATTTTGTTAGGACTGTTATCTCCTTACAACATCTGAGGTCATTACAAAGACAGGTGCTTAAAGGGACAGAGAAAGCAGACTGATTTTACTTCATTCAATATCCCCTAAAAATAGGACCTCCCCCACCTCTCGACAACTCTCAAGCCAAACATTCTCCACTCGATTCTGCAGGGAACACAACTCTGGCCACACTGAATTAGATACAGAAGGTTTTTTTAAGGATATTCATTATTATTCTTGATACAATCTTACAGTCAACGGGTAAAGTCTAGCAGCTGTTGTGAGAACCAATAAAGCCTAATGGTGACTTTGGTAGTACTTACCGGGTAAAGTCTAGTAACTGTTGTGAGAACCAATAAAGCCTAATGGTGACTTTGGTAGTACTTACCGGGTAAAGTCTAGTAACTGTTGTGAGAACCAATAAAGCCTAATGGTGACTTTGGTAGTACTTACTGGGTAAAGTCTAGTAACTGTTGTGAGAACCAATAAAGCCTAATGGTGACTTTGGTAGTACTTACTGGGTAAAGTCTAGTAACTGTTGTGAGAACCAATAAAGCCTAATGGTGACTTTGGTAGTACTTACCGGGTAAAGTCTAGTAACTGTTGTGAGAACCAATAAAGCCTAATGGTGACTTTGGTAGTACTTACCGGGTAAAGTCTAGTAACTGTTGTGAGAACCAATAAAGCCTAATGGTGACTTTGGTAGTACTTACCGGGTAAAGTCTAGCAGCTGTTGTGAGAACCAATAAAGCCTGATTGTGAGTTTGAGGATTACTTGATGTTCTTATGGTCTGAACAATAAGCTCCATGTTGAATTTCTGTTCCTCAATTGCTTCTACAAATAGGAAATGATAACAACATTCAGATTAAATACATACATACAGTATTGTAAATCATTGTTTAGACTGACTGGACATTGGCTTCAATAATGTTTTCTCCCCGCATTTTTCATTTGCTTCTCAATGATTGTACAAAAGACACACAAGTGAATAGCACCTTTCAATACAAATTCAGAATTAGGTACAGTAGAGCTAAACAATGAATTTCACTGCACCACTCAGTTGTTTGGTAATGGAACTTGCCAGTAATGCTAAGGGCCTAATTTTGAAGGCTTAGAGGTAAAATGATAAAGCACAATTGAAGTAGAAAATGAATGAGGTCAAATAAAGCAGTATTTTTTTTTTCGATCTACTGTGAAGCTGACCTGTGACAGATCAAACATTACACAAGGTGAATGATTAAAATCAGAAGCAACACAAGAATTAGAATTCTGTAAACTTAGTGGTTTAGTATCTTTCCTTACCATTCTCTTCCTGCCCTGATTGGATCTTTTGACACACATGGTTGACCAGCGACAGAATGAGTTGTTTAATATACTCTGCAGAGCTGTGCTGATCCGAATCTAACACACTGTCAATAGTAGTAAAACACAATATTATAAAACAATACCAATTTATGCCTTTTTCCAGAATCTTTCATTTATACAATATTACTTTAGAGAGGACTACTTCTCGTTTGAAATATTCATGGAATTTGCTTTAAATATCATTTCATAACATTACACACCTTCAGAGTTGTAAGCTTTGAACAAATGAATTGTCTACATGTCAATTATACGAATAAAGGGAGAGAAACTTGTTATTTGTCATCGTAAACTAAAATCAAAGTGTTACACTGTACCAATGAAATAAATCAATATTTGAAATGCTGCAGATTTTGTCTATGTTTTTTGTTGAATATCATATTGTATAAGTACTGGAAACAGCCTGGGTTCATAAGTGCTATACAGAGATATCTATGCAGAATAAGTATTTATAATTTATAATCAGTGATCATCTTAATATGATCATTGTGTTACATAAGTAACTGAACTTAAAAGAACTAATTTGTACATGGTCTCTTAAGGCAGAAAAGTTTTGATTAAACCAGTAGTAAGAAGTGCTGTATTTTCTCATAACACTGAGTGACACTTATGATTAAGATATTTACCGTGTTAGGAGCTGAAAGCAGATAGGCAGCAGAAGTGGACTGTTTGTAAGCCTCTTCTTCTCCTGGATACCCTCCAGGATCATGGTGGCACGACGCCAGCCTGGACGGTTAAATTCCTCCTCTGTATCAGCTTGTTGTCTGAAGTAATAAATATACCCATTTCTATTGACCTCATTCATCTACTTCATACCACTCAAATAAAAAATTTCAAACCATTACATTCACAACTGAATTTACAAATTACCAAGATCTTATGATCTTCAAAATAGAACATCGAATTGAATTATCAGATAGATTTTCACTTGATATTCATATCAAAGTTTTACAAAGTTTTACAGTTAAATGTATACATGTATTCTCACCTCTTTCTCCTTTTGGTCTCCTTTACTGTTTTAACCAAGTCAGATGAAGTTTTCCAACAGGACTGAAGCTCTTCTACAATGTCTGTAGACTCCAGCGGTAACTATAAGTCAGAAGGATACATGTGATGAACAAATGAGGGCCACATCAGAGAAGTATTTATCTCATGGGGAAGCTACACAAATAATTTTACTGGAATAGTCCTAAAATGGAGTTAATAAATATCAATTATAAAACTATATATGAACATTTACTTCCATCTTACTGAACCTGGTTCTCTGGTGATGATGTAATATAGACTGAGGTGTTGTTATTGTAACTATGCACCACTAACAAGACCACCTATACATATACATATATAATGTAACTGCTCCCTGACTTGGAGTTGTAAGCAATGATGGACTTTATTTAATGTATTTGGTTCTCTGTCAATGTATTATGGTTTTGCAATGTTTTGTGATGGAGATTGCCTTAACTTGACTACAAGGGACATTACCATTTCCAAGCATTTTGTGACCCGAGATTGGCTTAACTTGACTACAAGGGACATTACCAGTTCCAAGCATTTTGTGACCCAAGATTGCCTTAACTTGACTACAAGGGACATTACCAGTTAAGCATTTTGTGACCCGAGATTGCCTTAACTTGACTACAAGGGACATTACCAGTTCCAAGCATTTTGTGACCCGAGATTGCCTTAACTTGACTACAAGGGACATTACCAGTTCCAAGCATTTTGTGACCTGAGATTGCCTTAACTTGACTACAAGGGACATTACCAGTTCCAAGCATTTTGTGACCCGAGATTGCCTTAACTTGACTACAAGGGACATTACCAGTTAAGCATTTTGTGACCCGAGATTGCCTTAACTTGACTACAAGGGACATTACCAGTTAAGCATTTTGTGACCCGAGATTGCCTTAACTTGACTACAAGGGACATTACCAGTTCCAAGCATTTTGTGACCCGAGATTGCCTAACCCTAACAATCAGGGACTTTATAGAGTTTCCAGTGTCTGGTGACTTGACGTGGTTGATAAGTGAAACAACCGATATCCCAACTGTTATAAAATCAAGTTTTACACCAACCAGGCACTTTGTGAAATTCCAGTCTTCATGATCTGACTTTGACTAACCAGGCACTTTGTGAAATTCCAGTCTTCATGATCTGACTTTGACTAACCAGGCACTTTGTGAAATTCCAGTCTTCATGATCTGACTTTGACTTACCAGGCACTTTTGAAGTTTGTAGGATTTTTCCACAAACCAGTAACTTTATGAGTTTCCTGGGTTTGTTGTCATGAGACTGTGTGACCTTGACTTACCTGTTTGATGACCTTCCTCACAGCAGCAGACACTACATGGCTCTCAGTCTCAACCCACACATCAATGAGACAAGTAAGTAGGACCCTCCGACTTGCCTCTGGCAAGGCTGTGTACAGGAACTTATCAATCTAAAAAAGATAAATAGACTTGCTTTAAGGTTTATCATAACACCTTTTCTTACCGTCTTTTCTTTCAAACATGGTTGTTTATAGCATGTTACAGTTTCTAATCTATTTAGTTATCATGGTAACAGAAGTGTGATCTTCAACTGAGAAAAATTATCTGCAACATTCGACTTTTGTGATACAGTCAAACTTTGTCAACTTCAAGATGTCGGGATCATGAAAAAAATTTGAGTTATCGGAGTGTTTGAGTTAAATATTAAATGTTTACTATAAGATTTTGTATAACAAATAGAATTCAGGAACAAACAAAAATGAGGCTATTTAGGTCTTAGATTTAATTACATGAATGCCAATTTCCAATTACGGAAAGACGAGAATAATGAACAATATCAGCAATTCATTCAAAATTCATAAGAGCTTTATGCTGGTAATATATGTCGTAATATTATTGGAAATAAACAGATAATATCACAACACTTAAGTGCAAGTGTTAGCTTATAGTAAACAGATGGAAGTTTCATGGAAATCTATCACAGAGTGAGAAACCTTACCAGTCCAAGTGCACATAACTGTACAGTAGTTGAAGTGTCATCTGGTCCATGAGGTGTTTGAAGGGCCTTTGTAAGGAGTTTTAACCCCTGTTCACCTGGGGACAGTAGTGTTGCAGTATCTGCTGTAAACCGCTGTAGTATCAACCGTACACAGTCAAACTTGGCGTTATTTAGGTTGTCACTGTCAATGTCAGCCATTAGTGTAATCAGAAGTGGGAACAGATCTTGTAACAATTTCTGAAAAAGACACAATCACAGTAGTATACCACAGTATATACAGTCATCAATAAACAAAGAATGCTAATCAAAGCCAGATTCCAACATAATCTCTCAACTACCCAACACTCAACAGTTGTAAATGGTGCTGATGTGTTCTATGCAATAATAAACCTTCAGTAAAGATTATGTAAAATAAATATGTAACTTCATCAAATTTAAGATGATAATGGGGACTTCAAGAATATTCAGCTGTGAAGATGGGTGTTTACTTTCTCCATGAACTTTGACAGGTTTAGAATGAGGTGGAAAAAAGCTTTGTAAGAAAAATTGTGCAAAAAGACTTTAAAAATCTTAAAAAGTGGAAACAACTCTATAGCATAACCGTTCTCAATTCAAAGCAAATAAGTTGATTTTGTATAAATAATAACAATAATATTGACCCTATGAAACACAAACTCGACTCAGATATTCTGATACATTTTACGTAATAAATACTTTTGACAAATATCACTGAAGCAATCTTTTGTGGTAATGATGACATCTATCTGAGACAAGAAGGGACTAGATGTACGTAGAGAACACAAAACATTCCCTCCTATAAAATGGTTTGGGCATGTCCAACATCAAATTACATGCAACATGATTTCATAAATCTCACCTGTGTCTCCAGACCCTGTAGTAGCTGTAGTGCTGCCCTCTGTATGTAGGCAGGAGTTTCCATAGCAACAGTCATGGATACGATTGTATCCAATGCTTTAGCTTTGAAATCTTTTGTTACAGACTTCCTCTTTTTACGAGGTGTGTCTTTTGATGTTTCTTTATCACAATCTTTGAAAACAGTTGCAAGTACCTTCAGGATAAGAAAATTTTATACACATTACTGTAAGAATCATATTCATATATTCCTTCACGCAGTAAACTGTTGTAATGTAATAATTAAGTCTTCAGAACAATTGAAATTGATAACATCTCATTCACATTTTCTTTGTTTGCTGAGAAGTGTTTCTTACCTGAGATACATAACTGCTATCGGCTGATATTTCAGGCTGACAGCGTATTAACTTTTTAACAAGTGGTAACATTTCATGATCAGCTTCCTTCAATACAGTCTCAATGGAAACCACGCAATCCTCAGCCATATCCCTGAGAGCCTGGTGAGGGGACGTCATTGCTACCATCAAGTTCACCAGTACTGAAACAATTAATAAGGAAAAGCCAGTAGTACAAAATTAATTTTAATATAGTCAAGAAATTCACCTAGTGAAATAACTGAATACTAGTAATTTTAGCTTGTTTTTGAGACAAGTCAAGATATAATTTTCAAGATACTGATGAGTACCATAAATAAAAGCTATATTGTGAGTGACCTTCACATGAGAAGCTGGAGATAAGTAACTTTTATCAGGCTATGACTGATGTAGTTTGATTCTTTTCAGTAAGTGATGACGTCATTAACAATAACAAATTTAGATCAACACCATGCTTATCTGTAACAGATTTAACTTTATGTACTACATACCATGCTGAAACTTTAACCCAGCTTATTAAAATTTATCACAACAACAGAAGTCCTACTTCAAAAACAAAACTGAAGCATCACGAAGAAACGATTGGAAGTCAGGTTCAGATACAAATCTTACCAGGTGTGACATTTGTGGTTAAGACCTTGACTTGATCAGTGGTCATGTTAAGGAGGTGGGCCTTGCTGATCTGTAAAGCACTGGCCTGAGTGATGGTGGTCAGCTCTAGAGACAAGTGGTCAGGGTTACAGTGTCTTGTCCACATCAGTCCAAGAAACCGGAGCAAGGAAAGTATGTCCGGAAATGTCCCCTGCAAATTATTAATTTTCAGTACATTGATTGAAATGTGAACAAGCATCTTAAATTGAAGACATTTGATTCTTTATCCACTCATTTTGACAATCATTATGATTTGAACAAATTACATCTTCCTTGTATATCATGCTTTAGCTTTGGAAATTTAATAAAGCCTTTCTGAAGTATCAGGCAAAAGTTACAATAAAAAGAAGACTGCATATGGATTAAAATTAAAGTTAATTGAGATCTTTAGAGAGTTTGAGTTTGTTTTAGGGAGCCTAACTATTGGGTACATTAAAACTTTACAACACATCATTTTATATGTATCCAGAGAGGCAGCTCTCCAGTATTCCACTTCAGAGACAGATACATCAAGTTAACACTGAAACTGTTTCACCACACTTGCTTGTCAGATATAAATCAAGTCTATTTACCTTGATATATTTCTGGAGTAGTTCTCTGTACTGCTGACTGCAGTTACCTCCAGAAGTTGACTTCAGTAATAAATTAAAAGTCTTCACCAACAGGACAGTTAATTTATCCTTTTCAGGATCAAATTTGTCATCAATACAACGCCAAAAATTGGTGTCTGGAAAAAGTAATTCAATCAATCATTAAATGAAAAACCTTTCCTTGGTCACTTTCTTCCAAATGAAAGTTTAGTGGATATTTTCAAATTTAAAACTTTACTTGAGGGTTGTATAGTTATATTTGCTATGAACTCTTCAATTGTTAAAATTGACTTCAGGAAACTACGTAACTGTTACCTGAAATACTAAAACAGATAAGAACAGGCAGTGATAAATGATTGATCCTTTATTACTTACATGTCAATGCTGTACATGTAGTGAAACAGGTAGGTTTAGGTTTTAACAACACAGTATCCTTTATTACTTACCTGTCAATACTGTCCTTGTAGTGAAACAGGTAGATTTAGGTTTAAAAACACAGTATCCTTTATCACTTACCTGTCAATGCTGTACTTGTAGTGAAACGGGTAGATTTAGGTGGTAACAATACAGTATCCTTTATTACTTACCTGTCAATACTGTCCTTGTAGTGAAACAGGTAGATTTAGGTTGTGAAAACACAGTATCCTTTATTACTTACCTGTCAATGCTGTACTTGTAGTGAAACAGGTAGATTTAGGTTTTAACAACACAGTATCCTTTATTACTTACCTGTCAATACTGTCCTTGTAGTGAAACAGGTAGATTTAGGTTTAAAAACACAGTATCCTTTATCACTTACCTGTCAATGCTGTACTTGTAGTGAAACGGGTAGATTTAGGTGGTAACAACACAGTATCCTTTATTACTTACTTGTCAATACTGTCCTTGTAGTGAAACAGGTAGATTTAGGTTGTGAAAACACAGTATCCTTTATTACTTACCTGTCAATGCTGTACTTGTAGTGAAACAGGTAGATTTAGGTTGTAACAACACAGTATCCTTTATTACTTACCTGGCATGCTGTCCTTGTAGTGAAACAGGTAGATTTAGGTTGTAACAACACATTATCCTTTATTACTTACCTGGCATGTTGTCCTTGAAACAACTTAGACATTGGATAGTTCTGTCCAGTAGGGTCAGTAAAAGCTCTTGAATGCCTGTCTTGTTGGACATGTCTTTAGAAACTTTGCTCACAGCCTTTGACAGGAATTGGTAGGAAATGTTTGTTTTCTGGTGATCCAATTCCTAAATAACATTAAGCAAAAGGATAATGATATAATGCTGCTATGTTACACAGTACTTGTATTCAGATTTAAATTCATAACATCCTCATTCCTAAGTTTTTGTCGAATAAAGACTAACAGTCAATTATCAGCATCTTAAAACAATTATTCAGTGAAAAGCATGCAATTAAAAACCTTTTACCAAAGGTTCCAAACAGATTGACACAGACAAAGACCCTTAGTCTTCCCCACCTTCCCCCAGTTTACCAGTAAGGAGCTCACTGAATCAAGTCTACCTGTCTGTTACCTGTGTAAGAGCTCACTGAATTAAGTCTATCTGTCTGTTACCTGTGTAAGAGCTCACTGAATCAAGTCTATCTGTCTGTTACCTGTGTAAGAATCAAGTCTACCTGTCTGTTACCTGTGTAAAAGCTCACTGAATCAAGCCTATCTGTCTGTTACCTGTGTAAGAGCTCACTGAATCAAGCCTATCTGTTACCTGTGTAAGAATTAAGTCTACCTGTCTGTTACCTGTGTAACAGCTCACTGAATCAAGCCTATCTGTCTGTTACCTGTGAGTTAAGTCTACCTGTCTGTTACCTGTGTAACAGCTCACTGAATTGAGTCTTCCTGTCTGTTACCTGTGTAAGAGTTCACTGAATCAAGTTTACCTGCCCTTAACCTATGTAAGAATTAAGTCTATCTGTCTTTTACCTGTGAATTTAGTCTTCCTGTCTGTTACCTGTGTAACAGCTCACTGAATTTAGTCTTCCTGTCTGTTACCTGTGTAAGAGTTCATTGAATTAAGTTTACCTGCCCATAACCGATGTAAGAATTAAGTCTATCTGTCTTTTACCTGTGAATTAAGTCTACCTGTCTGTTACCTGTGTAACAGCTCACTGAATTTAGTCTTCCTGTCTGTTACCTATGTTAGAGTTCACTGAATTAGGTCTACCTGTTGGTTATTGACTGTCGACTACTTACCTTTGTCAGGCCCCGTTGAATGAAGTCAATCTGATAGCTACAGAGTTCCAGTGTAAAAGTTGTATGCTTCAGCAAACAGTCTACCAAAAGAAGTACTAGACATTTGGTCCTGTTTAACTTCCAGTCTCTGCTCCATAGATCAACCTGGAAAAAACAGGGTTGTGACATTTCAAACCATTGTAAGATGGATTTTGCCAATTTTTCAATCAAATTGCTTGCAAAATACAAAATGTGAGGAGAACTCACAATGACATACCCTGACCCCTATTTTGGGGATGACGTTTGTAATTACCAGGTACATCATGTTCTTTTAAGTTATGTTTGAAAAATGTTTAATTGTACTTTAACACTTTCAGCTTGATCACTGACCACAAGAATCTAATCAGATTTTGATTTACTTGTTTGCTGTGTTCATCACCTTGTGAATGGAAAAGGTTGATTATGAGCCAGGTTCTCTTTAAGTAGCCGGTGGCTAATTAATTGAACAGATGGGTGGTCCATTACATGCAATCCAGAGCAATTGTATTAATGTGTTTTGCATAAGGACACACCCACTAGGACAGAGGACATTTTTTCAGCTTCCTAAGAAACACAAACCAGTCCAAGTAGAAAATCGATGCTGAATGTGATTTACAACACTCAAATGTATATATCTCTAAATATAGAAACTTGTTCACATTCTTAATTTTGGATGAACCCTCTCAAAGACAAAGCATTTATGTAAATGTAAAAATTCAGAAATATTTCTGAGGGATTAAAAACTGAAAAGTATACAAATACTCTTAACTTTACTTCAACAATAATTATGAAACAAGTTACTTTGTGTAGATGGAAGTGCTTGATAGATCTTATGGTGGGAAGAAACCAGTGTATGTGGGGAAAACCTACATGGTAAGGTTGGTAACCTTATATCTTTCCACATTCATGATGGAGCCTTGTAAAGAAAACTTGTGAATTAGCACTGCAACAACTCATTACCTCATCATTAAAATGTTAATTGGAAATATACATGGTAATTGTTCTTATGTGGAATTTTTTTTTTAATCTGCCTAGTGAACCATAATTTTACAAATAAACTATGGCTTTTATTAAGACATCAAATATCTTTTAGAATTAGTATAATTTTAGAACAGAAATAATGTGTAGGATCAACATTTTAAACGAAGCACATTTTCAGGCTATTTTACTTCACAAATCAGCCACATCAACTGACAAGCAATTCACTCAGCTGAATGGTTCACTCACCATGCCAGAAAACCATGTCAACAGCATTCTCCACAAGCCTGTACCCTACATTTACTGGTGAAACAAGTGTCCATGTACAAGATTGCTTTTCTTTTTTTTTGTCATATCAAACAGTATAACACTGATGAATAGTTTACAAATAAAAACAATTATTTTAATATACATACCAAATGAAGAATATCATCCTTTGGCAAATCTGACATGCTTTTTCCAAGATAGTCGACCCATTTCAGATTGAAGTCTGGTGAGTTATTAACACCTTTCCTATAATCTCTGGTCACTGTAAAACATCAGACAGAAAACATTTTGCTTCACTCCTCAGAAATCTCAACTCCTACGCCTAACTATACAGACAGGTAACAACAGAATCCAACAGAAACTACTTTTATATTTAACCAAATGAAACATAAAAATTTAATTAACAGTGTTATAGAGGTGTGTACCTGAATCCATCTGTCTCTCCATATGATCTATCTAATACTCTTCTTGGTATACCAATAGTATACTGGGGTAGTAATTTTAGTGTAGAAAAAATCCACAGAATGTTCAACCCACATGGTTTGATGACCCTATAAATTTTTCATTTTTAATTAAGGCATAGAAACCCAATTATCTAGGCTAAAGGTGGAGAACATTGCTCATTGTTTCATTTGATTACTATTGTTATTACAATCTTAACGGCCCGTCAACACATAAAAGGTCATTAGGGCCATCTACTTGTGATTGTTTCATTTGAAACAGATATCAAATCTAGTCCAAAAATATATTTCCTTCCATATTCTGAAGGGTAAAGAAAAAACAATACATCAATTTAAACTAAGAACATGACACATTTTCATCTTACAAAACCATACCACAATATATGTAGATTTAAGAATCTTCATGAAATTGAAGGCATTACATACGTTTTTCAAACTTCTGTAGTACATCGCTCCGTTTTCCAACTGGGGACATCAGCACACAGTTACACATCTCCAACTTATTACATTCCTCAATCAGTGTAAAGAAGTATCGTATCCCTGTTGCCATGGCTTTGTCGTCAAATTCTTCAGGACATTTACACATCAATTCAAGGGACAGTATCTCAATTTGGTTCCTACCAAGGAATACAGAAATAATTAATAAACCATAACATTACTATTCAAAACAGTCATTATACAACCACATTGATATTCCTAATTACAAAAATATTATATTGAAAACAGCAGTATTGTGAAATGTATTTATATATGCTGTTGAAGTCACTTCAATCAGCTTTATTATTATTGTAAAACTTGCTGATGTGACTGTATCAATATCATGTTTTTCCATCTTTATCTCTCAAAAAAAGCTGTTTACATAACATTTCAAAAATCTTTTAATCATTATTGTAACGCTTTATATATATATATTTTACATTTGGAAATTGGATGTTATTTGTAACTACATTATTTTAGACAAAGTTTCGTACCATTGTGCTTCCATTTTCTGATCCTCTGAAACTTGTTTGCTTGATAATCTTTTCAGTTCACCTTTAGTATTCAGCTTGTACAAAACTTCAAAGAGCTTGCTTTGGTCTTTGACAAACTTCCAAATATCCTTCAAATAAAACATTATAAAATAACTTTCCAAAGTTTCTTCCCAATGAAATTATGTCCAAACCACCCAATGGCTATAACAGCATGAAGTTACAACATCAATATGTTGTATACAGTGAGTGTCGGCTGTTTTTTTAATTGTAGCTGCTTTGTTTTGGGATTTCCTCACAACTTTGTAACATATTGATTTATTTCTAAATTTAAAAAAAAATGAAATACATAGCTATATTTATAACAAGAAACCTACTACATTGTATATAAAATATGAAGCTTCAGGACCATACGCATTCATGGTGTTAAGCTGATGTTAAAACATATCCTTGGTTATTTATCATAGTGTTACTTACCTCTTTAGACGACAGAACAGTATGTACGACTCCTACATCATCGTCCTGTAGCCGGGCCATTAAGGTATTGGAAACAAAGTCTCTGTCCTCCATCTAAAACACACAACAAAGTAGAATTACCATCCCCATCTCAAGGAATGATCAACTTTACAACTTTACACAAGAATTTAATCTATTTTATGATTTAAAATGAAATCTTAGAAAATAAGTATTGGTAATAACAGAGATAATGTTGACAACTTACAAAAAATCATGTAAATAGAATTTAGGGTGTCACAAAAAATCCTACCCTTGTTATTCAATTTGACTAGGACAGTAAAATTTCATGGTTTGAGAATGGTGATAAGAAGTTAAAAAGTTGAAAAAGTACTTCAATTTAAATGTTTTTATCTTAATAATGAAGCACTCCACCACTACACTGTGAAAATAGGCTCTGTTCTTGGCACTTGTAAATTTTTTTGTGAAGTGTATGTAAATACGAGCACAGAAGGAAAATGGGTTTTATATTTCAAAGCATATGAGCAAGAAGTTTAAGATAAATGTGGAAGAACTGTATTACAAAGTTGATGTTTTGCATGAAGCGTTGAGTAGTCTCTCTCCTGATGATGCGATTCTGGTGATTAAGAAGTAGAAGTGACATGCCAGGTCTTTCTTCATCATCATCTTGAATGGCAGCAACAGACAGCTGGAGGAATGCCTTAACAATGTCTTTGACAGCTGCATCCTTAGTCTCAGAAAGAACTTCCTCTACTGCTTCATCTAGCGCCGTGTAGTACCTTCCCTCCAGTAGACGCACAATGCTTCGTAAACTTCGGTCAAACTCAAACTTCTCCTCTTCTCCAATTACACGAGGCCAATATTTCACATAGCTCTCAATTATTTCTCTGGAGGACACAGAAAAACATGTAGCATAATGTTTTATATGTATTAACATATTTTGATTGGCTATTTCAGATATACATGTAGGTGGTGAAATCAAGGAAAAGAATCTTTCACCCTTTTAGAACTGAGATAGGGGATCTCAACTCAGGGGGAAAATCAGTATGTTAGCACTTGCCAAGTGTGTGCAATATAATAATTGAAAAGGGATTCCCTATCTCAACTCTGAGGTGAGACAAGGAAACCTCACAATGGTAAAACAGGGATACACCTGCCCTGAGACCACTGCATGTGTTTCCCATACTGTAACTCGTTGAGAGCAACCTACTCCAAAAACTATGATATCAAAGAACATTCATAACTATACATATGTATCAAATTTCACAAGTAAGTGACAGTACATCAGACACATTCAGATACTGGACTAGATAATTTGATGCACAATGAAATAAAGGACCATAACTCTGCATATAAAGGGATGTTTCAGTATTTGAAATGCTTGTCTCAACAGACACTTACATATATATCTGCAAAATAATGCAATGACTAAGCATCTTTGTTTGAAAAAAAAAATGGAAACAGTAACTGTGACCTGGAAACACAGAAACATTTTAGGTATTCTCATACTATTGTTTGACTTTTGTGTAAAAAATATCAAAATCCAGAAAGAAATGAAGTCACTAGAGCTATATCATTGAATCAGTTAAAATGTTTCTATAAATAGTAACAGTGACCTTGACCTTAGAACCCTGAGACATAAACTTGTTGAAGATATTGTCATTGTTAACCTTTGTATAAACTTAAAATCCCTTAGGAAATAAAGTTGCTAAAGACTTTTGGGAAACATCATACTACATAAGATTGCAGGGGCACAAAACTTAAATAAATCTTAACACACTCCAGTCATTTTTATTATAGGTTTTCAATCTTTGTGGTCCATAAACAGATGCAGAAACACGTACCTGATGGCCAGCTTTGTAGTAGTCTGACTAAGACTGGCAGTTGACATCAGGGTGTATAACTGGCTGAGGTACTGTGGTACACCCCTGCCCGAGTCAGAGTCACTGCTGTTCCCAGAACTGGTCAAGACCGAGTGCTCCCTCACTGCACATGGTATCAACTTGAGCAGGAATGATTGGATCAGTGGGTCAGCTTTGAAGTTGGCAGATATATGGGCCAAACAGTCAACTAAGGTAGTCTGGCGACATAAATGCTTAAATGCTCTGTGGAAGAAAATAATATGTTCAAAAATACTGTTAATACTGTTCAAAAACTGTTATCACTTGGAAAATGAAACCTTATCACATATTCATTTTTTAAAAGATTCAGTTGATATTTATCTCTATACAATGTTGAACACAAGAACATTATAAATATCTGCTAATAAAAAAAAACTGACTCAAATATTTGATCACAAATGACCTTTGGTTTATAAAGAATGCAAATGATTGAAGTGCTGAAGTCCATGTACAAATGAAAAACTATGCCCCAAGCAATGTTGTTTTGAGTAAGTTAAAACCAAATATCATAACTATAAAGAGCCTGTTTGTCTCAACTTGACTGCAGTAGTTGGAGGCTGATGTGATGAGAAACACACAAGGTATTAATATGATATCTTAATTTTGTAAAGTACAAATGCGAAATGTGATTTTTGACTTCAAATCAGTTAAAAACTTGTGACTAGCTTGTTACCTGTTGGTGAGTTTAGAGATATCCTGGCTCTGAAACATGAGGAGGAGACAAGAGACAGCTTCCTGTAGGAGGTTGGCTGACAAGTGCTGTAAACATAAGGAAATAACATAACTATTTCATAAAAAAAATTCATATAAAATTTAGGCCCCAGGAAAATACAGGATTTCACAGTGTGCCTATTTATGCTATTCAATATCTCTTTTGATCTTAAATGATAATATGATGATATCTCCAGGTATACAACACTGACAACCAGCCCCTTTAATTCAGCCACCACTGCAAGTATCAATTTTGGCTCCCTTAAGCAGTTGGTAATTAGACTACATCAAAACCCACAGGAATGTCCTACAGTTTTACAGAACAGTGAAATCTTGTCTAGAAACAAGTTGAATTTAGTTTTGGTCTCAAAATGATAGAGCACAACTTAAAATCACTTGACATCCTAACAAATCAAGAATGAGAATTGCATAAAATGCTTCAGTAGACTATATCAGAATTTTACAATGCCTTTGCATCTGTACCTTACACATTCCATTCATCAGTGTTTCTAACAGAGATTTCTGGAGTTTTGCCTTGAAGAGGAGCTGTGCAGTAATCATGTAAACAGCAGCCTTGTAGTCTAGAACCTTGGAGCGCAGACCATGACTGATGTGGGCTAGAAGTGTGGAAACCAATTCTTCCTTAACTTTCCCTGAGTCTAGAACTCCAATGATAGTAGTTGTGAAAAAGGAAAAAAGTGTTCGCAGGTGTGGTAATTTCTCACTGTACTGGATATGAACCTGTGAAAAGATAAAACTTGCTATGAATTATACCATCAGATGAAAAAATAAACATTATGGTCTGGTTTTAGACCTTCTATCAGTTACTTGTTTCTCCATGTGATCATACTGATCACTCTTTGTTTCACCCTATCACTACATATAGCAATAAGCTTGACAGGCAAGGGAGGTGCTAAGAATGCAAAGGATTTTTTAAGGTAGAAACAGCACAAAAACCACTTGCAAATGTTTCTCCTAATAAAGTTTAAGAATGCTAAACTATTCAAAAAACATTAACAACAGTGTGCTCTACATAAGATTCACACAGATGACACAGTTTGATATATCGAGACCCACCTTGACAGAATCGTAAACCATTTCACAGATGGTAGACAGGAAGGCTGGGTTAGTTCGACAGTGGTTTACTAAAGTCATCTTGGCCAAGTGGACTCCGGATTTCTGAAAATGATAATTAGCAAAAATTAATATGAGAACAAGCACCTAACAATATCTATGGAATCACAAACCATCTATAATGTAATTCAATGACAGTCCTATAAACAGAAAGTAGACTTCTTCTATTTGGATCTAGTCTACCTCTCTCTTTTCAAAATTTAACTACACTGTAAATGTAAAGGAAACATTTAAAAAAGAAGATGAAAAAAACCCAATATGTTGTTTAACATTATATCAAAAATGCAACTTGTAGGAAAGTAACATGTTAGAGATATCTACTTTAACATATTTTCGAGGTAGATATTAAAAATATTTACAACAAACCTTGCAAGAATGAAAAAGTAACAGTTAATTAAAATATTTGGACTTTCACAGTAATGCACATGTAACAGAGGTCACTATCTATTTCAATGCCTCCTCCAGGATTTTGACCTGGGACCTCTGGCCTATTAGTCTGAGGCTAAATCAATTGAGCTAAAGAGTTCACACAAGCTGAATGGTATATTGATGGTCACATCTACCAGGGTTAAACACACCTATGATAATACCAGGGAAATGTAATATTATGATTAAAAAATATCAGTCATCTAGGACTGAAAAGTTGTCAACTCACCTGTATTGGTTTGAGCCAGTCCCATTTGGATGCTGTTTTAGCATCAAGAGGTAACAACTGGATGACACGGACAAACGTCTTACTTTCATGGTAAGGCAGAACACACATCACAAGCTGGTCCACATTATATTGGTGGATGTGATACCTGATATACAAAGAAATCTATATCAGAGAATTGAAAACAATGTTTCAAGAAATTTACAAAAATCATATCTCAATTATCTTTTTCATGTTATTTCCATCAACAGGAAATATTTTTAGTATCCACCCAAATTTATTCAATATTTTATTTTATTTCTAAAGTTTGATACCTGAGTATGTCTCAGTGACCTACCTATATATTAACCATTCCAGTGCTTTGTGTGCAGGTTTAAGCAGGCAATAAGGAGACAGATGAAGCAGGAACTGGGACAGGGTCTCATTCAGGCGATCATTTACTTCACTGCTCTGTACACTTCTCTCAAAGGACATAGAAGATTCAGCAAATAAATTGGATTCATATTCTTGAAAGGATGTATCAATAGTTTGTAGTTCCTCTAACCCATTTACACCTGAAAGTAAGAATAACCAATTTCAATTAAGAATTTCTGATTCACTATTATGAATGACTTATTATCCAATACCTAATATGGAATGCATATATTGAACATTTATACTTCATTACACATTTACTTATTTGCCTTCTTTAATTTTGAGCTTAAATGAAATTTCAGATACCGTAAATATTTGCGTATAGTGCGCACTCGCGTATAGTGCGCAGGTACTTTTTGGAGATCAGATTTAAAAAAAAAAATCTACAGAAAAATTAATTGACTGGTCACTGCGACGAAACATTTGATGATTGATAATTAGGAAACCACAATGAGTGTGACCCTAACACATGTAATTACCTTAAGTAAACAAATTTACCCAGGTGACCTAACAAGCATGAAAGGCTTGGCTGATTGTATAATTAACGGTTACTGACAGTTAACAAGTTGAGTATGAGGAGACTGAGGACACCCGGCTTGGGCTGAACGCGTACTATTGGTCAGAAAACGATGTTGTTTTAACTGTCTGAACATTTTCAATCCTACCTTGTCCCCATAAAAGCAGGTGGTTTGTTCAGTATAGGCAGATACCCACCGCGGTATCCGAAGGTATTTAATGATAGATTGTTTACACCGACTTCGACATGGGGAAACTTTTAATTTTGAGCTTAAATGAAATTTCAGATAATACAGATTGTACCATTGCAAACATTGGAATCAAGGACAGTGTCATTTGTAGCTCTTCCTGTGTTGAAATCTAGAGAGTTAATAACCTAAAGGAACATGGGCAATAAAATAACATAACAAATTTAACTGTTCTGGCTTATCCAGGGCAATTAATTCACATTTCTTCTTTATACCATACATATAACTGAATACCACCAAAGGTATTACCTTGGTATGTGGTATTGACAGTGAAATATTTCCAATCTGAGTTTGACTTCTGATTTTCAAAATATACTATTCGTTTTCCAAAATGCATCATATTCTAATTTCAAATAAATTAATTTGTAAATAAAATGTGTTTGTTGTGATGTAAATAATCAGAAATGACATCATGAAATGATTTCTTTATAGTGTCAATGGCAAAACTATATATATTAGGTAATCACTTGTTGGTACTTCTTTAAGTCCCCACACAATCTAATCAGATTCTGTTTCAAACTTTTCTCAGTAATATAATAGATGGTACAATGAAGACATATAATGAGAAGAAATAATTTGTTTGACCAAGATCATTTTTGAAGTTGGCAAAATAGCACAGAAGAGATATTGGTTTGGCAGGAACATTATAATTTGCAAAATACAATTATATAATCATAGACATAAAACACAAAGTGGTTCTGTACATATGTGTACCTAAGTTAAAAAATGTCTCTTTGTCTATGGAGGCAGCTTCTGATGGATCAAACAGGAGTGATTTCTTTCTCTGATCTTCTCCATAGATAGTCTGGGTGTGAGGAACAGCTAGTCTCTCCAACTGTTTGGCTAAGGATGTCATGGCTATTTCAATTTGTCCTGCAAATAAATATAAATAAATTCATTGTAAACAACTTAAAACTTTTGCTTTGTGTAACCAATTAGCAACTCTGATGCATAACCATTTGAAACAGAAACTCATTATGTTCTTTTTACAAACTTGCAACAACAAAAAAAGGAGGGAAGGTGACATACCCTTGACATGGCATAATAATCAATTGCCATGTAACTGTTATCACCTCAATTACTTGTTGTGTGGCTAAAAGTAGAACACATGTCATTATATAAATACATGCTTACTTATCAATCTCACTAAAGGCCCACAATGGCTACACCACACTGAGAACAATATTAGTGATATAAACTGATATTTAGCGATATGAACATAACATTCCTTATGCAAATATATACAGATTATTACATTAAGATGGTTATACTGTGTCATGTAAAGAAACTGACGGCCCTTTCGTTGCAAGTGTTTCAAAGAAATTTATATATTTCTAATTCAAATTATCACGCATTTGAATAACTCATTGATTACTCAAAGCAGTAATTAGCACGCAAATGTGTCCTAATTGCTAATAGGTCAGGTAAATTTTACAATATGAACATTAGGCAGGCTGTTAATCACAATAGTTAGGTTGTTGTGTATGTAAAACAAGTGACCCCCTTTAAGAAAGTAAATTGAATTGATATTTGATAGCCTGTCAAACAAATGAAACCATCTCCAGACCTGTTCACTGTCTACTTACCACACAACCCAATTGCAACGAGCACATGGCCAAACACACCGGAAGTAAATATCGTGTTTTGCTTTATTTTCGAACTAGGTCTGATTAACTTCAGTGTCCTGATTTTGTTCATTAATTATGAGAAAGAAATAAGAAGTTTTGTTTTGTTTCGAATATTTAATTTTCTGTAGGAAAAATGGAAAGTTTGCAAAAATACGAAACAATAGAAAGACGGCTGTAGCAGACAAATAAAAATGGCGGAAGATGGAGATATCGATATCGAAGGGGATTTTGATTTTAAATTGGAGTGAGTTTTAATTGAAAGATTTGCAATGGCATGGCTGAAAACAGCCTTAGTTCATTTTTAAGATAGTAAATTTGGTTATACTTGATTGTTGTTCCCAAACCGTAGATATAAAGCGTATAGTATTTAGATAATGTTGACATAAATAATCATATTTCTTCGCAAGCGCTAACAGACAAAAATGACAATAGGAACCGACATTTATTTCAGTATGTTTAACATATGTCATAACGCACGTCTGGTTACATTAACAATGTCAATTTTCACAGTAAAATTAATTTAATTGTTAAAAAGTAAATGGTTTCAATGATGTGCAATTGTATTGTCATTAATATAGTAATTTTCAGTATAATGGAAAAATGAAACACGATAGGTTGATATTTATAATTGTGTAATGTATCGACTGTTACATCACAAGTTTCTTAGATAGCTAATATGCCACTCGTTAAACAATTTGGCAGACAAATGTTTAGCATCTGGTGCCGTGCACAAGGAGCCAGAAAAAAAACTTGGCTATGGAAAACGTCATTCTGTCAGCAAGGCCTATGCATATGGTGACTCGAATCAATGATTATATGAAGCACATAAATGTTAAAGCACATTCATATGCATATGGTTGCAATATTTCAGAAACATTCATCAGCATTCATGTATGTGCATATATGAATGATTAGTTATGGTGCAACATATGATGAGGGATAGAACTTACTGCTCAATGCCTATGTAACATATATATATGAGTTATAGTCCAAGACAATCCAATTCTATCCAGATCTTCTGTCTATCAATTGAGTATACGAAATTTGTTAAGTGAGTCTAAGACAATCCAATTCTATCCAGATCTTCTGTCTATCAATTGAGTATACAAAATTTGTTAAATGATTGATGTCTAAATTGTTTACCAACAATCAAGCAGACAAACTTGTCAGCTAGAATATGACAGCTGTATGTAGAAAAGAGCTTGATGGTAAACAGAATGTTATAGAGGGTAAACAGAATGTTTTAAGTGATGATTTGTTCCAGTATGTTCAGTATGGAATGAAGAAGTGTGGTGTGAGGGCTGATTGATAGGTTTTGAGCCTTGTATTGAAAAAGTTAGGCAGAAATGTTCTTTTTCAGCTCTGCTATTACCTTACTGGTGTCATTTGGTGAGTTTATGTCGAAGACATAGCACTCTAAAGTAAGCAAGGGGAGTGACTTTTGCAAAAAATGGACAAAATCGCTAAAAAAAGCAGTGATACAATATTTGTAAAAGAAAGATCTAGCACCTAAGGATATCCATAGTGATATGGTAGGAACACTTCTATATGATGCCCCTTCATATGCTACAGTGAAAAGGTGGGTGATGGATTTTAAGCTTGACAGACAGAGCCTTGAGGATAACACCTGTCCTGGAAGGCCTGTCACTGTTGCAACCCCAGAAATGGTCAATAAAGTGCATGCTATTGTTACGGCTGACAGGCAAATTACAGACAGATATATAGCCAGTACTGTTTGGATTTCACAGGAAAGGGTACATTCCATTCTTATGGAATTTCTTGCAGTGAGAAAGCTCTTAGCCTCTTGTGTACCAAGACTATTGACAGGTGATCAGAAGCACACCAGACAGACATTGCAAGCTATAATCTGAACCTTTTTGGGGCAGATCCTGCTAACTTTCATTGAAGCCCTTAAACATCACTGGCAAATGTTTATAGATACTGAAGGAGATTGTGTTGAAAAATAATGCAATATATCTCAAAAGTCAAACCCTTGAATATGACGCTTGCAACTTATCAGTCAGTACTCATAATACATGAAAAACGTTCACCGGACATATTTTAGTATAGTGACTAACTGGTATATTTAATTTAAGTGAGATAATGATAATATTTACATGAACTGTGGGGCAAGGTTTATAAATCAAGAGGAAAAAAAGATAATAGCTGTTACATATATGCATAGAGGGTTAAGCTGGTAATTTGCTGTTACAAATATGACATTGTAGCTAAATATTGAAAGAAATACATGTTCTAAAAAAGCAATTTACATTGATTTAATTTGAAGGGTTGCCAACATATATGATACAAATGAACTTCCATCGAAGAGTGCCAACCTCCTTCCAGAGTTCACAAATCCAGCTTGGATGCTTGAACAGGTAAGACTTACTTTGAGTATACATAAACTTATAGATTAAGGTATCTCTATATATATTTGAATGCTCCATTTCTTGATTGTTAGAAGATATCTGTTAATAACATTCATTCTATTCATTCACAGATTTTTCCATTGATTGATATGTATAACTTTGAGTATTAAGACAGAGTATACACAAGGGTATATAACAAGATTCTGTATCATTTTCCTTAAGGGATGGACAATGGACAGCTGCATTGATGAGAAGTCTAAAGCCACCATTGAGAAAATGTTACAAGAGGAGCAGTATCCTTTCATGTCGTGTCGTGCTATTCCTATAAAGATGGTAAAAAACAAAACTTTTGATGTAGTTAGAGATGGGTTTATCACTGAACAATGTCATAGCATTTGTTGTCATTTTTATCGGAAACTGCAAGAGATGTGAGTTGCTGGAAAAGTATATGTTATAGAGTCTAAACAGTTCTATTGATTGCCCTCATCTCTAGTTTGTGTCTATGTTTTGCAATGTTGCTAATCTTTAGTTCAGACATTGTCTTCGAAACCTGTTAAGACTTGTCAGATAAAATTCTAATAGAGCAGAGAAAAAATGGTGAATTATGGTTAGAACAAAGAATAACCATGAATTGAATTTCATTCCTGTAATGAAATCATTCTGAGTTTAATGTGTTGGTATTCTGAAGCTTGTCAGCTGTACAGAGTTGTGATGAATTTAAATGATTATACACTTAAAATGTCCATTGATATTATCAATACATATATCATAAATATTTGTCTGTTATTGACATGTTTTTGGTTGGTAAAATTTACTAAATGATTGTAAATATTGAGACTAAAACACCTCACATGGCGAAACAAAAAAGTTTTGTTGTTCATACTGATTACCAAAAGCGAAATTGAAAATTATGTTCCTTAGACAGTTAAGATATTACTTGAATGGGAAAGTTGGTACACGCCAAAGACTAGGTGGCAGCACTTCCAAGACCAAGCCCATGTCTCACAAACAGCCATGGAGTGAAGAAGAGAAACAAGTGTTCCAGTCAGGACTGGTAGATATTGTTTTTTGATAAATTGTGCTTTTTTTAAATTAAATAAAGCTTCATTATCTAGATAATAGTTTCCTGAGACTTTTATGAATAATTAATTGTTTGGTAGATATTGATACAACTTCCTCAAACAACATTAGAGCTGTTCATTTTACAGGTAAATTTTTCTTGTTTTTAAAATGCAATTAATATTTCATATGAAAATAGTAAAAATACCAACAAACACCTTTTATAGATGTTTGATATCTGAAAAAATAATCTGTTATTTTGAATGGAATGAATTTCAAAGGCAATGTTGTGTTTCCGAACTTTGCTGAATTTTCTGGGACACTGATTTCCAAACTGCAAATCTTCTGTCTTAATAATAACAACTAAAAACGATTCTTTTACAGGAGATATTTGGAAGAAGCTGGTCCAAGATAGCACAGCTTATCCCATCACGTACAACATTGCAAGTTAAAAATTATGCCCAACAGTATTTCAAGCAACAGGTATGTGTATGAGCTTGACAGTAGGAATTGTTTTATTGACATAAATTCTATAAACCTTCTTTATTTGCACTACTGATTAAATTCCCTTTGCACCACTTTTGATGTTCTTCAATATGCCTTTTGATTTTGTCACTACACAAGCATAATCCTCTCTTGGAGATAAGTCATTATTTAACCATATAAAAGACATACTAATCTTATCAGTAATTTTCCTAATGAATCTGAATTATGAATTATTAGTATGTGTTTTAATGAGATAAAATGTCTATAAAGGCAAAGCGATCCCCCAGTGGAGTGGAGGGCCAAGTCCAGTTGGATGCTAACCTTCCACACAACTCAGCACTGGCTCATGTGCTGGTGTCAGTGACCACTGGTCAACCTACAGTAACTACAGCTGCAGCAGTGCGTCCTCAGGTGACATTGTCAAGGTCACACATGGCACCCCGCCCCAGGCCAACTTCAACTGCTTCTTCCCCTTGTCTTGTATCACAACCACCTTTACCAGTGTGTCCACCTTGTCCTGTGCCAGTGGATCTAAACACTACCACATCCTCCTCACAAGGTCTAGCCTTCAAACCTATAGACCGAGGAACGCCATCAACCTCCACAATGAAAATCATAACACAGCCAAATGCGCGACTTGTTTTGCCAAAGAGACCTGCTTCAGCACCTAAATTGAGTCAGCCTGTAACCATAGTAACAACTAACTTAGGATCACTCAGTGAGGTTGAAACTCCAAAACGATTTGTTCATAATGGAGAAATTCAGCACCTGGAGGTGATGAAACCACCAAATCAGCTTCAGTTGAGTCCTACCTTGGAGAACAAGTTAGCTAGCTCCACTGGGATCATCGAGAACCTGGATGGATTTTGTGCTGTGGCTGATATTGTAGAAGGGACCTCAGCTGTTGAAGACACCAGCCAGGATGATGAGGAGATAGATATTGATATAGAAAACGATGACGATAATGATGAAAACCCCATTCTCAAAAGTAGGTCGGCATCTCCTAATTCTGTGTATGAACGACTGCTTAAAGCTGCCAATATAAGAAACAGAGATTCTAGTCAGAAGGAGGCAGACATGAAGGCTAAATCGAGTGTCAAGTTAGAGAGTGTGGAGTTAAGTGAAAATAAAATGGCAGAAAAATCACCGGTGAAATGTGAAGTTGTTGAGGAGGGTTGTGAATTGTCAAAGGGATCTGGTGTCACTGTGGAAGGGACAGATCAAGAGGGTGGGCAAACCACTCTAATGGAAATCAAACCTCTGGACACATTAGAAAGCACATCTGTAACCTCAGAGGTCATCTCTGAATCTTCTGAGGACTGGTCAACGGAAAGTAACTATGGAGATGAGAAAAAAATTAGTAAGTTACTTATGATTTGCAATGAAGAATGTATAAATCAGTGTTTTATATTTTACTGCTCTTGAAGTTGGCTTTGTTCATTGATTATTGGTTTTGTGCTTTTTTAAATTGGAATAAAGAAGTCTCTTCCTGTGTGATTAAAAATATGACATGTCCTTACAAAAATGAAATTTTGTATAAAATTTTCATCTTATAGCTACTTGAACCTTGTTATTGTCAGTGTAGTAACACCATTAACTTTTTATCATCACAAGAAGCTATAATAAATGTGATATTTCTTGATATTTTTACAGCTAACAGCATTGTACTGTCTAATGGAGAGGTTGTAGAGTTTGATATCCCAGTTGAGGAACGTACAGTAGATTACAAAAGCATAACAGATGAAGAGAGAAAAATTCATATTGAGTTCTTTGATGGCCGGCCTTCAAAGACACCAGAAAGATACATGAAGATCAGAAATTATATCCTGGAATCATGGCAAGTTCTGAATCATGGATGACACAATGTCCACTTCGAGTTGAGATATGCATTTGTGAATTAAGTTGCTGTGTGTTTGGTAATATTTGCAGATTAAGTCTCACTATATTTAAAAGTCATTAAGGATTGTATGAATTTGAATGCACAGCAAAAATTTCATAAAATATTACATAAAAGATGAGGGTATATCTTTCTAGTAACTATAAGTGTGAGACGAGAGTATACTTACATATAGTACATATACTGTGGTTTAAAAATCAGTATGATTTTAAAATGTAGAAATTTATATATCACTGTTTATGATTTGGAATGCAGGACATTTGAATTTATCTACGTTCGAAATTGAAAATTTGAAAATTGGAGAGTGATTTAGGAACCAGAAATGTATGTTAACAGGAGGAAGTGTCGCCCTAATTACCTAAACAAGACATCAGTACGACCAGGCCTCAGGAACTGTGGGGACGTCAACTGTATAGGAAGGATACACTCTTACCTGGAATGTACTGGGGCGATCAACTTTGGCTGTGGTGAGATTCTCTTTTGTGGTCTTAGTTATATTATTATTTACTAACATAGATGCTACTGCCACATTTTATCTGATAGTGTGGTTTGTTTTGGAGTTACCTTCAGTAAAAGTAAAAATATTTCAAGTAAGATGATCTATCATTGATGATTGTATGTACCGGTATTTTTTATGGGACTTTCAAATGTAGCTTTACATCATTGAAATCAAATTGTTATTTATAAAAAAAATGTGGTCTTGATATTAAGCAGAAGACTCTTCTGAAAATTTAAAATATTTAATTTGCTGAAGTGAATGTGGTCCATATTGATATTTATTACAATTAACTTATTTCAGAAAAGAATGTGAATGGCAGGGAAATATAAAAACAGTAATTCTACAAAATTTGTTTTTGAAGAAGGAAATCATGACATTATATCATAGACTGGAATCATTTATTGATTTTGAAAAAAATCTTAAAATCATAAGGAAATCAAGAATGTATTAAAATTTTAAGAAATATTTTATATACTTGCAGGGTCCAAATTTCTTGATTTTCATTCAAACTTTTTTTTATTTACGTTAACTTTTTCAATTGATATTCATGAAATCTATTATTGCTAAAATGATATGTATTGTTAACTGTTAATCATTTCATGGATGTATGAATTCATTGATGAAGAGTACCCACAAAACCAACAAGAATATAACATCTATCCATATGTTGTTACAATTATTATTCTCAAATGATTCATTTGTTTCAGAGCAAGCGTGTTACAACCATCCAACAAAGATTGTGGTTGCTGGACCAAGGGAGAGATTTAGTCGAGAGGCTGTCATACAAGTTAATCTGTCTAAGTTAGAGGCAATGGTAAGATTATGAATTGTGTTACAAGAACTGTACTCTACATGAAGACAAAATCTCTATCTCAGATATTTAAAGGCTTGAACAAATAGCCCACTGGCTTAACAGTTACTGAATATTTGGTATGAATAGGCAATGAAAAATTAGTTAGAATTTAGAGAGATTGTTTTCATAGTCTACAATTTGGCACTTTCTGTTCTGATTTCATTCTTGATACACACAAATGTTCATTTAAGAGATGGGTGCTGCAGATTGACTTTATGAACAGTTTTTGTTCCTATATAACTTCATTGTAGCTCTTTAATGAATCTGCATAATTGTTAGGTAATTTTTGGTTACCTCCCTTAGAGTTGGTATAGGTATTAGAATTACAGGCATTTAAAACATTTCATTGATGTTACAACAGAGACCCAGGAAACGGAGGATTCGAGACGCCTGTGGCCACTGGGTGGATGAGAAAGAACTGCAGGGAAAAACTATAGAGGTACAGTTATTCACTTAATAAGTCTGTATAAAAAATATAACTATACCTCTATATCCATATATATGTTGAACTTCAAGGAATGTCTGTGTTACAAATTCAAACCATAATTTCAAAGACTTGATTTTTCAAGAATTTTTTCAGCTAAACAACACCTGATAGTGGGCTATGTAAATCCCCCTGCTTCTTTGGTCAGTCATCCATCCACCTGCCCATACACAATTTTTGTTATTGCTATTGCTTGAGAAGTATTGGATTGATCTTTCTCAAATTTGATATGTAGGTTCCCCTTAGTCCCTAGGTATGCCCATTTGATTTTGGGTCTGATCAGAAGAATAAAATGGCCAACAGATGCCATCTTTTATTTTGACATTGACAGTTTGTTATGGACATTTCTTCAGAAGTACAGGACGGACCTCTCTCAAATATCATATGTAGGTTCCCCTAGGTCCCAAGTTGTGCCTGTTTGATGTTGGGACTGATCAGGAGAACAAAATAGCCAAAAGACAGCCATCTTAGATTTTGACTCCAAAAGATTTTTATAGCTATTTCTTGAGAACTTCTGCGTGGATCTCTCATAAATTTCATACGTAGGTACCCCTTGGTCCCTAATTGTGCCCATTTGATTTTGGGACTGATTAGAAAAACATAATGGGCGACAAAATTTCACATGTAGTTGTACTTATTTGATTTTTGGACTGATCACACAAAAAAGGCTATCAATGACCACCTTGGATATGGCAGTTAAAGATTATTATCACTATTTCTGCAAAGGAAAGTTTAAATTTCTTATATTTGAGAGCAAAAACTAGAGAAGGCAACAGAAAAGAATGGAAAAGATTAAACAAATAAAGATCAAACAATAATGGGTGCCAAGGTCCCTTTGGGATCTCTTGCTTATGGTAACTTGAACAAGCAATAGCATTATCTAGTCAACCAAATTCATGAGATTTGATATAGCTTGCCCAATTGCAGTAAATCTTTGTTAACTGAAAGTTGTCTGGATTATGAAAACAGATTTATCCCTTTTTGGTTAAAGCAAGTTACAATGTTTTGGTGTAAGATTTTGTATACTGTTTATTTTTGTAATCAAAGGACTACGGGGCTACTTGAGTCATTGATTTACAAACACCTGTCACTTCATTATTGTTATTTCCGTTATTGCCTTCAATGATGAAGAGTTACAGAAGTAGCAAATAAAAGTAATAAGAAGAATTACAGTACACAATTTAAACAATTCATTCAAAAATTATGCAGCATTATCAAGGCACATTTGTGTAAAATACCTTGTATTACATAAAATATATATAATTTACAGACTTTGCAGTAAATAGATTGAAGTTTTAGACTGGAAATACAAGTACATGTCATTTACCAAAACAAAATGACTGTGTTGGGGTGTACATTTAGTTGAAGAACTTTATGAGCACTACAGTCCACTAATAAGCAAGCAATAAATGTTGTCCACATGACACGTGTCACGTCTTCAATATCAAGTTCTCTGAAGTAATTTCTATATCAAAGCCATAAACACTCTGTGAAAACAGCCAGCATACCAGACCAAGGTTTTGATTTCACCTGTGTAGGAAATGCAGCTTTTGTTTTTCATTTCCATAATACATATTTTGAGGAAACTTTCTTCACTGTTGTTCTCATAGTCTACTAAGTATTACTCTTTTGGTTGATAAAAAGACTGCATGAAATTATAAATATTTGATATCTTTTGTGTTGTAGCACAAAGATGGGTGTAATGAAGACTACCCAAAACCTAAAGCCTATCGATTTAACAAAGGAGGATATGATCCCTTCAAACTGATACCCTGTGTTCCATTCTCAGATGATGTAAAGGTTAGTACAATGCTCTTATGTGAAGGTTAGTACAATGTCCTGTCCTTATGTAAATCTTAATACAAAGTCCATATTTTCGTTGTTAGTACAATGACCTTATGTAAAGGTTGGTACAGTGACCTGATGCAAAGGCTAATACAGTGTTCTGTAAAGGTTGAAACAGTGTCCTTAGCTAAACTTTAGTACGTCTTTTTTGTGAAGTTTAGTAAACTCATCATTATGTTGTTTTCTCTTGGTATGCAGTATAAATCTACAAACTCCTATATCAGAGGCAGTGTATGTAGAGCAGAGAAATGAAATGTTGGTATTATCTGTAGACACTGCATGATGAAAAGTGTTCTTGATCATGTGTACTGTTGTCAATGAAGTTTGTTTAAATGTTTAGATATCGGTAGGAAATTTCAAAATTGATATTGTTAAAGGAATACTTGGGATTGGATAGAAAAACCTATTCTGTAATGTTCACCTTACTTGTCCAAATCTATAGAATATTGACATTCATAACTGTCTACTTCTTTAGTAAGAACCTATCATATGAATGATTCATTGCAGCCTCCATTTTCTGTGGAAGTTTACAACCTCGCAATGATCACCATGGATATGCATGCCCACATATCTAAAACTGAAGTAATTGGGATGCTTGGAGGCCAGTATATGGAGGAACAGGGTAAACTAGTGATCACCATGGCAGTGCCCTGTAACAGTACTAGTACTGGCATGCAGTGTGAAATGGATCCAGGTCAGTTTCAGAACAAATCCAGATAGAATCAGACATATAAAATAGGTATTTGACATCAATTAAATGTGAAGTTATATCTATGGCAAGGAACACACCAGGGTTCTTAATCATTAACAATGTTCTAGTACTTACTTCTGAATAGTTCTTTTCTTCTATCCAGTGATTGAATGTTGCTTTACAGAACTTTGAATTGTATGTTTGTTCTGATAATACTTGAATGTATATTTATTTACAGTATCACAGACCCTAGCCAGTGAGGCTATCTGTAGGAACTACTCTGTTGTGGGATGGTATCACTCTCATCCAACCTTTGCACCCAACCCATCCATTAGGGATATAGAAACACAACTAAAATTCCAAGTAAGAGTGCAGTTGTTATGATATCAGTGTTAATGTTATTATCTATTGTTAACTGTTATTGATCGTCGAAACCAAATTTTATTGAGATAACATATTTTTTCTGGACCCATCTGATGAAGACTTTGTACAATGCTACCATATACCATATTAGATATGTGATAATCAGAGTTCAAGGTCACAACTACTACACAAAATATTGGTTTTCCTGTGATGATTTATTAATAATCTCTTTAATGCTTGTCATAAAGCTGACACATTCATTTCTGAGGAATTATTCTTTTGAAATGGTAAATCTATTCTCATAATTCTTCTTCTTCTTCCTGTTAGGTTATTATAGATATGTATGTCTGAAAATTTAATCCTGAAGAAAATTCAGTGATTCAGGGAAATGTCTCACATAATGTTACATAAAATTTATGTTATTGTTAATAATACACAAAACATGGTTGACTGTTACTGGAAATAATTTTTGAGAATCGTATGATATTTCACGAAAAACATTTTGAACTATTTTCCTCAAACCAAAGTCCAACTCTTTAAGTAAAGCTATGGACCAGTTTAAATCTGATATATACAATGAAATTGCTTTTTGCTGCACAGGAATGGTTTTCTAAAGGAGGTTCCAAATTTGTTGGTGTGATCGTAAGCCCGTACAATAGACAAAACCCGAGTCTGTACTCGGAGTTCCAGTGTTTGACTATTGGCCAGGAGCGTAGTGAGAGTGGCATGTACAGTAAGTTTGGGTGTTCTAACATGTAGTTGTTAATTTAGTGTAATAAATTATTACATTGCTCGATGCAGTGATTTACTGATAAGGTATATATGGTGATGACTTTTAGGTTCTATTGGAAGAAATTCACACCCCGGAAACAAAGTGGTAGAAAAAGCCATAACGATTGTAAATTGTTGCTTTAACATTTCCTTTGCTATTATTTGCTGCTTTTCCAAGATCTTCACACCTGTTAGATAGATTGAGCATTCACTTGATTAGTAATTAATTGTTATAAATAATCTATAAATATTGAGGGATATTGAGGCTTGATCCTGTAGTTGTGTATCGTTGATGTATCTATCATGGAATTTACAGGTGGATTACAATTGATTTTGTATCTCTGTCTCCTGTGTATACTTTGTAGACATCCCCCACAGTTTTAGCTATGATGTGATCGTACACCCAGTGTCAACACATGATCTGAAGACCGAGGCAAGCGAGTTGGCAGATCGTTATGCCAGTTATACCAACAGGGTGGAGCTTCTGGGGGACTACAGAGTGGTCACACAAATGAGGTGTCTAGATAAGGTCAGTATATATGCATTCATATCCTTCCCTACCACTTCAGAGTGTAGTAAAATCTCCTTGTAAGCATGTTGATGGCAAGTGGATGGTTTTCATGGGACTGATGAAAAATTTCACGATGGTGAAATTGCATTCAGAATTGTAGAATGCATTCACATTTGATTTGTCAAATAGCAATTTATAACAATGGAGTTAAATCCTTACATAGTTGTTTCTGGATATTATTTCTCTACAGAATATTGCTTTGTAGTGATCATCAGAGACATATTGTTTCATGCATGAGGAAGTCTTGGAGCAAAACTTTGGCATTACTTTACATGCATGGGTAGCATTAACATTTGTTTTAAAATAAAAATGTTTAAAATTTAAAAGTTCTGTTATCAACAAACCAGCTTTATAGTTATAACTGATCAGGAGAATCTCAGCACATGATCTCAATTTTATGATTTTACCCTGTACTCTTGTGTGCTTGGTGGTTAATTACATTTTGTAAATGATCAAATTAGTGGTAAAGTTTTCAGCTTTGCTCCGTGTTAAACTTAATTTCTATGTCATAAGCAAACAAACATATACTTATATCTATACAGGTTGTACCAATAAATTTTAGATTCTGAATTTCATCTACAATTTACTGTCAATTAGTGCCAATAAACCATACCTGTTTAGCTTTATTCTGGACAAGGTACTAATGCTAGCCCTGGTAAACTCAGACCTACAGGCAGATTGGAAGATTTTTTACTGTTAACTTCTTTGTGTGTTTTTGGATTAAAAAAAACATGCAAATTTTTAGATGAAAAACAAATCTTTATAAATGGTGTTTGTGTAATCTTGATGATGTAAAATCTGAGACACTAATGGTGATATCCAATCTAAATAATTAACACAAGTTAGTAACAAAAATAAAGCTAACATCAGTTACAAGCATGTTCGGTGATCTATGATGTGTTGTGCATTTGTATAAATACCAAAAGTAGGTAGGACAATGAAATGTGATATAGAATCAATCCAGGTAGTTTCAATCACCTGTCAGAGTGGGTTAATTATTCAGCCAAGATACCAAAAGTAGGTAGGACAATGAAATGTGATATAGAATCAATCCAGGTAGTTTCAATCACCTGTAAGTCAAAGTGGGTTAATTATTAAGCCAACTAAGATTCAGGATTGATTTTAACAAAATGCTTTCATTGATTAAATGACTTCTAATTTCAGATGTTGCTATCTATAAGTGAGTACATGGATAATAGTCAGGATGAAGTGGATGAAATGACTTCTTTAGTAAGAGATGTTTTTACAGAGTCATTTTCATCCAACCACCCAGAGTCTGTTGAACCTGATGTGGTATGTGAAGACTCAGACTTTTTCTGTGCAGAGGCAGACATGATGAGCTCTTCTAGTGATAGTGAAGGACACTCACAGGAGAAAGACCAATCAGAGACAATTTCTCAAGGTAGTGGTAGCCAATCACAAAACTTGTTACAAGAAAGTGATGATTCTGGCTTAACACAGAAATTGGAACTTTCTAAATCTACAGGTCCTCAACTTATTGGTGTCAGTTGATAAAAACTTATTTTTAGGAACTTATTAATATTGCATGTTTTTTGATATTTTAGGTATTCATTGACGATTACCAACAAATTTTCTGGTTGCCAAAGAAAATGGCTGTAAGCTTTAGCGCTGTAAAAGGACATTGCATTGACAAAATTGTTACTTTTGTTTGTGAAAATTCTGTAATGTAAGTATTTTATTGTTATGTTGTGGTCACATTCTAAATTCTTGCTTTTATACACTGTTTCAGATACATATGCCAAAATACCTGACTAGTGTATTTGTCATTGTTTTACAGTTTTATAAGGCAAAATGGAATTGAAAATTTTGGATACAGAATTGGCATAACTAATGAAAGGAATACATAATGTTCTTAACAGAATGATGCCAGTCTCCTCAACCATGCTCCTGTAATTAAACTTCATTGTAAAAGCTGTTTGAAAAACTGGTTGAATGCTGTAAGACATAATATACAGGTACAGACCCAGAAATTTCAAGAAGGGGGCCTTACTGAGCAAAGATAATGACAGTATTTAAAGGAGTTATGTTTTTGCTGATTAGAAGCATTTTCAGGTAAAGGCACAATAGCATTGTTCTGATAGGCAGTTTCAACCATCTCTGAAAAAATATTTAATTGCTATTTTTCTAATGAAAAAGCAATAAGCGTAAATTTTTCTTTGTTAATTTATTTTGTTATTTATGTAGACTTTGTCACAAAGGTATTTTACAGACCTAACAAGCATTTCTATGACAGATGTAACTTAAGTATACAACTTCGCCAGTATTAAATGAAACTCTTCAGTCTCTCTGTTTATCTTATTTTTATTTATTTTTCGTAGTTGAGATAAAATGGTAGTTGTTGATATAATAAGAAGTTACTAAAACTTATTTTTAATCCACTCTTGATTAGATAATAACTGTTGGTATAGTTTTAGTCTATTGATGTTAGGGCTACAAATAGACCCATGAGAGTATGTTGTGACTTTAGCAAATTACTTTTGACTGGTAAATTGAAAGGCTGTGTCTATTTGATGTGCTTTGTGTAAGCTTTATGAATGTCAAGCAGGATATTTCTATGTAATGACATTTGCCTAATATGTAAGGCACGGATATCAAATGTGTCCAACATTATATTTACACTTCACAAAGAAGTGATACCAGTAAAGCCAGAAGACAAAGATTTATATCAAGATTTATTATTGCTTTAAGAATTTGGGCATTTCCAATTCATTTATTGTGATCATGTGAGATTTCTATATGATATTTGTCGTTAAGATAATGGTTGTTTAAGAGAGGTTTTCGTTGAGAGCTTAAAAAAGTGAGATATATCAGGCCTAAAGCCTAGAATGTGATAAAGAATTATGTTAATGTAAGGGTAGACTCTGCATTAAAATGATATCAAATCTTATTTTCTTTGCCTTTAGTTTTTCTCCAGACATCCAGAACATGGGCTATTCCAGTAAAACATCTACCCCTGGCCCTAGATGTTCAACAGCTGGTTAGGGATAACCAGTTGTTATTGAAAGTTTTCTTACATGATTTACACAAAGTTTGGAATAAAAGTTGAGACAGATCAGATTTGAGTGCTAATTTCACCCGTTAATGCTTATTTTTTATTGGTGGCTCACCAACCTTTCAACTTTGAGCAAATGTGGGCCAGGAATCCCCTCCCCCCCACCCCCTCATTCGAACTTCTAAGCATATTTATAATTAAATACTATGGGTAGTATATGCCCCGAAATAATCTTGGGAGTCCTGAGTGGAATAGATGCTTTACTTGAATAGGCATCAATGCTACAACACTGAAATAGGAATGGAGAATCTGTGTAGATGGCATATCTTGATGCAGCGATGAACTCTGACTGAAATTTTCTGCTGTGTATAAACCTTCATTATGTAGAAGTGGAAAGTGCAGTCATGGTACAAGCCTCAGGTAGAGGGAAATCACCTTAAGTCAAGTGGTAAAGTGTCTAGCTAGAGACCATAGGGTTTCTAGTCCAAAACCCAGCAGCGGCAGAGTGTTTTACATTACTTCATCCTGTTACAGATTTGGTGCTGTGACCAGGAATTTCCCTTTGGTCCAGTGGTATGTTGTCTGGCTACAGACCACAGGGTTGTTGTCTTTGGGGTCGCAAACTTTGTAAAGAAGGGAGTAGTGTAGAGGTTGAGCATGCAGGTCAGCTTCCTAGCCTTGGCTAGTGGGAAATTCCCTTTAGTTGAGAGAGAGAGAGAGAGTGTTTGGCTAGAGACTGAAGAGTCACTTGTTCAAAACACAGTGGTGGAAGGGTATTTATGCTCATATCTGTACCCTCATATCAAAGTCAGTTCATTTGCACCCAATGTCAAAATACTGTAAGGATTAACAGAAATAATTTTATAATTTCATGCATTGGTGTGTCTCAGATAGATGGTTTGTAAAGTTGTTGCCCTGATCAAACTCCTTCACCAAATTTATAGCAAGGTGACAACTGTCAATTGTGTTCTGGAATACATCTTGGAACATTAAGCCTATTGAAATAAGTTTGGTTTGACATTATATATAAAGAATTCCTGGGTTATAAAACAAGCTGCTAGTTATATTTTACAGTACTTATTCCTCAATGGTCCAAGCAAATGGTACAAGAAAATTGATTGATGCAACATGTTTTACAAACTCTATCAGTCTCTTTCAAACCTGATCACCATTATATGGTGTTGGATTCTCTTAACAGCATTTTGACTACTGTTTTTAGGAAGAGGTTCTGCCTTTTATAGGTACTTTCTCTCATTGCAACCAATGTCTTTAAAGTTTGTTGGACTTTTGTCAAGTTGTTATAGAAGTTATTGTTTCATTTTTAGGTCATCTGACCTGTGCGTCGTCCGTAAACTTTTCATCAAAAAACTTCTCAAATACTAGAAGGCCTAGGGGGCTTATACTTGGCCCCTAGCATGCTGGCATGGAGCCCTACAAAGTTTATTCAAATTAATGACCTTGACCCACTATCAAGGTCACAGGGGTCAAATATGTTAAAATATACAAACGACTTCTTCTCAATAAGCAAAAATCTATGAGTGCTGGTATTGGGTCTGTAGCATGCTGGGATGAAGGGCTACCAAGTTTGTTCAAATGAATGACCTTGACCTACTTTCAAGGTCACAGGGGTCATATATGTTAAAATATACAAAAGACTTCTTCTCAATAAGCAAAAGTTCAAGAGTGCTGATATTGGGTCTGTATCATGCTGGGATGACGGGCTACCAAGTTTGTTCAAATGAATGACCTTAACCCACTTTCAAGGTCACAGGGGTCAAAACTATTAAAATATACAAACGACTTCTTCTCAATAAGCAAAAGTCCAAGAGTGCTGATAATGGACCTGTAGGATGCATGGCTGACATGCTACCAAGTTTGTTCAACTGAATGACCTCGACCCACTTTCTAGGTCACAGGGGTCAAATATGTTGAAATATACAAACAACTTTTCAATAAGCAAAAGTCCAAAAGTGCTGATAATGGACCTGTAGGATGCTGGGATGACATGCTACTAAATTTGTTCAAATGAATGACCTTGACCCACTTTCAAGGTCACAGGGGTTAAATATGTTAAAATATGCAAATGACTTCTCAATAACCAAAATGATTAGAGTGCTGATATTGGGCCTGTAGGATGCTTTGAGGAAGTGTTACCAAATGTGTTCAAGTGAATGACCTTGACCCACTTTCAAGATCACAGGGTTCAAATATGTTAAAATCTGTAAACGACTTCTTCTCAGTAACCAAAAGGCTCAGAGTGCTGATATTGGGCCTGTAGGATGCTGGGAGGAAGGGCTACCAAGTTTACTCAAATGAATAAAGTCCACTGTTTTAACGGCAGACTCACTGTTGTTAGAGTTTGGCTTGATTTTTGTCAGATAATCGTTGAGGCCCATGGACCTCTTGTTGTTAATTCATTTTGATACCACAATCATATTTCATTTTGGCATGGGAAAGGAATTCACAATTGATGATAATTTTATTAAGGTACACGTGTAAATACTGTAAAATCAAATAGTTTTGCGGGATTCGGTTATTGTGGTTTGTCAAAAAATACTATATTGTTGACACTTGATTTTGTACATGGACATATATATTCGTGGATAGAGAATACCCACAAAATCAATGAAAATAAATTCCCCATAAAAATCAATGATTGATAAGTACAAAAAGGTGACTTTCAGTGATGTTATCAACATTAATTACTTTATCTTAGGAAATAAAACAAGACATGATTTAAAAGAACAACATGTTTAATTTCATTTGGCAGATAAAATCTGTAGACAAGCTTGGAAACTTGCCAGTAACATCAAGAGTGACAAGGTCAAGAGGTATGACCTTTGTCATTTGTACAACCAGTATGGACATGATAGATAAAAGCATCAAAGCCTGGTCCGAATGTTTTAATATCTTCATGTACATAAAATAAATTACCAACATGAAAGCTAATATTATCAGTAAAACAATTAAGCAGTGATAATATAGTCAAAACATGAATTAAAGGACACATGACAGTGAAATATGAAAATGTGAAAAGATGAAAAATGTAAAAAATATGTAAGTGGTATGGTGAGTTCAACATACTATTAACATAGCGAAGACAGACAATGTTCAGCAGCGAAGACAGACAATGTTAAGCAGCGAAGACAGACAATGCTAAGCGCGTCAAACTTCCACTAAACTCTATTATCTACCCTAAGACCTTTCTCTAGCTTATGATTTACATTATATTTTCTTCCACACAGAAAAAATACTTGTCATAATTTTTCAAACTTTTCTTGGGGGTTTTAAAACCCGTACAGATTTGATTTTCTCTAGTTTTTGTAAAAGTGCTACAGATGATGACTTATGCAAACTTTTCATCCAGCTGAAGACGTTTGGAAGTGGGATGTTAAGTCTTTGCAAGAAAAACAGATACAGTGTGTACCTGGTAATTGCAACTAATATACTTTCTACTAGCACTTTAAAGCCCAGCAATATACTTGAGTACATCCCTGTAAGGTGCAAATCACAAGTAACCTGTGTTAGTAACAGAAACAACAAAAAACAGTTCATGAATTTTAATTACAATTGAGAGTTTTGAATGATTGAATATATCACTAATACTGGTAGATTAAAAACGTGATATGTTTCCGATATCTTCATTTTAAGTACACAATACATTAATCAAACTTCAAATACACTGGACAAAAGAGAACTAAAAAAGCTCAAAGCCTGTACACATTCAGACGCTAAATCTGTAAAAATTCTTCCACTTAAACCTTGGTGGTATCTGGTTTATCTAAAATTCTACAGATACAGTGGAGTACATAATATTGAATGGACTATAACAAATGATACATCACATGTACAAATCAAAATTAATAGATCTTTTAACAGTTTACAAAGGAACAATTAAGGTAACTTACATAAAACACAATGTTGTACATATGTATGACAATCACATCTCAGACGCTAGGCATAAAGTGCCTTTTACCTCAATTCATCTTGACATCAACTAGAAAACACACCAGAGTTACAATTGTAAAAAATCAAACGTCTATATAGTGGTTGTACAAATCTGGGATTAATTCAGAAAAAAATGAAATATTGCAGAAATCAAATGTTACTTAATTCTGAATCAATAAAGCTCTTGATTCTAATATATACAATGTCTTCAGACACTGACATTTTACACGTAAAATCTTTTCCCTATCTCATGCACCACAGAACATTTCATAGCAGTAAAAACTAGAAACATTTCAAATAAATATTAACAAGGAAACCTTTTGATCATTGTATACATGAAAAAAAAAAAACAGTACAGTCACTTAAGTCAATCAGCTGGACCAGTTTGACCAGGATGATTTCTATATAAACTTTACAGAAAGAGTTTTAACACCTATATTTCAGCTTGAAGTGATACATCTGAAATAAAAATGCACTTGCATGAAAAAAACCGAGCTAGAAATAATCCAGTGTTGTAAACCAGAAAGTCATCAAAGTACGAATCAGAATCGATGTGTTTTACAAATTAGAAATAATTTAGTACATGCTGAAGGAGAAATAGTTATATAGATTATAAATAAGTATTGTATAGATCAGAAATATCTATATAATTACAAAACAAACATAATGGAGAGACTAGACCAGGAAAAGCGTGGTATAAGACAATGTACAAGCCAGGGTATGTATCAAAGGCACGGTGATGGATTATACAGCTTACAAAAATATAGGTCTGTACATTAGCTACACTAGGGAATACTGCATGGTTCTGTCAACATCCACACTTATATACTACCATCTGACAAGATTCAGATGAAAATGCAATCTTCAATAAACAATCTTCATTTGTACATGATCTGATGTATAAAAGAAATGTTTTAAATTTTAAAACCTCTTCCCTTTTCACATTAATTTTGATGTTTGGAATGCAAAGAACCTGTATTGGGTTTGGTCTTTATTACAACCTGAAATTTTAAGTTGAATTTTAAAGTGAAAATATTTACCAATGTGTGCATTCATAAGATCAACACATCATTGTATTTCAAACCTCATCACATTGAACTACATAATTTACTACCTACATAACTAGAGGGATATTACATCTTCTAATGGCTTTACAATTAACAATAATTCATCTTTACATTTTCAATATCACTTATCACACTAAGTAAAATAATTAAGACAGTGAAGAAACATGGCTCTCTTGGATGTCTTCTTCTATTTCATTGGATATCTGATGATATATAATTTCAATTTTTTTCAGAAAATGTAAGAAGAAAAGAAAACTCAATTTTGTGGTGAAAATTTTTTGAAGAAAATTAAATCTGTGAACAACTTGATGTGATATAAAATAATTAATGATGTGCATTTGATTGATATATTTTGGAAGTGTTTTCCTACAAAAATATCTCAAAAACAATAACTCTGTGTTAAAAATGGGTAATGTATGTCAGATGTAGTTACGATAGCACCGTACTGTAAGCCTGTCGCCATCAGATCCCGAGTACTGCTAACTTAGGCCAGCCAAATTGCACTTGAAATGATACAGTACTCCATTCCTAGGTAAGGTTATAATAGGAATAACTGTATTTAATCAAATTCTCCATTAATCTGACAGCTAACAGATTACAAAATTAACTTTATAAAGGTTATAAAACTAAACCCCATATCAGTGCAAAAAATCTTTATCATAATGACTTACTAATTTCACCAATATTAATTGCACAGAAGATGGGGACAGACACATTTTTATCCAATAATAGGTTAATTTACATGTAAAAAAAGTCTTTGTTTCAAATAAAATATTGTGAACAAAAGTATCGCCAACTGCACATAGCTATGACCTTAAACAGTTTCTGTGACCTTGTTTGTGTTGTACCCTCGGTAACAGACTGAAATTCACCTTGTTAATGAATTGTGACCTTATTTGAAACATCCCTTGATTACACTAAAGGTAAGGTCCACAAGGAATGAGTTCAAAAACATATGAACTTCAAGTTCGTTCATCTTGAGTCTGTTGACCAATTTTTAAGGTCTAATCTCTGTGAAAATGTAGGTACACAATGCCATGCAGCCATTGGTATTATGCTTTGCTGTATTATGATTGTTATGATGGCTAGCTGCTCCACAGATGGTCCTGGTTTCCATCCATACCGATATTGATACAGTTGTTGTTACTAGGTGAATGTTTGTATTTTCCATTGGGCGTGCTGTGGTCAAGTCTATACTCAAGCCGATCAGAACTTGATCGCATGTCCTCCATGGAATGTTTCTTCATCAGACTGTCTGATGCCTGACCACTAAGAATGTCATTGATAAAATTCTGCTCAGCCTCGGACATAGACTGCATTAAGGGAGTGTCTTCGTACTGACTCTCCCTGTGTGGGTCATCGTCTAGAGGAAGCACTTCAGAGTATGGATTTTCTACACTCATCACCTCGGTGTAGTGATTTGGCTCAGAGTAGTGATTAGGTTCCATGTAGTCCCCATCAATACCATCTGCAGATGAAGCAAACTCAGAGTTATACTTCAGTGCAGAATCAGTAGATAAAGCTGAAAGTCTGTCTTTTTCTATTGGTTCCTCAGTGATCATGTGATCAGTTTCTTCAGATGCTGAAGAGTAGCGATGGGTTTCCCTAGAAACCTGTAGGTTGTTGTGACAATATTCTGAAACATATTCACTGTCAATTACAGAGCAGTCTGCCACAGAGAGGTCCCCTGCAATGCCATCCATGTCTCGGTGGTGGGGGATGTGGCCATTCGAGTGACCATTTGACTTCCTGTTGCTATGACGACCAGAACCACCATGTGTATAGATGGTTTGCTCTCTACTGGAGTAGCTGTCAAGGTCACTGCGAGGGTCACTCTTCCTTTTGTTTTGGTGACCTATAGTAGAAAAGAACATGGGTTTTATATGGCTGAAAACTCAATTAAGTGGTTAAAATATTTTAAATATTACTCAATGAAACATTGTTCAGTATAATACTGTCAGTGACACGAACGTTCAATAATTGTATATCTCACCTCTGCTTGTCAGTGTTGAATTTGAAGACTTCCTTCGTCTTCTTCCACTCCAAAACTTCAGCAAGTGCTAAAAAAATGAACATTAAACATTTAGAATGATAAAACATATGTTTCATTTCAGCGTGATTCTAATTAGAGTAGTAATGTTAGTGTATAGTGAGATTAAAACAATTTCTTGTTAGCTTTTACAAATTTTCTGTAAGCTGGTGTCAGTCATTTCTAATCTTTGAGACTTAAAACAATACATTAGACCATGCTTTTTAAAAACATGATGACTGAGGTGAACCTACCCCTCCACTTGAAGATGAGTTGTTGTGAGAGCTTGAGCTAGAATAGCCGATACACATATCTCTCAGACAGCTTGGCAGCCATGTTGAGCGGTATGCCAGTTTCTTGTACTCTTTCTTCACCTACAAACAAATGCAGGAGTTAACACCATGTGATTCAAAACCTCAAAAGTATGACATGACAATGACTTCATGTCCCAAGGATGATATTAACGGTAGATCTTTTTTCAAATTACTGAACTTTTGCTCATTCACAGGGAGACAGTAATAAAAAATGATCTAGAGACATGGAAAAATTCAACTTCACTCACATTTTGTATTAAGAACATTAACTATTAACCTAACCATACAACAGTCTTCAGTTATGTTTATGTGACTTTGAATTCTAATTCGTAGAATTATTGTATTCATAAATGACTGTCTACTGCTACAAAAGAGTACAAAATATTCTGTAATTGAGAATTTAGAAACAAACTAATCCTCAACTGTTCTCACCTTCTCATTGAGAAGACAATGGAAGATAAAGATGAAGAGTCCTTGGAGACTATTCAGTATTGTGAAGATGTACGCCATGACAACGGACTCTTTGTTGATGTAAAGGATTCCAAACGCCCAGGTCAGTCCCAGCAACACCACCAGGACGGCTGCACCCTTCAGCCAAGCCCTGTTGTCACAAAAATATAATCAGGGTTATTACATTTATTGTTGAAAATTATAACTTGTTTTCATCTATTTAAACTAATAATTTATCAATGAGTTTCTGTTAGAAACTGTAAGATGATGTACAATTTGTAATGCTATACATTTTGGTTCATATTTATTAATGACATCTGACGACTAAAGACACCCAATAAAATAGTCATGTGTTCAGATGTGACTGTCTGATGTCAATACTTGTATGATTTTCTATCACTGCCACAGAGATGTGGTTGATAATTTCCTGTTAATATTGGATTACTGACTTCAATCTTTGTGGGATTATTATGTGTTTCTTTAATATTCTCTTTCTTAACAAGTATTTATAATTATACAGTCCTTCAATAGTTTGAAAATGTAACCATTATGAAATGTGAAAGAACATCCCAATATTAGTATGTGTATATGACACCAACACCTTCCTAAGAAAACACCAATATATCATCTTCATCTCACATTCATGGTTTTATAACACGGAATCATGATGACATCAGCACGTACATTAAATGATTAGGTACAGGTTAACACCATTTTGTATCTATCCTCCTACCATAAACATTCCAGCAAATTAGGTATAGAAGATAAAAGTTAACTGTGTTGTTGAGTTTGTTTTGGGGGTTTGGCACAATGCGTGAAATGGAACTCTCAATGACATACATCAACTTCAAATATGTTCAATCCATATTTTAAAAAGTTTCCGCAGTATTTATGTCTTTTAGTTTTCACATCCAAGATCAAAGTTTTATGGAATTATGAGATAAGGTTGATTTTTTCATCACTTGATTTTGATACCAATGTCATTAGTGTATCATGAGCACAAGTTCTAGCTTTTATTTTATTATGTAAAATTCTGTTTTCTCCCTGAAGACAAAGTTTACAGTGACTTGGCAAAATAACTAAAATTAAGGGACATAACTCTAAATACAGCGGAGCAAACAGTATGTACACCAGTACACAGCATTTATTCTTTATAGCATTTGCCTGACACATGAAATTTCAGGAACATTGAGAGAGAGACAGGGCGAGATACACATAAGGATAAGGTGATGCATGGATGAAATGGCAGAATACAAACTGACAGTTCCTTCCAGTCATTACAGGTAAAGGACTTACAGGTGAAATGATAGACTGATTATATTACATGCACCTATAACATATTATATTTATAAATATGTATGAATCCATACATGCACAAGTGATTAAATTGATAAATGTATCATGTTGTCCCTTTGCCAAAAGTGTAATTCAATTCATCTGTTAAACATTTATGACAAGGAGAATCCTGTGATATGTGATATAGGACACAGTTTACCTTGTAATCCCTTGGAAAATTTAAAATGATTCTACAATTGATCAATTGGTAGGTGCTTCTTAAAATAGGAGTCTTTCCTGGAATTTTTCCACTTAAACATTATTTATTATGATAAATATCTGTCTTTGTAGTAAGTATTTTGGAAATATGATGAATTTTAAAATAGAAGGTTTATGACAAGTTAGTGAAACAACCATTCAATTCAAAATTCCAAAATTGATTAAGTATATCCAAACACTAAACTTAATCACAATTTAGAATTGTAAATTTGGTAATTATAGATTTATGTTAATCTTTAAAGTGCCAGTTTAGAATTGTAAAAGTTTTAGTTTCCCAACATGCCAATTAGAATGGAGATACATGTATTAGATTAAGCATGCACAAAGCCCCACCTGTTCCAAATATATTACAGAGGTACATAAACATCTGTTTATATCTTTACACCAGGTAATAATATCTAACCATGGTTTAAAATATTTCCTGGTGAGATTTGTTATTCTCTATAAAAAGAGTCAAATTGACTGATCCTTACGGTACTTCTGACTTGATCTTGACTTGGGAGTCCCGCAGCATGGAGTTGCCACTTCCCGAGGAGCTGGGATCCTGGCTGTTAGTATAGCAGCATGCACAGTGTAAAAACAAGATTAATGTCTCAACGAAACAATAACATGGTTGTTACACAAAGAATAACAGGTAAGTGCGCTACAGAACCTCGTTAACCTGGGGGCTATTCAGAACAGGAAATCTCATATTTAGGTAGGTCTTTAATTTTCTAAGTTTGAGTCTCAATATTTTATATTTAACATTTTGGAATGAAAACGTATTTTTCAAAAACAGTTCCATTTCATAAAGCTTTTTATAAGCACACTTATGAAAAATTGACTTTTTCCCACAGATAAGGGATGGCTCTCTATGAATAACAAGAAGTCACGTTAAGTTACAGATTAAAGAGGTTCCATTCAAATCTATCAGTTAAAAGTTATTATATATATACATTTGTACATGTATTTTAAATTTCCAAAAGTGGAAATCAGTAACATGAACACACTGTGTGATCGGTCCACACTGAATCCTGTTAATAAGGAGCTCTGTATAAATCAGAGTTACAGCTACAAACTGATCCATGTTCTTCAATTTCATACAAATACATTGTCTAGACACAAACTTTCTCTGTAAGCCAGTTTTTCATAAATTTTGAATCTTTCAAGAATGAATGGTATTAAAATGATCCTTAATGTAGACTTTTACAACAATAAGAACAAAGACAATATAAACCCTGATCAATAGAATGTATGTGATTTATAGGTCATACTTCTAATTTCTTCACGTGTCCCCCATGAATTTCACATGAATTTCACATGAATTTCACATGAAATTTCACTGCAGTTTTACTGCAGGAAAATATGGAGGTGACTGAGAGTATTAATCTAATATTAACTAATCACTCATTTCCCAGTCTCCCTCACTGACTTTTATTTCAATCATATGAAGTGGTCACAAGTTCATTTGTAGAATGAACCATTTTTAATTTCTCTTGCTTATGCTTGTTTTAAGAGTTTTAGATTATCAACATGCCATACTGTTCTTAATGGTTACAGGATGTAGAAGATGCAGGATAATATCAGAATTAAATATTCTATCATCTAGAAACAAGTAAACAGCTGAAACAGACAGGATTTGTTCTGGAATTCTACATCATGGTTGGTGGATGAACAACTCTTTTTGTATCCAGTGGCTGTGTTTGGTACGATAAAATAAGTATTTTTCGCAAAATAGTGATGAAGTGTTCAGAGTTGAGAAATGTTGAATGAGTATACCTGATTTTCTGTAGACGTGACTTTTCCTTCGTGCGAAGGGCAGAGGCGAGAGTATTAGCATGTTTACACATCATGTACACAGCTATACTCAGCATGACAATATTTATCTGAAACACAGAAACAAACGCACATATACTTCACTGAAGTATATCCCATAGAGTTTCATTAACACAGTCCAATATTGGAATACTGTGTATATTGATAATACAAAAACAAAACAAAAAATATTTAAAACGCTGGAAAGGTAATCAAGGTCATCTGAGCAGAAATGAAAATGAATTGTCTTTTGTCGCACGCTTTATAGCTTTAGGGAATAATTCATTGCACCAATGACTTAGATAAAGGTAAGTTGGAGTGGTGTTCTATGTTTGTCAGGAAGCTGAGAACAGATCAATCTGTGTGGTCATAGTGGTTATCCTTCCTCTGGATTGCATGTGACGGGCCTCCTCTATGTTGTTCAGTGAGGTAGACACAGATACTACAAACAGACCATCTGAAAATGACCCTGGCTGTTGACAGGATGTGAAACCCAGCAAAAATCCTAGATTACAGACATTAACTTGGGTTTGCATGGTCCTAGAACGTCATGCTAATCAGCTGTGACATAATGACAGTAAACTGGAGATATCAACAAGCCTAGTGGTCACCACTACTCCAGGGACATCCCTCATTCTCATTCTGTTCCATACACAAATACTTACTATGATCACAGCAGCTACTGGGCCCACAAAACTCCAGATAAATCCATTGTCTGTACGTAGCCAGCAACTAAATAATGAAAGAGAATTCATTAGTGTCGTAATGTGTTAAATAGAGAAGTAAATTTTCTTTTAAATGGAAATCATTAGTTCTAGTTTTACATTGAATCCAATTTTATCTTAATTTAGGGTGAACATTTTTACAATTCTTACTAAAATCATTTCAAAATTTTATATGGTTTGTCACGATCCTCCCTATTTCTGCTAGAGATCTATCTATTACCATAATTTGAACATCAGCAAATTACCACGAAAATTTCTGTACTACCAATTGTAAAAGAGCAGCTTGATGTGTTAGTTTCATTACTGAATTTTTGTCAAAAGAATATTTTTAAATGTAAATTTCATAAGGCTTGAAATCTTGTACACCCACATTACCAAATGGAACACTCCTTCGATGCAGTATACAGTATCATTGCCTGTATCACAAACTAACAGGATCGAGCCATGTTCCAGAGAATCACTTACACATGAATCAAACCCCTAACCAGTAGGGACAGTCCACTGCAATAGCCTGTAATGAGTCAGTTACTTACTGAGTGTCTGTGCCGTATCCTGAAGGCTGGATTCCTGCAGCCACGCCCACCACAATTGCTGGGATCACTGCCACAGATCAAGTAAGCGATATCAATAATACTTTCAAATTAAAATAAAAACAACTAATTTCTTTGTAAGACAATTTGATATTATTTTCCTTGTAAAGTTTTGATAAAGTTAATCTGATATTAAATCTTGCATTGTTAAAGGGCAGTTTTTAAAATAGATAATAAAACATAGCTATGGCCTTGTGTAATGCATTAGATAAGGAATTTTTTTTTTTTTTTTTGAAAAATCAATAGTCTAGATTGAGAAGAAATGGAAGATTTCCAATAGATATCTATCAGCAGGGTTCAAGTCCATGAAAATTTAATTCTCCAAAGAAATCAGATTTTTTCCCAGTTACAAAGGCTGTGTATTGTATCGTTATTGATCTAATGTGACATTCAAGGATGCCTTGTGTATTGTAGAGAACTGATACATTTAATTTAATCAAATCTTTCCATCAACTGTGATCCAATTTACCAAAAGAATGAAGAGAATATTAAACTGCAGGATTTAGCTCCCTTTCAAACCAGATTTTGAGAAGACAACAGTAAAAAATACAAATTAATCGAAGAAAAAATGCAAATTTGATAAAGGCAAGACAACATTAAAACATTTAGAAATCAGATTGAGCAACACAAAATCACTGTTGAAAGGACCATGAACTGGTTCTTGAAAGACAATTTTATCAGTGGCTTTACCAAAAGGAACATAAATGACAATGGTGTCCTGAGAGGGTGGGTGGGTGGGTGGGTGGGGGTTGGTTGGTTGGTTAGAGTTCAGGTCCCAATAAATAATCTAGATAACAAAGTTTTCATGAAGATGAAATAGTAGCTTTACCATATCCACATAAATAGTAGATCTTGCTGCGAGAACGACCAGGTTCAAATACTTCTATGAGCATAACATAAAGCTGGACTCCCTCTAGACACATCCAGCCAAATGCACACAGGAAAAGGTAGTGAAGGACACCCGCTATTATGGCACACACAATCTACAGATACAAATATATATAATGTTAACAGGTTGTTATTAACCATTTTCACTTTTAGAAAAACCATTTCAAGAACTTAAATTTAGATAGAAAATCTGGTGTCTTTTGAAAAGTAATGTAAAACTTTTATCATAAATAAAAGAATCTATTTTCCTTATGTCCTCATATAACTTTTTTACCTATAACAGATGAAGTTTAACACCAACAAACAGGTTAGGATTCTTTCTTTCATAAAAAAGATCTAATTATTCTCATGTTAAATATTCACTGATAGTTATTAGGATGTTTCGGCAGTACATATTGACCTCTGACCTTCAAGTTGTGATTTCAACACTTACATGGTTTTGAGTCATTCCTATGCCAACCAAGAAGAGAAGTTCCGCCAACATGAGAGAGAACACTAGATTTTTGTGTATAGTATTTCTGTCACACTGAAGCTGTCTGTAACACACAACATATCAACTTATAACAGATTGGTTGATAGACTGTACACACCAGGAAATCTCCTAGCGCAGAGTAAACTCATCAAACGGGAGATGGATGGTGACCAGTAATGTCAATCAACAGAATGGAAACATCATTGTTTAAATTCATAGAAAATCCATCAAATTATATTGGTTTTTTTTCTGAAGAATTTTAACTTTTGATAAATTTGAAATAAACACTTGTTTTAATTATTTAACAGTAATGTTGATAAACTTGAGGTCATAATAAACTTAATTTTAGTTAAGCTTTTAATTTGATTTCAACACTTACTTGAAAAAGCAGAAAGTGAAAAAGCTGAAGAAAAGACACAAGATGGAGATGATACAGCCGAAAAATGTGATTGCTCGGAGTGACACCTGGTGTTCTGGGGACAACTGCAGAGACATACAAATCAATGTTCAATTAATTATCCTTAAGCAAACAATCAGTCCAGCTGACATTTCTTATATAGATACAATACAATATTCTTATCAATGATAAATCCAAGCAGTTCTTAATTTAATCATGTATTCCAATTCCAGACACGTGTTATTTATGACTTGGGTTTTGTTGATAAAACAAAATATTATATTAAGTTTAATTGTCTGTAACAGGTTTCTAGGAAGTGATCAAAAGATAGGTTTTTTTTTAATCTGCCTTATCTTTTTTTAAAATAAAGCCTTGAACATGCCAGTTTAATTATTTACTTATTTATTGTGTGTGATGAGTTACCTTGGTTCCAGTGACGTCCATGAGGACAGCGAAGTTTGTAAGGTGATTACACTGACAGGTGGTGTGTGTGCTGTTGCTGGACACGGATTCACATCCTTTACTTGACCAGTGGGCAGGGTCACTAAAGAACATAAAAACAATGTTGAACAGATGATAACAAGCCTTTATACACAGAAGTTGTTCATCATTTCTGGCCTTGATCACAATGACTCAAGGTCGCGGAAGGGGAGGGGTGGGGGTTGGGGTATACTTACAACAGGACAATTAAATATATAGTATTTTTGTGGGTAATTCTTCATCTAGAATTTGTTCTTGATCTTAGTCACTGACTGATTTACTATTAGTAAAAGAAACTGTATTTATGTGACAATTGATATGAAACTATATGTAGTTATACTCAAGATAATTCAAGGCAAGGTTTGTTTTCATAAGAAAATTGGAGATTAATTACACAAAATATACTACTAATAGTATACTTCATCATATTATTTCATTCTTCATTGCAGTAGAACATCTCAAATTAAATTGGAGTGATAAAAACCAAAAATATCATACTCACTTGCTGTAGACATCCCAGTAACTACACACAGGGTCATAGTTTGACTGAGGCTGAAATATTAATGTATCTATTGTTATTTAGATAGAGTCTAACTTTGAAATGATTTGCTTTTAAAACTTCCCCTCAATCAGGTTAGTTACCGATGACAACATATACATTTTATATCACAAGAGATACTAAAGCACTTTTACTTGGGTATTTCTTATAAATGCTGCTATTTGTGAAAAAATTCTGGTGTCAAACTGTTCATCAACATTTTCCAATATTAAGGTTTTTGATATACCATACTAACACCCCACTTGTCATATAACACTTGCGAAACTAAGCCATACCTGTAAATGTTTCAGAGTGAATAAGACAGGCTGTTCCAAAGGTGTTGGTTTCCTGGTGTCATTGTTTACTGAAGCAGAAAATATCTTAGAGTTGATAGGTCCAACAATGTTTGGAGCCTTGGTCACAGTCTCGACTCCTGTGTCTGTCCCGTCGGACATGTAACCTGCAGTGTCTGTCTGTGTGTCCTTGTTAGTCGGATCACTGACCATCCACTCGTTGAGATGTTGATACACCACAAACACAATTTTCACCATACCTGAAATACAGGACCAATATGATGGTGGATATTAACACCAATGTTAACATTTTTATTATGACAGAAAAAACACTTCATTTATATGACAATAAACACTGGGTGCAAACTTACCAATCCCAGTTCAAAGTCAGGAAGACTGGGTATATTGAAGGGCAATGAAATATCTGTTATTGGTAAATCAACTATGTATGGAGAGAGAGAGATCCATGTCCATGTACACTGCTGACAACACATGTAATATGTTGACACTAGTTAATGTTCTTGATTAAAGCCAATTCATCCAGTATGATGTTGTTATATCCAGTTAGCAGCAATAGATATGGGGGAGGGAAGGGGAGCGAGGAGGGAGAGAGAGAGAGGGAGAGAGAGGGGATGGGAGAGAGAGACAGAAAGAGACAGACAGAGACAGACAGAGAGAGGGGAGGAGAGAGAGAGAGAGAGAGAGAGGGAGGGAGGGAGGGAGAGAGAGAGAGAGAGAGAGAGAGAGAGAGAGAGAGAGAGAGGAGGAGGGAGGGGGAGGAGGGAGGAAGAGAGAGGGGGAGAGAGGGGGGAGAGAGGGGAGGGAGGAAGAAGGAGGGGGAGAGAGGAGGAGGGAAGGGGAAGAGGGGGAGAGGGAGGATGGAGGGAGAGAGAGGGAGGGAAAGAGAAGGAGGGGGAGAGGGGGGAGGGAAGGGCAGACAGTGAGGGGGAAGGAAAGGGAGAGAGGGGTTAACAGGTATAATGTAAATAACCTTTCACTTTAGAGAAAATATTGTGTGTTTTAGTACATCGTAAGTAAAAAATGATAAACCCAACACATGAACCTCATCAATATTTTCCACCAATAGTATAATAACATTATCACTATGTGTCTATTGTGTATTCTACTATTGCCTACTTGTTAACAAACAATTATATGATAGAATATTTCTCTGATTTGAATACTGTGAGAAATCAAACAGATAACTAACATTCTAAATCAATACCTCTTTTTTACAATGAACAGGGATTAATATAATGAAGCAATTATGATTTCACATTAATTGATTTCATTGACTAACCGTCCTGATGGGCATGTTTGAGGCTGTCTATAGGAATGGTGACTTGATCAGCATCCTCCGCCCATACACCTCCAGCACTCCTGGATGGAAACTTCACAGACTTTTTAGTCGCATCTACAGCATTCACTTCAAACACTAGAATAAGGAGAGTTTGAAACATAACCTCTTTTATTTAAACATCATTTGTTTTGCATTCTGTGTATATATTTAAGCACAGTGATATCAGATTGTATGAGCAATAAGAATACTGCAGAAACATATCTTTTCATGGGGTTTAATTTTCATGGTTTTTTCAGGAAAATCAATGTTCTGTGGTCACTTTATTTCTTGGATACATACAAATCAACAAAGCTATTTATGCTAATTGAAATGGACATATATATTTGTTAAAATCAATAAAAATAATTCTCCCACAAAAATTAATGATTTTACGGTACACAAATCCCATTACTTAATACAAAAATGAGCACTTAGTTGAGAACCTAGATTATGCACTGAATCCCATTAACAAATCTTGGAAACATCTTTTTGTTTTGTTTTTTTTTCCCCACCATTTCACCTGCTAGCATCACTGTCAGCCCTAACAAAGACCTCCATTGTCCTAAGCCAATTATTGACGGAGACAGTGTGTTATGAGCTGACTTGACAAACACTCTATGCCCGCAGCAATTTCATGGTCGGTGTATTAAAATATATCCAACTAATATTGTTTCCATGAAAATCCTAAATGGAAAATCCTGTAAGAACTTTAACCACTTTTTTTCAAATTAGATTTTTTTTACTAACTTACATATGTTTTCATCTGCTTGCATTATTGACTCATCCACATATAGTGTGCTGGCTATTTCAAAGCCTGTTTCCTCCATTCCATTCACCAAGGATGTAGCTACTTCTGAGCGATCAACAGCATTTAGTTTCTCCCAAGAGCTGCTGTGTTCCTGTGACAACAGGTTACTTCCTGTCTTCACAATATTCTAAACAAACAAAAATTGTTTATTCAATCGGGCTTTTATTTTATTTGTTATTATCTACTTTAAAGCCTGCAAATATCTGGGTGACACATATTTACAAAATTTGAAACAATATTTGGGTGACACATATTTTCAAAATTAATTACAATATCTGGGTGACACATACTTACAAAATTAGTAACAATATCTGTGTGACACATATTTACAAAATTAGTAACAATATCTGGGTGACACATATTTACAAAATTAGTAACAATATCTGGGTGACACATATTTTCAAAATTAGTTACGATATCTGGGTGACACATATTTTCAAAATTAGTTACGATATCTGGGTGACACATATTTTCCTACCTTTGTTAGCCTTTTCAGTGTCTCTTTCTTGCGCTTCTTGGAGTGTTTTCCTGTTTGTCTTTTTGCAAGCTTAATGAGGTTGGGGAGGAGAGTTTTAGCGGTTTTCTTCAAGTCCCCTACCCATATTGCCTTGCCACGATCTGTCATCTGTAGCATCTTTTCCACAGTTTCTTCTGCATCACTGTTCTGTGTCATCTAAAATATCAAAGGTCGGTGTCAAGGTCAAATGTTGATAACTGATATATCCACGGATGAATTTATTGTTAACCACCTAGGTCTGTTGGAAATAAGTAATGTAAAGTGGTAGGTGATTGAGACAAGATCAAAATTATCTAATAGTTAGGGTCATAAAAGAATTTACATGACATTTGTTTGTACGAGTTAAGGCTAAATGTTCAGTATTATTTGACAGCAGATCAAATATTCTTCTATCAACAATTCTGTCTTAATTAGCAATTAAATTTGATGCAAAGGTCAAATGTCTCTAGGTCCTTGCAATGTGGTAAACCGTTGCACGATGTTTGTGATCACAATTTGATTATTGAATATCTTCACAGATAATAGGCCACACACCTATAAAATAATGTTGAAAATCCTATTATATCACTACATGATTGATTTTATCTCTAAACACTGTTATTGTAAACACTCAAGCAGATTTTATGAAACTGAAGTGTGAGAAACTGCTGTAAATATCAGTGTAATAGGAGAGAGATGAGAGATAAAGAAGGGTTACAGGGAGAGCCAGTTCCACACACTTACCATATCTTCTACATTCTTCACCCATGATGATACACAGTTAGACTGATCAGGTTCTCCAATCCACTCTCCTTTCCCACACCGCCAAGACATCATACCTGCAAAGGTAAAGTGACACCTTGTTCTTATATGATAATACACATTCTCCAATTCTGCCACACAGGAAATACTCAGTGGAATGAAGTTTAACCTTAGATAACTTTCCCAATAATAAACTCACTAAAGATATGGGATAGTTCACTCATTCTATTACACAAGGAAAAGATACTCTGTTTGTTTAACTGTCGATTAATATGATATGATGGTATTTCAAAAGAGAAACACAATATGTTAAGCTACTCCTTTTAATCAAAGTATTGTCTCACCAATACCAAAACTCTTTAAAAGGAAATAAAAATCAATCATATTTCTGTCATTATACCTTGAAAGTATTCAATATTACAGCAATTTTTAAAATCAGATCCATTGCAGTGAAATTATTACCAAACAAAAGCTTCAAAGAGAACTCTTGTCAATACATTACCCAGTATATCATCATGTTCCTGACAAGAACACTCTCAACAGACATTGATAATAATAATTCCATTCATAGAATATGGATTAAAAACTAAAATATCAGGATACAAGTTCTGTTTTTTCATGGCAACATCCACTCCCACCGCCAAGGGAAATAAAAGCTTTCTGTTTGGCTTTGCAATTGGATTTTACAAACAACGGGGAACTGTTTACACGTAAAAGTTGAAATATTTTTTTATTGCAGCTTTTTATCATTAAGAAGATACATGTATAAACAAGCTGTTGTTTGCAGCACAAATGTTTTCAAGGTAACTGCCTTTCCTCAAGATACATTGATTTTTTGACATTAAGTAAACTCTGAAATACCTAAAGATTACCAAATCAGCAGGGCTATGTCAATCAGCAGGGCTATGTCCTGCTTAGAACTAAATTAAGTTCTGTATAACCTACCGATTCTACCCTGTGGACAAGGTCGTTCAAAAGTATCTCCTTCCTCAATAGGAGGCCACCAAACACCCTCCTGATGTTTGCCGTAACAGGTTTTCAGTCTTGGCAGAGTCCCTTCGTTGTCATCATTGGAGTCAGGGGCAACAGTCGGGGAATGTGTAATAGGGGGACGAGGGGTGGGATGAGTTGTTACTCTCCAAGGCGTGGTGGTTGTTGAGGGTGTCCAGGGTTCCTTTGTGACAGGTTTAGGTGTTGGAGTGGTAGGTTTCGGTGTTGTGGTGGCTAAGAATAAAAATTCAAAAACAGAATAGGACAAGCTAAAATTTAACTTCAAAGATACAAGAACGCATCATCTCTAATTCTCATCAATGAAACATCTCTAATGATTTAACTCAAAATTTCATGTCAGGAATATTTCTGTTATGTTTCTTATAGTAATTATAGTATGAAGTAAAAACTTGCTAATGCAATGTCGTACCTATAGTGGTTGTTGATGTACTGGTAGTAGTGGGTGGACCTGGTAATTAAAAACAAAACAAAATGAAATCAAAATGAAAAACATCACCACCACCAGTCACTACCTTCACCACTTCTACTGGACTAATACGTGTACTAGTATTACAACTCAGGGGGTTAAGGTTGAAGGTCAAGGTCAAAATAAAATCTATTGATAACTGAAATTGTAAAGAAACCAACAAAATTGTAAATCAAGCTTGAATTGACTTTTTATAAGATGAAGAAAAAAATTAGTAAAAACAAACAAATGTGAAACCAAAAGTGATTTAATTCAATAATTACTGATTACACTAACATCATTTCTAATTCCCTTTGTGATCTGGTAATCACCTAAGTCTACTGTACATTCATCAGAAGTGTGAACAAATGCTATTTCATTTTGCTTCAAAATGCCCATTATCTGCATTATTTTTATGTCAGAGTTTACCATTTGTGTGTACTTATGTATAAGGTTCCACTTTATTCAAGAATATAAATAAGACATAACATAGACTGCATTACAATATATATGTTGTAGGACAGGTCTGAGACTACATTACAATATATATGTTGTAGGACAGGTCTGAGACCACAATAAAATATATACGTTGTAGGACAGGTCTGAGACTGAATTACAATATATATGTTGTAGGACAGGTCTGAGACCACATTACAATATATATGTTGTAGGACAGGTCTGAGACCACATTACAATATATACGTTGTAGGACAGGTCTGAGACTGAATTACAATATATACGTTGTAGGACAGGTCTGAGACTACATTACAATATATATGTTGTAGGACAGGTCTGAGACCACAATAAAATATATACGTTGTAGGACAGGTCTGAGACTGAATTACAATATATATGTTGTAGGACAGGTCTGAGACCACATTACAATATATATGTTGTAGGACAGGTCTGAGACCACATTACAATATATACGTTGTAGGACAGGTCTGAGACTGAATTACAATATATACGTTGTAGGACAGGTCTGAGACTGAATTACAATATATACGTTGTAGGACAGGTCTGAGACCACATTACAATATATATGTTGTAGGACAGGTTTGAGACCGAATTACAATATATATGTTGTAGGACAGGTCTGAGACCACAATAAAATATATACGTTGTAGGACATGTCTGAGACTGAATCACAATATATGTTGTAGGATAAGTCAGGTGCTCTGTACTTAGTATGTTAATTATTAAACATTTGTACAGAGTTTTTAAATCATGGAACTATAAATTTTTATCTTTGGACACTTTCATGTTGGATAAATAAAACTTTCCATGATAAACAACTTTTTTTTTAATGTAATGAAACAATCATGATATATTTAAATGCAATGAAATCAACATTTTTACCAAAAGTAAATGATATCCTTTGTGGTATTTTTATAATTTTGTCAAAATCTTATGCACTTCTTCAGTGTAACAGCGGCTGCACAGCTTACCACTTTATACTTAGCAATACTGAGATTTACTGTGGGAACCTGAAAACTAAAATTCTTGTATGTCATAAAACATTATTTGTATCACAGTAAATGAAATTTTTTCATAGAATTTTGAATATTATACATAAAAATTCTACATTATCTATATCAAACCCAAGTTAGGATAAATCAGCACTAACTCTTTAAATTTATAACAAAACTACACAGTTTATAAATTGAAAATGAAGAGCCTTGAGGGATAAATGCTTATGATATTTAAGATAGTAGACATTAGAAAACTATTTATCTGCTAATTCTCATACATCATCAGTGCAAATCAATTTGGTGTGAAAAAATGAAGAGGGCAGTTTTGCACACATAGGGGAAAATAAATCTCCGAGTAGACATCCTCAATTGTATTCCTAGCCCTTAAATGGAAAATCAATATAGGATAGAGCCTAGTGTTACACAGAGCTGACATCAAACTTGCTACATTAATACCGTCACACACAAACACCCCTTGCATAATGAAGACAAGTTCAGAGAATTATTTTCACTAAATGAAATATATTTTCTCCATAACAAAGTAAAAATTGGTACAAGCTGAAAATAACAGATTGGAATGCTGGCAAGCACACAACATATTAGATGAATGAATTGACTGGGTAAACAGACATATACTGGTAACTAATCCCAAATAGTATTAAACAAGGACAGTAATACAGTCCAATCCAGATAGTTAAAGCCAATTAAGTACTCTTCACTGCATACTCCTGTACATTTACAGGTTTTCATTCTATTGCTGAAGACAAAATGAATTTTAAAGTCTGACTTTTGTGTTCAACATAAAAAGATAAAGTTCTTCTGTAGCTATACTATACATCCACATCTATTTTCCAGTTAATGCATTTCGCTGCATGAGTACAACACAATAAAATCTAATATCACTGTATGTAATGGTTATTTAAAAAAAAATCCTACTCTTTCTAACATTTATCCCTTATTTTAAAATCATTAACCAGTTACCAAAAAAAAAATAAATGTCTGCAACATGACATCACATTTGTAGTAGAAATGTTTTCCATTAATTCTGCTGTCATATGTTTCCTTTAGCACCACTGCAGAATTTGTCATTACCATGAAATTTGGATGATGCATATTGTTAAATTTCCTAGTCTACTGAAGGCATGCTGAGACTAATGTCATGCTGACTTAGGTAGTCTGTTCTCAGAACTTCAATGGTAAATCAATAAAGTAAGTCTTATAAACAACAAAAACTGGACTGGAATGGCAAAATCAGACATTGCTTCAAAGAAGAAAAAAGGACAACCCTCACGGCTATAGGACAACTCTCCCCAACAGAGAAGTAAACCATAAAAAAGGAGAACCTTCATGGTAGGCCTTTTTTTCATATTTATTTCCAGATTACCACTTTGTTATTTCTCTAGAAATCTGGGTTGACAATTTTAGTATTAATGTTATAAAATGTGTGCGGTCAGTTGATATTATAAATGTAATTTGAACACCAAGATGCAAAACTACAGTTTATGACATGCCAAGTTATTCATTGTGCATTTAGAAAAAAAAAAAATTTTTCAGATTAAATGGACAGACATAACAAACAAGATATTTTTTTTTTGATTCTTGATATTCAAAAGATCTTTTAAAGTGAAATGATACCTTATAAATGAATGTTCAGTTGTTTTACCAAATATAGAGGTGTAAGAACTAAGAACTGAACGACAGATGGAATGAGAGAGATAGGAAGCAATCAGGACTGTTAACTATGAAGGACTTGGATAAAGAATGGACTGAAGGTCATAAGGAGACAGTTGGGTCTAACCTGTTTGGAATGAAACAAAAGGAATGAAGTTTTTAGGGAGGCAGTGTTACCTGTTTTCACACAGTAGTAGTGAGCCTCCAAGTATTTTCTCGTGTCGACACAGGGGTCCCCAAACACACTGTTGTTCACTGTTATATTGCAACGAGGTCGGCCATCACACCTACAAACAAGCCAATCAGAGATGGGGCGGCATGCAGTTAGACCAATGAAAACGTCAGTTAGATACACGAAACATCTACAAGGGCAGTATGTGGGGTTATCTCCCTTCTAATTGTACGGGTTATAAGATGCTGTTATACACATGTATCTACAGGACAGAATTTGTGAGACATACCTCTCTATTTGATGTCTTGCTAAGTTAAATTTTGGTGATATACATATCAGACAAACATACATGGTATATATAAGGTATATATTACAGAGATTTCATAGAGTTTGCATCAGACTTCTAGGGTAAAAAAAATGCAAAAATGCTATAAATGACAACTCATTAAAAGTCTTGCTTATTATTGTAAAATAAAAATGCCTTTTCCTATATCATTATACCAAGAATGCTTATTAGTTGATGCAAACTTCCCTTACACACATCCTACAGCTAACACAAGCCCTTGGCAGACATACAATTTTTGATGTAAAACGTCAGTTAAAGTTCAAAACTTTAAAGATATACTACCCATTTATTGATCATAAGTCTGTATACCTATAAAATGCCCTCTATAGAATTACATATATGTGTATATAAGTCATTTGCAACTATGTGAAAACCTGTAGTATATACATCAGGCAAATCAGGAACAGAAAACTTGCAAAATGAATCTTCAGGAACATCATGCTTATCTTGATTACAGGAGCTCGACAAAGACATCTCTAGCATATGGTTTACGGGTGTACTGGCGACAACGGCACAGATGATTAGAAATATAGGCTACATTTAGTACTCATTGGTTACCATGGAAACAAGCACTTACTGAAATTTCCATATTGAACTTGAGTTAACATGTCAAATATGTCAATTTCACAATGCTCATATTTTGGATTGCATACTTTGTGCTTATTTTTCAAATAACACACATTATACCTTTGTTTCTAATGCTAAGTGTCTGGTAAATATTTAAAATAACAAAAAATTAAAAAAACAAAAAATCAAAAAACAAATTTCCATTTCTGCCAAACATCTACATAGACACTTTACATTTGTACTAAAAATACTGCTTAATGTTCTCAAAGAGATCTCCAACAATGGCATTTTGTTCCTGTGATAGGTTTTTAATGTTGTAGTCGAAATACTTCATTACCTGTATGGGAGTCTCTTTCTGAACATGAAAAAATAGGAACAAGACTCATCCATACATCTTAACAATTCTCAGCCTGAGGTTATCTTCAATCAAAGCACAGAGGTATTCTTTAAAAAAAACAGTTTCCATGGTAACAAAATTAAATAAGGCAATACATGCATTGCGTGTTAAAACACTAACTTTTGTCTCAATGCATGGCTTACCATAACACTCAAATTCAACTTGGAGGTATCTATAGGCTTGTTCACAGGGCTCCCTTACATACTGACTGGCCGAGGCCGGTATTGTGCATATATTTTTCCCTGTGCACCTATCAATGTCAACAACACATAAATGTATTCCTACTAATTTTCCCCATTAATTATTTACCACCTCATACTGTAAGGTTTTCTGGTGTCAGCAGATTGCTCTGACAGATAAGAGATTTTTACAACTTTCAATTTTATTTTGATATGATCAGCAATTGTTAATAAAACAGAATTATTGATGTCCAGGGATTTCAGAATATATAATATAATAGAGGAAGGTTAGCCAGTGTAAAGCCTCCACTTAGCTGTTGTGGAGTACAACAAAGTCATAAGGATACTGGTCTCAAAAAAGATGCTGGAATTTTGTTGTCAATGACACAAAATTTCCTACTCAGATTAGAAAAGTTCTGATTTCAATTTCACATAACCATGTTTCATTTTTGTTACATATGTAATATTGAAAACATACCTGATTATTTTTCATTGTGTCCAAAATTTTGTTTAATAAGTTGAACTTTTTTAAAGAATTTTGTCATCTAAAATATTCAGAACCAGACTTGAAATCCATATTGTAATATAGAATGATTTAACCCAAGCATCATTGTCTAGAACTTTAAAGGATTTGTACCTTTCTGCCACTATTCTCTGTGATGTCCTTGAGGCACACTGTAGGTTCCAACCAGAGGTTGTGCCATGCTGGTTACACATTGTCAGAATGAAACGTCCATAGTTTGCCCGGAGGACCCGGATTAGCTCCCCTTGTTTACAGGACAAGTACAACGTACTTCCTTCGCAGGCGTATGCTACAGTCACATTACTTGGCTTGTGATTGTTCATCACTCCTGAAACAACAATACAATGTTTACTGCCAAGGTCAACAAAACTTTATAATAATCTTTCTTTATTTTACATCAATTTGAGCTAACATTATCTTAACTTATGTAAATTACTCTTGCTGACCAGAAAGGAGGCGTCTAAGGATTGTGGAAGTAAAACAGGAGTTCACAAGGAAAACCCATATGGTCATGCTGTTGACCCCATTTCACGTCCATTCTGGGAATATCACCCCATAAATCTAGATGAAATGCGAGTGCGCTACAAATGCACCACCTGACCATAACTAACATCCCCCACACTACGAGCCCCACAAAAAAATGTTGAACTAAATCTTTTGGTCTGAAAGCATGTTAGAGGTTTGAAATATAGTAGTAATTTCTTAATTCATTTTTAAACATTACTGCTAGACTCAAAAAGAATCTCCATGCAAAGGTTGAGCATCCTTAAAATAGTTAATGACAAGAGACGGATGGAAATGTGAATTCTTCTAAAAATGTGATGGACAGTTCAATGGACCGACTAACAATATGAAGATACTAACACAGTTACCATATTTATCCAGTTATAAACATATGCTTTGAGTTTATTGTAGAATAAATATGGTATGTTATGTGTAGCATCTTTTTTTGGCATAAAAATCTTCCAGCATGAAAAAACATTTTCAAAATTTCCAAGTTAGGTCAAATGATTCTGAGATGATATCTTACTTGTTTTAATTGTCAGTATAGTGTATGACTTAAAACTCTCTTTAAAATCTTATGATCAGTCATATGAAAAAGAAATGGATTATGGATGTCACAGAGACATTACATAGTAGATATGGATCATACCTATCATGCGTAGATAATCAATCTTATTCAGAATTATTACAAAGTTTTCCTGTCCCTACATGTCAGTACGGTATCAAGCTGAGAGAAGGATGTTATACTGGTTTTTTAGGGGTGATAGAGTACAATGTTTCAAGTCTTGTTCTTTGGTGCATTTATAACAAGTTCAAGGTCATCTATTTCATCCAGGGTCATCAATTCTGAATCAGTTTATTTTGATGACAGAAACTCTTGAGGGAAACACAACACATCTTTTATCATGACTTGCTGCAGTTTTAGTTTCACTCTGGCAGATCTTCACCTTGATAAGGGCGTATGGTACAATCAGGCTCTGTTGACTTCACACCTGATTTAACCCTGCATGTTTTGATACATAGACCATTCAATACCATGTAAGATATCATGGATGTATTTAAAAATGTTTTAACACAAGATCTTATCAGAGACATCACACAGTTTTCACTGTAACGGAAGCAGTTTTAATCAACAATTCAGTCGCTCAAGCGAGGAAGGCGTACTTCATTGACAAAAACAATTACAGTAAATGTACTTACTTTGGCATGATCAAATTTTAGTGCCTCCAAAATAAACAAAAGACAGAGACTGTTGTTACTGCAGTCATATTTTAGTGCTACATTCTCAGCATGTACAATACTAAATTAAATTTTAATCAAGATTTCAAAGAAGACTACAGCAGTTTGAGTTGAAGGCTAACAAGGTGAAGAATGATTTTAATACTTTATATTCTATTATTATATTACTATATATTTTTAGTATATATTACATTATAAAACTATATATTATATTATAATACTATATATTTTACTAGTATATATTACATTATAAAACTATATATTATATTACAATACTATATATTATAATGCTTTATCAAAACATATCATTAGATACAGAAGTTCAATTTCATCCTGTCTGCATTTTGTTTCCTGGTGAAAGAATTAAGAAATCTTTTCTATATTTATTTTAAACACAAGACGAGAACTATGACTTAGTTTTTCCAGTCACTTTGATAACAATTAATATTGAAATCAAATATAAACATGTTTTGGTACATTTTACCAATGAAATACATGGCCTTTCAGTGAACGTGTAATTTTATCTTCTTTTTTTTTTCTTCTGTTAACAAATAATACTGTTATTTTCACACTATAGTCAGGCTAATCAGATGTAATTAGTTAAAAAAAGATCAATGTGTCAGTCTTCTAGCAATTAACATTTTCACACATGAAAAGTTCTATTTCCATTTGTTTGAACACATTCAGCACAAAGAACATCACTGAAAAGAGTTATCAATTTTGTTTTCATAACAATACCATCATTTATGTATGTCTAATAGAACTAGTGGCCTTTTTTCTATGTATTAAACAGTGGGATGATACTGGAAATACTGTACTTCCTGTAGATTAATGAATATACTAAAATACAACTGTTTTCTATTCAGCAAATATATATGTGTTAGGTGTTGTATTACAACAATGGCTGCACCAGTTGCAAGATAAAGTTATTTAAGATACAATAGCTGGATTAGGTCAGCAAACAAAAAACTATTCACTGAATTATTTATCCTTCTGAACGCAAAGCCTTTCCTACAGATCAGGTGACTTCTGCTAACTTTATGAGGTTTCCGTGTATATCCTAACTCAATTAGTTCATACAAATAATGACTGTTACATATTTCCGAGTGCTTTCAGGTGATATATGTAATTAGCAGAGAGAGAAAAGCTGTTAAAATGCATGTTACTGTAAGTATCTGTAGAGTTAACCTATCATAAAATCTACTCCCCCCACCAATATGTGTACTTCTATCACTATCATACAAACTGGCTTCATGACTGCAGTAAAAGCCCCATTCTAATGCTTTATCATATGAAGTAATTTGTGGCCGGCTTGTCGACAAGGAATTCTCTCAATGGAATTAAATCCACAGAATTTCAGACAGACACAACCACTCTCTAACCCCACAGCTGTAATCTATCTCCCAAGGCGACCTGCTCAACAGCCTCTTTGTGGTGACAGGAAGTGGTAATCAAGATTTAAAAAGAGGATCTAAAATGGAGAGGTGGTGGGGCAAAATTATCAGATAACAAATGAATACAGCAGTGTTGACCTTAAGACAGATATCAGAATATGACAGTGCGGAGGACCTTACAACAAATTAAGCAATAGAAACATTTGTTTTTTTTCAATGAAAGTTTAACTATGGTGATATTTTAAAATGAATGGTCTAGACATTAAACTTGAAGACATTAGGGAAGAATTTTCAAAGGATCAATTAAAGGTACAGAACAATGACCTAATGATAACCTTACAATGACCTTATGATGACCTTCAAGGTACTAATTTAGCTAGGCACATGATGACCTTATGGTGTAGTCTGAGTAACAATACAGGTTTATAGAGCAAAGGGCATTCAATGACCTTGACATGACTTCAAGAGTTAATTAGTACAAGAATACAGAGGAAGTGTGGACCAAGTCCAGACATTCAATGACCTGAAATTCACCTCTGGAGTACAAGTAGTTGAATTCACCCACTCTAGGAACACAATGACCTACATATGTAGAAGTCTACAGTATTGATTATGAGTTTTACTAACTCAAGACAAATGGTGACTTACAAGAACAGAGTGATAGACAGGGGAGGCAATCCAATGTAAAGGTCAGTTTTAACAAAAGCTTGATATTTTCAGTGTATTCACAATTTGATGGATTTAATTCATCACTAAAAACACTTTTTTTCTCCAAACATAAGCACATGCAGTAAATAAACTAAACTGACAATATATCACATTTGGAGACTTTTTACTTAAATATACACTGCCATCATCTGAAAGGATACTTTAGTAAAATATATCAAACATCAAAATGCATCTAAATGAATGAAAAGCCAGAAAAAAATTATTTCTACAATTGTAATTCTATATTTAGCCATTTGTATCAGCTACATTTGCTATGGGAATCTGCAGACTAACAACAGTCCTTCTAGTTGGAGCTTATTGATTATGTATTTACACACTAAATGATAATGGTCAGCTGTGGCTAGATAATGGTCAGTTTAGTGAAATAGCCCTGGTCATTTGGAGGTGATAAGGCCATTGTGTCTGGCTCTGTTGGACTAACTGTACCATTGCAGTGGTCATCTGGTTCCAGCTATATAACACTCCTCTGTTCCTGATAAGGCCCTATTAGCCCCTGTCAGGACCAGATCTATGGACACTGTTAGGGACAATTCTGTGTTCAATACCCAGATTTCAACACATTCCTTTGGGACTTTCATAATGCCTTATAATGAGCCCCCTTGTACAAATATCACTGGAGATAGAACTTTCTCTCACACAGAAACTGTCAATTCATTTCCATTTGCCAGGAACCTTGTCCTCTGTATCAAATTATAGTTGTCTGCCTGCCTCTATAATCATGTGTTGCTGGTTTGCCTCTTAATTCAAAGACGGAAATCAACCCTTCTATCCTGAATATCTAAGCTTATCAATTTCATTCAGCAATTTGAATGTCTTTTGAAAGGAGTTTCCTTCTCAAAATAATTAAACACATTACTGACATTTAAAAAAAAATTGCTATCTACAAATGTTTTAATGCAAATACACAACCTATTGTGAATCCACTGAAATTTGTCTGCCTAGTTTGACAAAGTACAGTATGTTTTTTGGAAGCAGATTAATGATGTTAAAATCATTTGGTTTTTGGCTGGGAGATGGAAGACCACCACATCTGACTGTTATCACCATAAATAGATATTGTCTGGGCCGAGAAAACCCAGAAGTGGCCTGAAATGAACCACATGTAGAGGTGTTACACTAACACTGATCTGATATGTGACCTCAGTAAAACTAAGACTTATCATCACTGGAGCCTCATATTGACCCTTTCCATCATAAATTGTCTTCTCTACCTCCCACAAAACTTCAGCCTCTGAACCACAAATTGTCTCCTGTCCCTTTTTAATATGTGACTACTTTGTCCTCTCAGCCATAAACTCCCTCCTCCCCAAATCACACCATGACCCTTTCTCTTCTTACAAGTCAACATATTCCAGTCTTCTCCCACTGTTTTACAGTCTCCTTTCAGTCTGTCAGTTCCTCAGCCATGAACCATATTTTCCTAAAACTGCATCCCTCCATCCTCCTTTTAATCACCCTGCTCCCCCCTGCCCCCTAATGTCTCTCTTTCCTTCATAAAATCACTCCCTCCCCCTTTCTACTCCTCCACCCCTTCCCCCATCATCCCTGCCCAGTCTTGTTTCATCAATCTAACATAAGTCTGGATTATAACCAGGGTTGCCATCTCTAACACTGGCCCTAACAACCTGCTTGGCTATAAAAGACAATTGTTACAGTGTGCTGGGGCAGTCTGATCTGGAGAACTCCATTAAAACTGCTTTTAATATGGCAACATCCTTTGGGTGCAGATGTAAGATAGGTATTGGCAGATTGGATCAGGACATCAATGTTTCATCATAACTATCTAGATAGTACAAAGGAACAAATGTCACAGAGTAAAACTTTCTCTCAGCCTCTGGTCTCAACTCCAACCCTATCCAGTTTCAATTTCTTTTTTTTGTGGAAACTAACATTTTTTA